CTAATTCAAATTTTTAATTATGAACACTTCAAAGCTATGATTTTGAATTACCACACAAGCTTTGAAATGTTTACAGAAATTTTGTAAAAATTAAAACAAAAATAAATTTAATTTAAATGTCATTTGTATCCAGAATATCATCAAAGTTTGGTATTATCACTTGTATAGGATGCACATTGCATTGCTTTTTTGAATATATCTGTGATTTTGTTGTTTGCTCAGGTAGAGAAACAATTCTTAACAAATGCTTATGTAAAGATAACAAAATTTTAATTTCTTTTAGGTGAATCAATGCAGCCGACATTATATTCAAACAACATACTCATATGTAGTAAGATCGCACAACGTAAAAACACTTTTGAAAGGAATGACATCGTTGTTGCTATTCATCCAAATCAACCTAAAAGTCTTATTTGCAAGCGAATGATTGCGCTTCCAGGAGATATAGTTTTAATGAACTCCACAAAAACTGAAGATTCAGAGAATACAGGATCTTTTGATGTTCAAAAAATCTACATTAAACCGGGATCTTGCTGGTTGGAAGGTGACAATAGAGCAAATTCAACTGATAGTCGAAATTACGGACAGATTCCAATTGGATTAATTAAATCAAAAGTTTTAGTACGTGTTTGGCCTCTTAGTGAGTTTAAGTTTTTTTAATTTATTAACCATGTTTACATCGACCTATAGTTGTTAATTAAATAAAGTAATTTTTTCCAATCATCAATCTTTTACAAAATTCTCCTTATCACCTAAATAAATAAATTAAAGTAAGAGATTAACAATGAAAGAAAAATATGTAAATTCACCTTAAAATTCTTCTGCTTTGGTTCGCAAAAATGAGGAGAGAAGTAATTTAATTGCTATTTTGTTTATAAATCCCAATAAAAATCCCAATCGGGAACATTTCGTTTCTTCATGATAAGATGGCATTCAATATATTCGTTCCTCTCTTCATCGTAGCAACGGAAATAGTTAAATTCATCCTTAAACAGTGTTTTTAGAGATGATTTAGGCGAAACCAGGAATCCATATAATTCTATGAATTTGAGTCTGCTTGCTGCTGTGCGGATACAATCAATTGTTTCATCTTCAAGGATAATTTTAGTTTTTAAATCTTCGTTTACAATTTTCAAATGAGTTAACTTGGGATGATCATTGATAATCTGTTGCAGGTCTTCATTATAAAATTCATCATCCATTGCTAACATAATCCGCTCGACATTTGGGCAAACATTGAGCAGTGAGAGAAGCGCTCTTGTGTTATCGCCATTGACACTACGACCATTCATAATCATTTCCACAAGCTTCTCATGTCTTAGATTCTCATCGATGACTAAAACGTCTACATCATCAACGCAATACTCGAACTCGATGGCAATCGACTCCAGATTGGGGAAGTTTTCCAAAATTGTATTAATGATATTTGTGTAGCGATTCCGAAGTTTAATGTGCTTAAGTTTCCGGAAGTTTTGGCTCATTTGAATGAAAAATTCTGGTGGAATTTTCTCACCGTAGGAAATTATTAATTTTTCAATATTTAATTGCATTCTGCTCAACTCAAGGAGATTATTAGACTCTTCACCTTGTTTGCTTTTTAATTCAAGTTTCTTTAAATGAGTGAGGTATTTAAGAGATTGAAAGACAGGATAAGGCATATCAAGGTTGACGGACAATATTGTGACTTCGAGATTATTCAACTCACATAACGCTGTAAAAAAATTATTGCCAGTTAAAGTTCTATAGGCTATACTTTCGAAGTAAAGAAGTCCCGGCTGCTGCTGCAAAATGATAGAGACATCTTCCTCATCAAAATACCGACCAAGTGTCAAATGTTCAAGTTTGAGATGATCGAACTTAACTCGGTTGTTATATTCATGTGTTGATATTTCAAGCATTTTAATGCTAGTTTGTTGATTTAAGAATTCTTGCCAAACCATGTCAAAGACTTCAGGAATATCGATAATTAGTTCTTTTATACTATCTTTTGGTATTGCGTTAAGCAAGGTGTTAAGCAAGATGTCCGACATGTCGGGAATACTCCAACCTCCAATCGTTAGCTTCTTCAGTTTGCATAAGTTTGGTTCAGAAATATCTGCATTCGGTTTGGTTATACTTTTTAAATATACAGAAGAGCAAGCAGAAGAGCGACAAGAATTCAGTACCAGATTTTCGACGTTAGGAATGCAATCAAATATTCTTCTTAGCTTCGACTCTGACAAGTCAAAATCCTTTAATTCAAACCTTTTTATTCTTTTCCCGAATTTTAAAATCACATCTTCTACATGTTTCGTTTCCATCAATTCATCATCATTTAAATCGATTGTTAAATCTTCAAATTCACGAGAAGAGTTGACAATTGATCTGCGGATTTCTTCGTTGCAAATCTGTGGACAATATTCTATGAATAACCATTTTGATTATATTCTTTTTCTTCGCTCTAGTTACCTGTGAATACGAAAGTTTCAATGGAATGCAGTCTCTTTCTACGACACACATTAAGTCATAAAAACGCTTACAAACTTGTGCAACGTTTTCACGCCATGAAATATTAACATAACTAAATATGTGTAGAAATATTTCATCCTGTAGGTTCAACAAGTGTACTTCTTGAAATTCAGATTGATTCATTTCTTTATCACTTTTTTGCTTGTAATCACCACTTGTGATCACCACTTCTCTTTAAGATCTTTTTCAAATGTGTTTTAGCGCCTACTTGGTTTACTTGCTATAAAATTGCTATAAAAAGGAAACAAAAAGTGTTGCTACGCCTGAATGTTTACAAATTTTTATTTTTCACAAAAGAATAAGATAAATATCGCTAAATTATGAGACGACGTTCTAGAGATTGTGCAATTCTCAAGAAAAAGCTTGAAGCTGAAAGATTAAGAATAAAGGAAGTGGAGTTCAGGAAAATCATTTTGAGCTAATGAAGAAACAAATGGAGTTGCTAAAAGTGCAGCAAATTTCGCTTCTACAATGAGTTAATGTTTCCTACCATTGGAAGAATGGCAGAAATTACTAAAAGACTAAAGCAAAGATGAGTCTTGAATTCCATGAGTCTAAATTAGATTACAGAAATCCTCCAGTGACCGATAAAATTTGGTTTTTTGTGAACTTTATATGCATAAATATCGTGAACTTGCTGAAAGCTTTTAAAAGAAAATGTAAATGTTTTGAAACGTTATAACGCAATTTATGATTGGGTACCATTCGATGTACCTCTTAGGGAGTTGAAATATTTTTTATTTATTAATTAACCACATTTACATCGATCTATAGTTGTAAATTTAATAAACTAATTTTTCGTTTCGTTATAATTTTGAAGTCTTTCTTTGATCCAATATTCAATCTTTTTCTTCAATTCTGTATCAGGAATAACTTGATCCATCGATAATGGTGATCGGTTGAATGGATCCGATTGATCTGACAACAAATGTCGTGATATTGTTGAACGATCAACAGTGACTTTTGAGCTTGGAAGAATTACTGGATCTTTCATTAGAATTGATAAAATTGGATCTAAAAACTCATCTGGTGGATTGACAAGTGCTTCATCATTCTCCCTTTGACGTTGTTCAATCTTCTGTACCTTATCGGAAAATTCAATAATTTCAGTAATCAAATCACCACCACCAATTTTTATCAAAGTTTTTTCGGCATATTTAAAGAGTTCTGGCGAATAAGATCTTCCATCTTGTGTAACAGCCAAACAAAACGATTCACTCTCACGAAGATTCAGATAAAGATGACAAATTTGTTTCACAGTGTTTGCTGGATCGAAGTCAAAGTTCTCCTTATTCTTCACCTAAATAAGTAATATTTAAAATATCAATGAACAATGAAAGAAAAATATGTAAACTCGCCTTAAAATTCTTCTGCTTTGGTCCGCAAAGATGAAGTAAAAAGTAATTTAACATTGCAGCAATTCGATCAACCATCGAAGCATGACAGAAAATTCCTTTCGTTTCTGATGTTAGAAGTTTCAGAATATTTATTGTATCTCGTCCCAAGATGTTATCAAAGCGAGCAAGATTTCCCAACATTTGTAAATTTTGAGCATTCTGCTGTCGTTCATTGTTTGGTAGTGAATCCCATTTTCCATTGTCTCTGGCTTCTTCAAGCTCTCTGATTTGCTGTAAATTACTTAAACTCTCATCGAGTAAGAAAATCGAATCATTTATCAATACATTTATGAATCGAAGGAATATTGGCGCTTCAACATCATCAATGTGAATTTCTGCATCAAGTGACAAAGCATTGAAACATTCACGTTGTTCAGGAATTTTCCATAAAAATTCCATGATCACATACATTGGTCTACGATAATTAAACTTCTGTTCAAATTGCACGCTTTGTCCCGTCATCTCAATGGAAACAAAAACATTTAAAAGATTTTCTACAATTTGAAGACGATGTGGATGTTGATGGAAGAGTTGTGTGTCCATCGTATAACCATTGCTTTCCTTTGGCAATAAACTTTCCAAGCCCTCAGCTAAATTAGCTCGTAAATGTGGATTTTTTGCACGTTTACTGTTTCCCATAAATATTAAAATCATTGTGATGAAATTTTCCTTTGCTTCGTGATTTTGACGTGCTTGAGTTTCGAATATTTTGCTGAATTGCAAATAGCCGACGATATTTTCGAGAATCATTTCAGGAATATATTGAAGAAGTTTACTCGACTCATTAACTAATGGCAAATGAATTTCATTAACAGTTAATGGAGCATATCCTTTTGCAGCATCTTCTGGATTTATTGAAGTTTTTGTCGCTAACAAATTCACCCACATCGCAGTGGCTTCATAAAAAAGAACAAGCAACTCATCATTTCTTGGCTCGAGAATAAGATTTTGAAGACACAAAAGTTGTTGTGTTTGTTTTGTCAAAGCATTCATAATATTCTCAGCAATATCTGAATTACTTCCACCTTGTGCTGCATCTTGATAAGCATTTTGCATTCGTTGAATTTCTCGATTCATTCTGATAACTTTCTCGATGCAGACACGAAAACTCAGATCAATAGCTTTCTGTGTCATAAAGAAAAGTTCAGTAACAAAGTTATACTTTGTTGCGGTGATTCGTTCTTCATCATCTTCAAAGGGAATCAGACACGTTTCCTTATCGATATCTTTCATGTGAACTTGTTTTTCTGCTGCTTGTTCTGCTTTGACAGCTGAAAATGTTGGATCAACAATCAAAACTTTCAGTTGTGGTTTCATCAAAGGCAGACATAATCGAAGTAGAACGCCTGCAAGACCAATCATAAAGCTATCAGGTGCTGTTGTGAAATTACCAAGAACCATTGAAGTGTGCGTATTCCAAATTTGTCCACGTTTAACATTTGAAGTTATTGCATTTCCCAACCAGATAAGCATTCTTTCTTTTGTATCACCTCCAATAACAAGAAATCCTTTTATCAAAGAATGCAAAGAATCGTGAAGAACTTTTAAATAATTCCACAAAGACGCTGATAAATTATTTAGTGACGTGAGGTTTGTGTTTTGTAAGTTGTCATAAAATTCGTATGGTCCTTGATTGTTCTTAGGTGTCATTGATAGACAAAGAATTTGACCTAAAATTGAAGATATGAAACATAACGGGAAGTCATTTTAGTATCTAATTTGTTAATCATACCTAATAAAGAGTCAGCATATTTGATTCCATCACAGCCTGGGGGTGGAGTCGTGTAATTTAGAAAAATATTGGCCATTTCAGGATTATTTTTGTCGCTACTGAAAGCGATGAGAAACGGCATGATCCATTTCTCAAACGTTATCATCGATGATTGTCTTATAGATTTCATGCATTCATCGAAACATTTGAAAAAAATTTCTTTCACATTGCTTTTCATGTCGTTATCGGAGTCTTCAAGTGCTTTCTTGATAACTGATGATAGAAATTCATCCCGATATGATGGATCTTCAATTTCGCTATCTTTATATATTTCCAAGAACTGTTCACATATATTTTGTTCAGGAAACAATTCTGGCTCCTTCAATGACACAGCAACATTTCTGAATATCAGCGATGATAAAACATCACACACATCAGATTTCCCTTTCTTGTTTTCGTGTTTCAGACGTAGAAATGAATTATACAAATAAATTACGATTTTATTATCATCACCTCTTTCAAAGGATAATGCCATTATTCGCTCGAAAAGATTTAATTCAATAAGTTCAACTGTCCATAGACGAGTTTCCGATTGTTCCATTAAAAATAATTGTTTGTTTGTATGATCCGGATTTAACGTTATTAACAGTACGTTTTCTATAATTTCGTTAATTTTTTGCGGACTCGTTAGAGTATCAAAAGGGTTTTCCGACATCTTTACGTTTAAAATGACTTAAAGAAAATATGATGAAAAAATTAGAACTTAAAATGATTTTCTATCTAAACTGTCTTTAATAGAGTTTAACATCTAAAATCTTACATGACTGACTGTCATCACTTCTCATCATGTAAAAACATTTACGTCCGCCTGTCATAAAGTTCGGAGTTCAAAGAAGAAATTAAAATATTTTCCAAATAAATCTTAAATTCACAAAAAATGGATATCAGACTCAGAAATGTATTTGATAAATATGCCACATTAATCACTAACAACTCAGAAGTTACTGCTGATGTTGAGATGTTATGCAAATACCTCAGTTATTTTGTATCGGGTAAAGTTTAACACGAATATTAATTGGTAATGTTTTCACTTTTCTTATCTTCATACCTATTTCTTTTGATACTTTAGGAAAGATAACAGATAATAGTATCGTGTCTGAGGGATTATTTTCGTTATCAAATTTGATGGTACTCTTCAATGATCAAGTCATCAGAAGAGAGTTAACGAAAGACCAAGCAAGGGACTATGTAAATGAAACAGAAGAAACAATCAAACTTTTTCTTACAATTCTTGAGAATGTTGAAGTTCTTGTCGAGATTAGTTCAAGAAAAGCGTTTGGAAATAAGAAAAAATTCATTATAATCTTCATTATTCAGGCTGTTAAATGTATTGGAAGATTAGTGTTGATTGTTAAGTACAAAAATCGCATCTCGCAATATCCAGCAATTGAACATTTAGATCGCAGAAACCTAAGAATGTCCAGACGTACAAGTGCATCAATTGATGATCTTCAGCCTGAGCTCAATAATACTGCAATTACATTACAATTAAAACGATCTGGCAAAGTTATAAGAAAAGTCGCTCAGTCACCTCCACTTCATTCGCGATCATTCAAAGCTCCAGAATTGGCTTCCACTGACAGATTTGGTGTTTACAACCACGAAGCAATCAAACATGCTGAACTTGTTTATATATTTAAACCAATGATTCATTTGGGAGCTGTTAGTGCTTTTGGATACAGCTCGTGGAAGTCTTACTTACTTTCGATGTTCTTGGATGTGTTCAGGTAAGAATTTAAAACTTTGTTTATCAAACAAAAATATTTAAAATGAAATTCTTTTGAAGCATTCGTCAATACTACAATAATCGACAATATTTGACAAAAGATCAAAAGAAAGAACTGTCAAGACGTTGTGTTAACATGCTTCTGTACATTCTACGTTCACCGTTCTATGATAAATATTCTAAAGACAAGATTGACTCATTTATGAAGGCGATTTCTAATACAATCCCATTTGCTAAACTTATCGTAGAGCCGTATCGTTCTTACATTCCACATTACCAAGAATCATATTTCTACATGTGGAGTTGTTAATTTTACATTTTATAAGAAACTGAAATGGTTTTTTTATGTTAATGAGTTTAACGAGGGAATTTTTATGGCGTTTATAAAGGTGTAATTAAGAAAACAAAAGAATATAATAAAAATATCAAGTTGTTTAAAGTTTCCAGAATCACATAAAGAAAAGTTTTATTTTCTGAGACATTTCCCATTCCAATATTATCAATAGGTACTTGAATTTTGATTTATGTGTACAATTTATTTATGTTTTAATCTCTCTGAATCCTGTGTCTGGTCTATCTGAAGTCAATCCGAAGAGCTCTAACAAATAAGACAAATAGTTTGGCAAGAAGATACATGAGGAGACAATCAAAAGGAGCAAACTTGAAAATATCACGACATCTGAAGAGAAACATAATAAAACTTACTAAACACATAAAAATAAATTATTTAATTTTCTTACTTATAAAAATCTTTTCCCATGGTTCAAACATCGATGCGCATGTGACTATTTCATACCGTAGATATAAAAGTGAGAACCATTTCTTTATGGTGTCCATATGTGATGTTTTTTTACTATGATGCGTTTAATTTTTAAAGTAGCAATAAAAGTAGCAATAAATTTTTGTTTTCTGTCTTCTTCTTTTTTGGTTCTTTTTACTATATTTCAAAATTTGAATTTCAAATATCCGTTAATTTTCATTTTCCATATTTGTTGCTTTCCAAACGTTGCATCTGAGCTTTTAAAAATCAGAGAAGATTGGAAAATTGATATGATAACATTATTTTTGCAATCATGTTAAATAATTTATTTCTAAATCTCATCATTTATCGTTTCAATCATTGATGAAAAAGTGAAATGGTATCAATCAAATTCTATAATTGCTTTGATTTTGAAAAGAGATTATGGGATATGATGTTACTCGTTTAATCTTCAATTTAATTTCATTTAGAATATTTATTGCTATATGAGATGTTAATACAGTAAACTATATCTAGTTAATAGATATATATATAGATATAGATACAGATAGAAAATATAGATATATTTTAAAACAACAAACAATTTTCAAATAAAAACAACCCAAAAGAATCATCCTTGATTTGTATGTTTCTTTCAAGATGTTTTCAAGCTATACAAAAAATGTATTCACAAAACGGAAATTATAATAGCTTGTGAAAGAAAAGACTCTAATTAGTCTCTCTGGAAAAAGAAAACCGTTCTCAAAAGAAAGTTGAACGGTGACAAATGATAATAAATGAAGAAGAAAGTTTATAATTTTATTCCATAAAACGTTCTTCTTTCTAAGGCCATTAAGCAAATTACATTGAAAGATTGAATAGAAGCATGATTGAAATATTTAGCGAGATTTTTTTCTTCTGAATTGTTTATCAAACATAATTCAAGTGTTTGTATAAAGCAAACAATTTATAAAAATTTATTCCTTTAAACAACATTTTTATTAATATTTTTATTTTATTGGGCAATATTGTGTATGTTGAATTATCAGTTAGACGTGAAAAGTTTGCACTTCCCTTTTAATTTCCTTCTTTTCACGATTTCAAGTTGTTTTACGCTAACAATTTATGTATTATAAGCGAATAACTTTGGTAATTAATAATTTTACAAACTTTGCGATGTTTTCCGTTCTGAAGAAATTTTTGCGGTTGTTGTAAATCGAGAACATCAACCTTGCTTTTAACTTTTTAAAGTCACTGATAATGATATATTTTAATTTTGTAACAAATATTGTTTTCTTAATCCTCTTTCCACTTCAACTTAACATTACTTTGATTATTTTTTAAACAACTCAATCTTTTGATTGTAATTTATCATTATTATTGCACTTGCAAATGAGCGTTAAATCGCTTTCAAATTATGTGGAACAAATCATGAATGAAGGAAGGAAAAAAAGGGGTTGCTAGTGTTGAAAACAAACAATAAACCATCAAATTGAATGGGCTTAAACAAAAATGTTTTCCCTTTACATTTATTGAATCTTATATGATTTTCTTCCTTATTCACATCGAGTGCAAATTGCATAATAAAAAGAGTACATAATGCTAAAGGATATGTTGCATCAACTTGCTTGTTGACAGGGGGAATTCTTCAATGTTTTTCACATCAAACCCTCTAGAACTTTTTGATTTCCGAATCTCGATAAAAAATTGTGAAAGGGACTTAAAGATAAAAAAAAACTTGATTCCGTTTGCCACACTTTTCAACAATAGATGAATTACTGAAATTTCTTCTTCTTTTTCTTTGCCCTACTCGTTGCTGTCATCAAATTTTCATTACGAAGAGCAGAGGGCTTAATATTGGCATATTCGAAAGTCATCAGTGATACCACAGCAACAACCGGAAGCAGAGGAAAATGTTAAAAAGTGTAAAAAAAATATTTCTAGACATAAGCATGATGGAGGGTGATTCAAGAAACAACATAAATATGATGATTTCACCAACTGATGATGACTTCTTTGTTTTATCTTTATGGTAACAAAACACCATTCAACACTCGAGCGGAATTGATAAAAAAATGTAAAGATTTTTATGTCGTCTTTGTGTTTTGTTGTCTTCCTTTGGCGGTGCGAACAAATAATAGAATTCCTTAAATGCTTGAATTATAACGTTTGCGCCCTTACCAAGAATAATGCTATAAAGGAAGTTTCCTTGTTGTTATCAGAAAAGTGAAAACCATAAAAGAAAACAAGACAGAAAAAATAGGAAACTGTAACAAATACTAAACAGAGGAATGAATAAAAGAGGCTTGAAAAATGAAATGAAACTGTTGATGAGAAAAAAAATGAAGGCTCGATTTACAATAAGGTTTGTTGATGAAACTGAAAGTTCTTTTTGTTGCCCATAATTGGCAAATCAATTAGACTTTCACTTTTCTTTCGCAACCTTGAATAAACATTTTTCTTATCATCAATTTCACTTCAGAATCGATTGCAATTTCTGTAAGTTATGTGAAAGAAATTTCTTTGACTTAAATCGAGAAAAGGGTGGAATTTTTTTTTTAAATCGCATAACAATTCATGTTTACTTATCAAGAGGAAAGACTAAACATTCTCTATGAAAAAAGTTCGCAACAAAGCAAAGTGTGAAGATTTTCAGCGGATGACTTCCAATAGTCGGGGGTGTATAAACATTGAATTCAATAAACTTCTCGTTTATTCTAAATTTCATTTGAAATTTATTTCTCACGTGGCATGGGCGAGAGAAAAGAAACGCACGCAAAGGGGGTGATTTTCACCGAATTTATATATTTCTTCACGCCAATTTAAACAATATTCATGCATGATTTTATTATTTTGATTTTTATTTCCACATATTTAATTCAATTTCAGTGATTTGGTGGTTGGGGGAGTTTCATACGAACAGAAGTTCTCTGTTGATGCTTTTCATAAGCGTTGAATGTAACCGTATTTACACAAAATAAATTGTCTATTAACGTGAACACAAAATGCCTGAATGCGTTTATGTCATCTCTCTCCGATGGGAGAAAAGTGATAATAGACATTTTAGTCATCCTACAACAGTGAACTGGCGAGAGAAAGTAAATTGATTTATAATTGTATTACATGATCGTTTTTATGCAGAAATGCTTTCGGAAAAATTCAATTTTAAAGTTAAAGCTTTATAACGTCACAGACGAATTTCAAGCTACTTAATAATTTGAAGTTTAAATCATAATTTAATTACTGAAATAATAATTCAAAGTGTATTGAAATCATTTCAGACTTCGAATAAGATATTTTACAATAACCTTTGCCCTGCTTACTTTTAATAAAGAAGAAAGAAATATTCGAATATACAAAAAACTAGAAAAAAATCAAAGAAATCTCCTTTCTTCATCTCGAGCAATAGAGTTGGGATCGTAAAAAATGAAAGGGTTTGTTGCTCCGAAAGCAAAGCATTCTTATATCCGGTGGACATGATGAGCGATTGATAAATCTGCTTCTTTCAATTTGAAGCTTTATAAAAGCAAAGACTGACCAAGAAAAGGCGACACAAGCAAATGATCCCAAATTGTACTTGAATTCTTTTCTCGAAGAGATTTTCATTATTTTTCCTTTTTCTCCTTTTTCCAAATCTTAAATTGAAATGATTTTGCAATTCAATTTCCTCGCATTTGATGTTGAGAAAAAAAGGCTATAAAACTTGTTTTGAATATTTATCATTTTATGCTTGAGAAAGAAGACGCAGAAGAAGATTCAACACATTCACACATTCCTTTTAATGCCAATTGTCTTGATTTATATTCTCAATTTCTTTTTGCACGAGTTCTTTGTATGTGAATTATCCTTTCTCCTAAAGAGTCTTATGATACATTTTCCTAAAGGATCGGGGTTTGTACGTAAGTGTGATCATCATAAAACTGTGGAAAGAAAATTTCCATCATTTTTTGAAAAGAAAATTTCTTCAATTTGAAGTCATTAAAACAACAAATCTTCCTGTCAAATCAATTGAAACATCACTGACAAATAGCATCAAGCCTGACAACGGATTATTCGAATTTATTTATAAACAGTTTTTCATCTTCGTTTTCTTTTTCCATAGAATTTTCTTTTCAACTTTTTATTCATTCTCATCAAGCTATTTTCTCGGATTTTCCAGTATTTTGAACATTCAAGTGCAAATTGTTTTTTATTCACCGAAACGAAGTTTTGTTCCCATATATGTTACGCTGCGAGCTGTCTATTCAATTTTAAGAGTTTTTTCCTTGTGAAAAATCATTAATCGAAAAAATGAAACAAAATCGCAATTTTCCAAGTGAGAGAGAGAGAAAAAAAATGGAAAATGATTCAATTAAAATTTTGTTATTTAATGCAAAACTTCCCTCATCTCGTTGCATACTCTTTCTAATGAGAGACAATTAGGAAGTTAAGTTGAGGGGTTGAATTATTTAATTTTCTTTGGATTAATTTACTTTCGTCAGATTATTTAAATTCAACTTTATGAGTTCCTAAGATGGTCAAAAGTCCCTTAAAAAATTCTCTTTTATTAATAATGACGACTGAGTTTGTCGTAAACAACAATTATTGATGAAATTGGCAGAAAAGTTGCTAAAAATATGACAATAAAACAAATAGAATCGCAATAGAAAAAAATCTCCAACTTTGAATAGAAAATTGAACAATATCAAGCGTGATCTGAATAAAAATGTTCTCCAATTTGACTTTCGCTGTCGTTCATGGTTAGCTTATGGTGTTGCATATAAACAAGACAATGATTACGGCTTTTCAATCCACTCTTCAATCAAATGTAAGAGAAGAAACGTAAACGATGAATTGCACCCTCGCATGAAAAAAAAATATGAAAAAATGAAAGAAAGAAAATTCTAACTAAATAATTTTATTTCCTGCAAGTTTCGTTTCATGATCAGCACAAAAGGCTTTTTTATTAGACGACAAAAGACTTCATTGTTGGATATTTTATGTAACTTTTTCGTTTATTTGATTTCTTTTCTTTTTTTATTTTTGTTGTGTGAAATATTCAATCAAAAAGTTTGCCTTACTCAGTTATGATTTTCTTTAAATAAAAAATTGTTGATTAGTCATAAAAATACAAAGAATTAAATTCAAATTTTTATTTAGAATTGATTTTCCCAGAAGAATCATGTTTAACAATATTTTTGAGAACTTAGTCATCAATTCCATTTAATTAAATTATGAACTATTAAGAAACTTCGTGAGTTTTTAGATACCGTACTTATAACAGCACAAATTATAAAAAATTGCACATTTTAAATGCTGAAATTCGACGGCTTTGATATTCATAATCAACTTCAATTGCTTCATTTCCATTAAAATTTAATCCTAGAATTTCTTAATTCAATTAAAAGATTTCTTTGATCTCTGACTACACGAAATATATCTTAGCTAAGTTCTACTTTTAAAAAAACTTCTTACTGATCAATCGAGTTCGAGCTGTTGAATCTTAAAGGTGTTGGTCAAATGATAGACGCTTGAGTGTCAGGCTCTAAGGGTGGCGAATTTGTTGTTGTGGTTGGTGAGATTTTTGGTGACGATAAGTAGATGTTAGTTTGTGGGGGTGAAGATGAAGAAGTTATCAAAGGACTGCATCCAAATCTCCATGGATAATAAACACCAGCATACATGGCTTGTAACCTTGCCTGCAAATCTAAAGCTAAAGTTGGATCCACAAGCGGATAATGTATGCCAGCAGGAAATGTTGGCTGTTGAGAATGTTGTGATGAAGGAAACGAAAGCGGCAATTCTATCGTAGTGGCAAATGGATATTTTCCTGTCGCATGATGCGAGTGGTGAAGATGATTGTTGATAATTGGCGAGGTCGATTTCATTGAATGATGACTGGGGTGATGATGATGGTGATGGTGATTGTTGTTATTTGAGCTCCTTGAATCATTATTATTATTATTGCTATTTACATGAAGTGATGTATTTGATGATCCATTGTGCTGACCATTCGACTGTCCACCATTCGAAGGAGACTTCACCAAAGTTTTTGGTTTTCTTCTTGGCCGATATTTGTAGTCGGGATGTTCTTTCATATGAAGTGCTCTGTTATAAAATTGAGATTGAAAAAAGAAATGTTTTAATAAAGAAATCTTCATTGTCTCTTATTTTTATTGAAACGAAGGATGGAAAAAGAAAATAATAATTAATTTCATATTATTTTAAGAATGGTAGTCGAACGTCCGACTAACGCGGATATCCTTGGGAAAAAAAGAATTCTTCATTATTTACGTTACAATGTGATATGAAAGAAAGGAAGAGAAAGAGAAAACAATGAAAACAAATGGCGAGTGTAAGGGAAGACCAAAGATGATATTAAATGAAAGAATAATAAAACCCAACCAGCACAAAGTCCTTTTCACTCGCTTATCAGCAGCCAATATATCAACAATGCTTTTTATTTCTTCTTTCGTCTCGCTTGTTTGTAGCCTTGATGATTGTTGGCATTATATTTATATAATAATGGAAAGAATGAAAGTCCTTTTTTATTGCGATATTTATACAAGGATCCCTTTTTTTCTATTTAAACATCGTCAAGAAGTTTTTTTTTATTTTGATGCTTAAGCTCTCGACTTTCTTTTGCCTTCCTTTTCTCTTCATCGAAAGAAGAAAAAGCATCATCAACGTTTTTCTTCTCTTCTCTCGTTTGCCATAAACACTCTTATCAGCTATTGATGCTGTTTGCTATTTGTACCCAATATTTACATCAAAAGATGAGTAAAAAACATCGAATTATGTTTTTCCTTTTCTTTTTTCATGTCGCTTCGAGTGAAAGTCTTAAAAACTTTTTTTTTCTACTATGAAGAAAATCATTTAACAAGTGAAAAACATGTTGTGGTGGAGTGTTATCGAAGACTGGAGAAACTTAATTTGAAGTGCTTGAAAACTCTTTAAATATCTTCTTAGTTCAATTAGAAGAACTTATCTAAAGCATTTTCACTCCCTCATGAAAAAACTTTATAAAATTCTTTTATTGATCAACGAATTGATTTCGAATGTTTGCTTTTTGTTTTGTGAGCATATTTCTTATCAAGTCAATATCAAGTCTATAAAAAAGTGTCAAAGAATTCTTAACAAAATTTGTATTTGCCTTTTTCAAGACGTAACTAAATGCATAGATATGTTATCCATTGAGAAGGAATAAAACCGGTTCTCAAATAAACTGATAACAAGACTCGATAGAGTAAACACTTTTTTTGTGTGTTTATTGTCGTTTCATATCAATTATTTATTGTAAATTGATAAGAGTCATGACCAATACAATTGTGAAGGAGGAGCGTGAAATATAAAAGTTTAAGCGGGGGATATTTGAACAAATCGTGCTTTATGTTGAGGAGATTAAGATTAGAATTACGATAAAAGCTCGAAATTTCAAGCGATTGAATCAAATGCTTCTTAAAGACAGAAGCTTCATTAGACGTTATGAAAATATTTTTTCTAGAAGTTTTTTTTCTATAAAATTTAATAACAACAACATGAAGAGACTTTGATAAGCTGAGGACACACCTTGCACACCGAAATTCGTCTTTTTAGATAATCATTTTTTGCAGTATTTACTTAGCACTTTTGTAGTAGAAAAAGATATGAGTTGAAAATTAAATTTCTGCGAATTTCTTCATTCTAATCAATAAAATCCTGCAATAAAAATATGTTTTATTTTGTTTTGAAGCAAGTTATTGAGTCATTCGAAAAAGAAGCGGTGTGATAAATAAAAAAGAATCTATAATAATTATTGATTCAATACCGGCAATGTTTGGGCATAAATTGTGGTCTCACAATCAATTTAATATGATTTCATATATTAAATAATACAATTCATCAACATGATTTTTATAATTGATTTGAGTGCGATGAAATTTACAAAAATAACAAAAATTGCCAGCAAAAAGAAAGCACTTTGATTGATGGAAATGAATGGAAATTGATTTCATATATTTTGTCGTCATTAGAAGTCTTTCGTTTGACAAAAACGTGTTGGTTGACTCAACAGTTTTTATTTTCAGCACTTCAATGCATTTTAATATTCAATGCAAAGGAAAAGAAAAGCAAAAAAAAGCTTCAGTTAATTGATTATGCAGCATCGCAAACATTTGTCAATTCGCGTTTTCATTGCTGATGCGACTCTCTTGTCCCATTCACAAAAAAGTCATTTTCCGTTCTCGTTTTGTCGGGAGGACAATACAGCGTTAAATTGTATATTGTTTATGTTTTATTTGCATATCTATAGGAATCGAAGTGCGATGCTTTGCATACAAAATAAGTGCAAGTTGTTGCAGAAAAATGTTACAATTTCATCACGCAATTCTTTCTATTGCATTGTAATAACATTGCTTTGTATGTATCACAATTTAATCAAAACCTGGAGTGAAATGATAGAAGCATGAAAAGCAGGAAACGTTTTCATTGACATTTCAATGGTTATTGATGACGGAAAATTATTTGGAAGAATATTTTGCTTTTCATTTTTAATTTATGAAAATTTGTCGTCATTTTTTGTTGTTTTGGAATGTAAAGTTAGGCTAACTTTATTAAATATAAATTATTTGAACATTTTCATGAGTTTTCTTATTGTCATTCTGTATAATAAAAGGATGACTTCATATCATATTTAAAAGCAGGGTTTTCCTATTCACTCATTATTCTGTCGATTATAATCCTTTCATTCAGTGCCTGTTATGTTATTTTATGGCAACCGATGATAGATATCGTCAATTGTTTTATTTCATTGTCATCGCATTGTACAACTTCATCCATCACCATGTGTGTGAAAATTTGCTTGGCATTATTTTCGATTTAATTGTCTTCCGATGAACAATTGATGTGATTTTAAGTGCAACAATGAAATTAGTTGATAACAAAAGTTTGACTGGTAGTTTTGGCAATTGAAATGAGGGAGATGAGTTAAGTTTTATTGTTTATGAACCTAACCTAAAGGTTTTGACAATTTTACGCTTCGAATTGAAGCGTTCAATCCCCAAATGAAATAAAAACAAGATTTTCAACAATGAATTGTTTGCTCACCTCAACCTCTTGGCTTCATCGATGAATGGTCGCTTCTGCATTTCAGTGAGAAGCTTCCATTCTGCTCCTAATCTCTTACTTATCTCTGAATTGTGCATTTTAGGATTTTCCACTGCCATTTTTCTTCGTTGTCCTCTACTCCACACCATGAAAGCATTCATGGGTCGCTTGATATGCGATGAATTGTGATCCATTGTTCCGTGTGATTGCTGATGACTTTTCGAAGAAAATGTCGTCATTTCTATTGGAACTTCCTTCGTTATTTCAAAGGTTTTAATTTTCTCAATGAATTCCAGGATTTTTGATTGAAGTTTTTTAATGTTTTCTGAATGAATTTTTTAAACTTTCATGTTTTATTTAATTTTTTTAAATAATTCACTTGTAGGAATTTCACTTTTTTATAATTTTTAATTCCGATAATCTTCAGCAATAAATTCCAGCACAAGAACCTTTTCTTTCGAGTGCGTACACGCTGAAAACCGAGCACGTTATGAATTGAAAAGCTGTTTGTTGATAATATAAAAAAGAATTCTTTTTGATATCAAGAGGGAAAAAAAAGAAACGTGATCGGAACAAATATGTGTGCGACGGTATTGGATGAGATTCAAACGCAAACTATCAACAACAGTGGTCTCTTATCAGTCGTAAATACTGCTACAAACAAATATTCCTTTTTCATCTTTTGTAACAGTAAAGGATTTTTTTCCTTTTCTTTCTTCCTCTACACCAACAATGATGGCGAGACACGAGCTTGTTGATAAAGATGCCAGAATGCAAAACAATGCGCAGGAACAATGCAGAATATTTTTTTTCGTGTTTCAAACAAAAAAAGAAGTCAAGGAGTATCAACCACACGTGATTATGCGACACGAAGTATCAACAACAATCTGTCATCGCTCAGAGATGTAATGAGAGATTTTTTTGAACATTTCTGTTAACTCTGTGTCATTATAATTTGTACGAAGCTGCATTTATTGAGGGTGGAATATGGTTTTTCTAACTTTCAGTCACATGGTGAAACGGATTTTGCGCGAAAACATTTTTTCTACAGCCAATAAAATCAAGTGGGAGTGTTTCATTGTGTATTTACTTTTTTTCTCTCTTTTGCTTCTTTCGTGACATTTTTTTTTATCAAACATTTTCTTTGATGATAAAGAACGTGAATGTGAATGAACAACCGACCATTCTTCTCTTACAATTGAAGATATTTTGTGTTGTTTATTTTAGTTTGGGGAAAGGGGGGAGGGTTGTTGTTCGGGGGAGTTATTTAGAATATTAACAGTGATCAGGTTTTGATAAAATAACGAAGAAGGATAGTTTGTTAGTTTCTTATCAAAGGTACGTAAATCGATCAATCAAAATTCTTTTTATTTTCCTTTGTTATTTGTCTACTTGACACTAGCCATGCTGAAATGAAACCAAAACATTCTCAGTCAATTATTGACTTTTATATTAAGACATTAATCCACTTTTATTGCTTTCTCTTTCTCCTCATCACACGTTTGCATTTGTGATATAAAAATTACCCTAAGTCTCACTTTATTGTTATTTCTCAAATGTTTATTCAGCATCCTATTGTCGACGATCTCTTTTATTGTGGTTTTGTTACCATTTTATTTACATTGTGGAGAATGTTTCAGGATTTTGCTTGTGAGACTTGTTCATCTCGTTCTCGGAATATTAAGTGAAACTTTTTTTTTTCAAAGGAAATAAAATGAAATTGAAAAGTTTTTATGGTTTGCACAAAGGAGCTTAAACTAATAAAAGTATATCATTCATTTTTTGCCACTTTTCTCTCCAGTGTGCTGTTACAATTTTCCACAATGAAATAAATTTTCCATTTCAAAGGAGAGCATTGTGTGTTGGTTACGAATGCTTACTTTTAATCCGATATTTGATTGCAAATTTTATGGCAATTATCGGCTTATATTTAGAATGTAAATAACAGCATCAAGCGACATAATTGTTTTTGTCTTTTGTGAGATATGAGAATCCTTTGCCTTTCTTCATTTACATTCAAAATTCTCACAGAAAATTTCTATTCTTTCCTTCTCCTTCGCACCAAGCAAATTAATAAAATAAGGAAATGAGACGAACATTAAAGCCCAAAACCAGAGAAAAGAAACAAAAAACTTCTCAATTGCGAACCTCAACCAAACGTTCAATTGTGCAAAGGTGGAGAAGAACAGAAATCGAGAATTTTCCTTACCGGCTCATAATAAAATTGAATTTCGAGAAAAAATGAGTAGAAGAAAATTGTGAGATGATATGTCGCTCTTCTCTCCTTCTCTCTCTCTCAATCGCTCATTGTGCAACATGCGCTGGATGTGGAAAGGTGTTAGGGAGACAAATATTTCAGATATTTTATGTTTTATTTGATATTTCAGGCGCGAAAATGAAACGAGCGATGTTTCTGCTTTTTATTATTTTTTCATAATTTTTTATTCAAATTACAGTTAGTATTTTGACAGAAAAAAGGTCATTATTTCATATTGTATTGATTTAAGAATTAAAACTACTTCAGTTTATCTGTAATAGCTAAACAATTCTTCCTTTCTTTAATGTTTTCGAAGTTAATTCAAGAATAATTTTACAAGTGACAAGTATAATTGTGTCTGAAAATATTGATTCATCTGTTGTTGTTTATTTTCGTCGATGACGAATGATGATTCTGATAATAAATTTCAATTCTTCTTTATACTTAAATTTAGGTGAACTTCTTCATGTTTTAAAATCCTTTTCTGATCTGAATTTTAGTGAACTTTTCATATTCACAATTGGTGCATAATCTAGACATAAGAATTCTCCATACAATCAATCTCAGACACTTTTCTAGTGAATTAATCAATTTACGTTTTTAAACATTACAACTATTAATTAATCAAATAAACACTCAACATATTTTGGTTCCGCAGCAGTTTTTTTTTGTATTTTTATCAAATTTTATAAGAAAAAAAAATTTTTAGATGACTAAATTTTCCTTAAACGTCGTTTTCCTTCTTTATGATTTTTAGTGCTTTGCAACAGAGATTTTTATTTCTTTCTTGACTTAACTAGCTAGATAATTGCAGAAAACATTCTGCTTTGCATTTCGTTTATTTTACTAGATAGAGTTGAGCGAAAATGTAAACAAAAATAAATGTCAAAATGTGTTGTCGGTTGAAAATTAAAATTGAACTTTCTTTCCATCTCTTTTGACAACATAAAAGAATATTTTTATCAAATCCTAAACCACGATTAATTTCTTTGTACAAGATTATAAGTTCGTGACAAATGTCATTGTAACGCTGCTTATTTCTCTTATTTCAATAGATTTCGAAGGTCTTCTGTGTGTTTGAAAATTATCTAAGACTTTTTCTTCTTCTTTTCACTTACTAACTAGAAAATATTTTCTTAGTGACGATATAAGAATTAATTATAATGAAGAAAAATAAAACCGAAGGCTTTCAAAATTACCCTAAGGGAGAGTTGAAAATATTTTCATTTGTTAGGCTTGTAATGTGATTGTAAAATGCGTGTTACCAATTTTTGATACTTCAATCTCCCAACAAATGAAATAAAAACATTACAGAATATTTATAACTAATTCTAAACTTTGTATTCAACCCAAGAAGCTTCCAAACTTTATTTCACAAAACTAAATCAAATTGTAAATTAAAGAAAATTTCTTTTGTTTTTACTACGAAAATTATTATTAATCATGTCACGATTAATCTTTACGTCAAAAAAAATTCAAATTAAAAGCAAAAAAATCGATCGAGAAAGTTATCGTCAACCGAAGAATTCCAAAAAAAAAACAAGTTAATATTCCGATTATAATATATTCCACATGAAAGGTGCTTTCCTGTCAACACCAACTTACTTTACTTTTAAATGTTCTTCATTTTCTTTTTACAAAAGTCAAATTCGCTGCATGTTTCACTTTTTTTTCTATTGTTTCTTTGTTCACTTAAGAATCTACGAATTTGACTTTAATTTAAACGTGGTTGGTCACTACGGCGTTCTTCTATATGATAAACGGTTGTACCAACACGATAAACTTCACCTGTAGAAGTCCTCAGTGATGGTTCATGAGTTGTTATCAATTGTCCTGATTCAATTTGTTGTCCATCTTCAGTTCGGATGATTGTCGCCTAAAGTTTTTTTATTGCAAATTAATTAAAAATCTTATTAGAATTTTCCGTTTAACTTACATTTCCTAAACTTCCGATGATATGACCTGGTAATCCAGAAATTGAAAGTGATCCATCTGAATTAGTTGTCAAGACGTGTTGCCCAGTTTGTTGTCCATTGACTGTGATTGTTTGCTGGTCAGATCCTGGCTCCATAGTGACAGTTATTGTGTTATTTCCATTTCCATTGTCCGATAAGATTTCCGTTGATGTGTTAGCAAGTTGTTCAGCTGAAAACACAAATTAAATAAAATTTATTAAAATAATGTAAGAAAAACTTACCAGCAGCCATTTCCTTCTTGATTTTTTTCGGTGTTCGTTTCTTAAAATGTCTCAATTCCAAATGTCGCCTCAAGTTGCGTGATTGCCGAATGGTAGCTGAACAGATTGGACATGTCGCTGGTTGTTCCGATTGTGATTTTGATTTTGGCTCTGAAAAAAAATTTCATTATAAAAATAGTGAAACTTGAGCAATAATAAAAATTTAACTTACTGCTTGACTTGTCTTTCGATGGCTTTCCTTCTACTTTGACCTTAACTTCACCAGTTGATGGTTGTTCAACTTGTTCTTCTCCCATTTGTTCAACGATTTCCGTAACCTGTTCCTTATTTTCAACGATCATTTCTTCAGTGGTTGGTTCAACATTAGTGATTGTTGTGATAGTTTCCGATCCAGATGCTTGCGGTTCCAATTTGACGACTTTTGCTGGGTTCTGCTTGTTTGGGGTTTTTGGGACTCTCGGTTTACGTTTGCGTTGTGGTAAGAATTGATTGATAACTTCCTTTGTGACTTCATCGCTCATTTGCTCTGGGAGAATTTCTTCGACAATTTGATGGTGAGTTTGAATTTGTTGTGGTTGTTGCATGATCAATTCTTCGCCCTTTAAAAGAGAGAAAGAAAGGAATTTAAGTAATGTTTATTAGAAAATAGTTTTTGATGTCTGAAATGTATTTCTCTTTACCATATTGTCACCTACTTCGAGAATATGAGTTTTGACATCCTGGTGTACCAGACCTGGATGGATTTGGATCGACGTATAGGCTGTGTCATCCTTGTGAGTGACAGTTTGAGGTGCTAATCCTTGAATGTTCAAGCATTGTGCTGCTTGTAAAAGAGATGGTAATTGAGAATGATCAACGCTGACCTCGCCACGATAAACAAACTCCAAGAGAGCTTCCAAATCGCTCGCCGAAACACCGGCCAACATTACAATTGGATGCTTGCATGTTGTATTCTGAGAAAGATGAGAATAAAAATATACAATTTGTAATCATCACAGAAAGACAGAAGAACAAACGATGTTGTGGGGAAAGGAAACAGAAAAAATAAAGAGTGAGCGAACGAGTCATCACTTTACAGCTACTGCGCACTCACACATTCTAGCAACAAAACTAATAAATTTTTCAAATATTGACGCTCTAAATGTGTGTGAGTTTCTCTATCAAGTCTTGCTTTTTGTCGAAATAAGCGAGAAACGAAAAACCAAGGAAGAAGAAAACTCGAAAGCAAGCGTACGAAGAAAATAAATAAAATAAAAAACCTGATCTCTGATGCGGTTCAGAGAAGTTCTGAGCGTAAGAAGCACACTATTTGTGATAACGGGCCAACCGAGAGATACTTTTCCGAGCGTAAAAGAGGCTCACATTGAATTTCATGACTAGCTTTCAAATCAGAGCTGCTAAAGAAAAAATAATAATATCGCTCGTTGCGCTCGACATGTGAGGGAATCGAGAAAGAAGCGGAGAAAAAAAAAAGAGAAAAGAAGATTTCACAGAGGGAAAATGCTGTATTTTTATCCCTCAATTGCGACTCCGCTTTACTCAATTCCCTTAAAGTCTATTCATGGAGTATTATACTCGCAAATAACTATTGAATGAACCAATCTTTTCTCATCTTTTGCATTTTGTTTTGAAGCATCGTAAGAGGGAAAAGAAAGAATTGAAACTCTTCTCAAATTATACGTACGATGAGGATAATTTTACATTTTGCTTCTTTTTTTACGACACGATACGATTTTTGTGCTCAATACCTCCTCTCAATGAAGCTCTCATTAATTTTTCTGCTTTTATTTTGGAAATTTTTCACTGGCTGTCACAGCAGTGTTTTTTGTTTTTCATTTTACACGAGACACTTTATCAGATTGGATAGAAAGCTTTATGCGCTTTGAATGAGGACTTTTAAAAAGCCTCACATTTTTTTGGTGCGAAATTGAAATAAAATATGGAGGAAATGTGTGTATGTACTTACTTTTAAAAGATTCAAAAGATATGGGCTGGCAGCGCACAATACAATTTTATGTGCTTCGAATGAACGGCCTTCGGCTGCTAGTGTAACATCTACTAAGTCTCCATGACATCGTAGAAGCTGAACTGCAGACACTAACGATGTTCCGTAGTCGCCCCAAGTCAAACTATACAGTGAATTAACAGGAAGAGACATTTTGAAATGCCACGAAAAAAATTTTCTTTTATGGACGCTTCTTTTTATCCACGAAATTCACTTAAAAACACGCTCTAATCACTGTTATTTCACTTAATTCTTGCAAAAGAGGGAAACTTGATCCCAAAAAAAATATCCAAATGTATTTTGTGATATTACAGAATGATTTTATGAGAATTTTTCTCAAATAGCTCAAGAGATTTTAGTTCCAACTCGAGAAAAGATTTGCACTTGTGTTGGTGTATGTCAAAGAGAAAAATAAGGTGAGATATTTTGAGGAATTAGAATGAAAGCGCTTGTAAGTAACTTCAATTGTTGTCTTCTTGTAATGCTTCGATGTTGTTTATCGCTCAACTTTATCTTTTGAAAAATTTAAGGATTATTTCCTTCACTTTTTCTTAGATAACACTTTTTTTCGAATAGGTCTTTATTTTATAAAAACCTTTTAAAAGATAAAGAAGTTAAAACATTTTTCCTGATTGTTCGTTTTCACTGAATACACTCTATATATATTTGTAAGTTCAAATTCTTACAATTTTCTTGTAATTATTGCTTTTCTAAGCTTATGAATATGTAAGAAAGATAACAAGATAACGAAATTTTTGTACTTTTAATATTTTATGACATTGGATAAACAAAAATAAACGAATAATATAAAATATTTTAGTTGCGCCATCTGTCGAATGAATTGAAAATGAAATTTTCTGTTCTTGATTAGCCAGAAAATGTCGGAATGTCATAATTGTAATAAATTTTCATCTATTTATAATCATATTATTGAAGTAAATTACTGAATAAAGATTACATTTATATTCTAAGTAATTTTGAAGAATAGGTTATCATTTTCCTCCAAAATTTTTATAACATTTTTCTATGTGACGAAATCATTGAATTCTCCCCTTCTCAAGTTGCATTTTCAAGAAAATATTTTTATAAAAATGCGGCTGACTTCTTTCTTGCTTAGTAAAGCTAACAAAAAGTTAGGTGATGTTTCGAAGAAGTTTGCAAATTTCCCAGATGAATACATTGCCCGAAGTATGGAACAACTTCATTGGCGTACACCACGAGCACCTCAATATTCGGATAAAACTATAGAAAGAAAAAAATTTAGATTCACAACAAATCGGCCATGGACAGCTCAGTTTTATCAGCAAAATATGCCAGGAACTATTCGAAAGAAAGTTTTTGTTGAACCAATACGTAAGTGGACATTAGAATATTATAAACTTTCTGTTTTAATCGTATTTCCTTATCGATTTAGCTCCAGAACAGTGGATGTACTTTCGAGGAGATCGTGTTGAAGTTCTCGTCGGAAAAGATAAAGGAAAACAAGGAATTGTAAATCAAGTAATACAAGAACGTAATTGGGTTATTGTTGAAGGATTAAATACCCATTTAAGAGCAGTTGGTGCCGATAAAACATTTCCGGGAATTCTCATTCAATCAGAAGCTCCACTCCTTGTGACTAACCAGGTGAAACTGATTGATCCTGTTGATCTTCTTTCAACTGAAGTTGAATGGAGATTTACTGAGGAAGGTGAACGAGTTAGGGTATCAAAGAGAACAGGTCGAATAATCCCAATTCCAAGTCTGCATGAGGAAACTAAAGATTACAAATCAAAGTCGCTTTATGTCGTAAGAGAAAAAGATACCGAAGCTGCTGTTGTAAGTGAAATAACATTTAAACCTAAATTAGCTACATTTGAGATGGAGATAATGGAATCGATGGGAATTGAAGAAGATCGTATTCCAAAGAAAACATATTGGTACTAGTTTAGTTTATTTACCTTCTATCATCTGATAATATTAAATAAAATGTAGGAATAAAATCAAAGTTGTTTATTTTTCAATTCTACGATAGCTAATTACAGGGAATGTTGAGATAAACATTTAACAGTAATTTAGAATTCAAAAAAATGATTTCATTGCTTGGAAATTCATACCCCTTGGTCTGCAGGGATATCAGTGTTAAAAAAAGTTTTCAATTTTAAGACTTTCGAGCTGGAATTTGAAAAAAACTAATAATTAAAGCCAAATTAAGAGTTCAATTGTACATAAAAAGGTAAATAAGATGTTCATGTTAAAGAAAAATATGGAGATTATGTGTTAAATTATAAGTTATGTTGAAAAATATCTAAATATGTGATGGAGGAACAAAGAAAATGAAAATTTGAAAATTATATTAAATTGAGATAAGAGCTGAAGATTTGTGAATCATAGTTTCAGAAATTTCATTCTTCATTTGAATCACGTCCAATTATATGAAAATATTAAATAAAATAGCGTTCAACGAGACAAAAATCGAACGGAACCTCACTTTTATTACTGAATAGAAGAATCAAGAAGAGTGAAAAAAAAATCATGTCGGATTTTTCAAGAGCACCAAGATCAGATATTCAAATAAAGTCTCATGTAATTCTTTTAACGTCACGGGATTAAAAATGTTAGACTTATTTCTAACAAAACTCTTAATTGAAAACATATTTTTCTAGAAAATATGAAAATATTTTCAATAATTTCTTGCAATTCTAAGAATTGTGATGTAAAAGCTACGCTTCATTTTCTTTTTCGAAGAATTAATAAAAAGGACTTATGTGAAGTGTATGTAAGATATCTTCGAGAAGATATCTTTTATATAAGAAACCACAAATTTTTCTGGCAAACTTTATAAGAAAAAGGACATTTTTAGTAATTTTTCTTGTTATATCAAAATTCTTTTCAAAGAAAATATATTAATAGACGAATATTTATCTTATCATCGTCATGTTTTTTTTAGTATGTTCTTCATTGGATGAAGATATTTTAAGAAAAATTGCTTATTTCATTTTTTTGCATCTTATTCAATCGTTTCTAACTTTAGTTCGAAAAAAAATAATAAAAATTGCAACTAGAATGGAAATAAAATTCAATTAATTTTCATTTTGACCTATATTGGTTGCCTCATTCCACATATACAAATGGGCACGTCCATGGTAAAGATGAGCAGTTGAGTGACGATAATAAATTAATTTACAAAGGAAATTCATCTAAAATTTCCGTTTTTTCTTGTTTAACGCTGAAATTTGATAATTGAATAGAACAATACAAAGTTACAAATGTTCCTTCATTTGTTAACAAAAAAGTGAAAAAAATGACTTTAGTTATTGAAAGTGGGTCGTTAAAAAAACTTGACCTAATCTCGATTACAGTTTTGCGCTGAGCTGCGTAATGAGTTTGCAATAAAAAATGAATTCGGTTTTAGTTTTCACAATTCTCTTCGTCCAACTTAAAATTTTGTTATTTCATTCATTCATTTGTTATCAAAACTTTAACTCATTACTCATAATTTACCGCATTGAGAAAATGCGCATCATTGAAGACGGTAGCAATGAACTTGAAATGTGAGAAACTTCGCTTGCTTGAGACATTAAAACAACAATGTTAACCGTCTATTAAAAATAGTGATCCACTTGATTGCATCATCACCATCATCATCACGACAAGACAAGACAAGTTCATTATAAATTATTCACCTTTATTCACGGGCAAGCATTTCTTAATGTTTAACGTGTCGCTTTCTTTCTTGTCTGAAGCTTTCTCAAGTTTCAAGGAGATTCGAAAAGAATTTCATGTGAATGCGAAATATCTTAGTTAAAGGAATGGAGAAAATAAAAATTGGTAAAGAACACAGACCAAGAAACGGAATTGAATTGAACGCAAAAAATATGTGAACAATCCAGTCGATTAGCGAAGCGGGTCATTGAACTTTCGTCTTGCCAGGTTCTTGTGCCATTGGACGTTAAAGAAATTTCTTCTTGCTTCTTTCTTATTTTTATTTTTCTTTCGTGATAACAACGCAAATTGAAATTGTGAAAATAATACTCGTAGAGTAATAATATGAAAACAAAGCCACCAAAACAGAACCGTTCGACTTTCAAATGTTTCTTTTCTTTTATTATGTCTCGTCGTCATCTGGTTGCAATTTCAATGAAGTGATTTATGATTTCTTTTGTCTGTTTAATAAATATTGATATTAGATATTAATAAAAATATTTTTTTTTCAGATTTATTTCTCGTCATTAACTTCACACATACACACAAAAGTAAAGCCGGCGACACTCCCGTTTTTTCATCATCAACAAAGAAGGGAAAAAATCCAAAGAAAGAAACTTTTTTATTCAAAGTAAATTTGCTTTGTGTTTACTTCTACGTGTTTTCAAGACATTTGAGGTGATAGCCAATAGAAGAAGGAGTTAAAGAGAGTTTATTTATTTTTCTTTTCGTTGAGTTCGCGAAGTGATTTTTGTTTTTAAAAAACCATCAAAACGGAAGTTTCCAGGCAAGCAGGAACCGAGCAACGCGGATTGGGAAGAGAAAAACTTCCCGAGATTCGTGCTTGGATTCCTCCATCTTTGCGACCGCAACATGGACTTACTGAGGAAGCGCAAAGAGATGAAGTTTTCCGAAAGGTTCGTGGTATTTTGAATAAACTCACACCAGAAAAATTCCAACCGCTCAGCAATGATTTGTTATCGCTAAATCTCAACTCGAAGAAGATCCTCCTTGGTGTAATTCATTTGATTTTTGAGAAAGCATTAGATGAGCCGAAATATTCGTCTATGTACGCGCAGCTATGTCGTCGCATATCGAAAGAAGGATCAACGCTTGAAGCTGAAAACGATTACTTTGAAACTTTATTAATTCGTGTTTGTCGTGATAAATTCATAAATCGTTCGCAGTACAGTGAAAGTATAATCAATTCGCCATCAACAGGCGATCCAAATGAAATCGACGAGGAAGAGCGCCGCTATGTCGCCAAACAGAAAATTCTCGGTAATGTTAAATTCATTGGAGAGCTGTTCAAGTTGGACATGCTTAATGCAGCGATCCTTCACAACATGCTCGAACAGTTGTTGGATAAAAAAAGTCGATCCAATCCAACTTTGGAAGACCGATGCGAGGATATGGAATGTTTATCGCAAATCTTTCGAACCTGTGGTAAACATCTCGACACAGAGAAATCGAAAAACTTGATCGATCAATATTTCGACATCATGGAGCACAAATCAAATTCATCGAAATATCCAGCGCGCATTCGTTTCTTATTGCGCGATGTCATTGAATTGCGAAAAGATGGATGGAAGCCACGTAAAGTGGCGCGTGTTGAAGGACCTGTACCGATTCAGGACTTGAGCACAGATGAGGAATACATAAGGCAACAACGTGACATGCGTTCACGTACAATGGAATACCAGAATCGTAATAACGATCGTAATTGGATGGATAAGTTGCCGTTGAGTTTGCAATCGATGAATAATTATGGTGGGCCATTGTCAATGACAAGTTCAAGTTCATTGATTTCCGGTCCTTATAATCCATCTGGTAACAGCTACAATTCATTACGCGGTGATGGATCAATGATGGGTGGAGGAGGAGGTGGTAGCGGTGGTGGTGGTGGTGGATATCGTAATAATAATAATCATCATAATCATCATCATCATCATCGTAATCATGATAACAATTCACGTCCCATGAAATATGGAAATGACATGGGAGGAGGAGGCGGAGGAAAATACAACAATCATCAAAACAATGATGGAAAAATGATGATGATGAATCAAAATAAAATGAAACATAATCATCGACAACATGATGGAATGATGAATCAAAATCATCATCATCATGGCAATCATTCAAACAACATAAATCAAAATTCTTACAACAACAACATGATGATGAATAATATGAACAACAATAACAACAATAATATGTTGAATAAAGATTTAGCGCCACGTTTCAAGAGAACCATCATGACACCGTCAACGCCAAATTCAGTTGATGAACTTCAAATGCGACCGGCGCCAAACAGTTTGTTGTTTAAAGCGTCAAGCATGAAATCAAATCATCATCAACAAATGCCGTTGAATCAGCCAAGTCGTAGTGCAAGTGGATCGCCAGGATTTACGTCATCAAATGTTGATAATTTAATTCCATCATTCAACAATGCTATGAATGGATTGAATGGTAAAATTCATGCATCTCCCGTTCCTCAACATCAACAAAAGCGTGAATCCCCTCAATTGAATCAAAATCAAACGACTGCACATTACATGACAGCAGCTGGTGCAGCACAAGCAGCTAAGAATGCAGCAAACTTAAATGCGTCACAAATGAAGTCGTCATCACCACAAAATGTTCCAAAAGATCAACAACAGCAGTTGATGGTGACAAAGCAAGGATCAATTGAGAAGCCGAAGCAGAAGAAAGACAAGGGACCGAGCAAAGATGAAATTTTAAAGAAAGTTGCACAATTTATTAATGATTCATTGCTGGATAAGAAGTTTGTTGAAGGCTATCAAGAGTCGAAGAATAAAGCTGAGAATGACGAGAAAGAAATAATTTCTGATGACATGCATAACAACAACAAGAATAGCAATGGACACGCAACAAATGGAAAAGCTGAAATTATTGAAGATTGCACATCAACAACAAATGGCGATGGTGAAGAGAAGAACGACGAAAAGATTGAAAATGAAGGCGAACATAATGTTGTGAAAGATGATGATGTTCAAGCAATTGATGATGAAAATGCAATTCCAACACTTGAAGACATCTTTAAATCATATTACGAACTTAAAGTGCCTGAAAAATTCCTCAAAGATTCCATCATGAAGATTATTAATGAGTCACTTGATAAAGGTGAATCAGCACATGAGATAATTGTTGACTTCTTTCAAATGATGCAAAAGGATAAGAAGATGAGCGTCAATCAATTGTCAGAAGCATTGCGTGGTGTCATCAATGGCATGAGTGAACGTGAGAAAACAATTCCAAAGATCACGACATTAGTTGCTTCACTTCTTGCTCGGACAATTACAAAGAAGATCAGCAAGTTGACAGATGTGGCAAACTTCACTGACAATGGTCAACATTATCCACTTTTGTTACTCGTTCTTCAACATCTTCACAAATCTATCGGTGATGATCCGCTGGTCGTTATGTTCAATTCGAGTAAAATAAATTTAATGCAAAGTTTACCGGAATGTGATCGTACAAAGGAACGTTTAGCAGAGATTCTTGATGATAGGAAATTGAGCTTCCTTCAGCCTTTGTTAAGGATTGAATCAGAACTTCTACGACAAATTCAAAGCGATTCACAACCACAAACGTTTTATAAATGGATTAAAGACAATGTCGACCAGTCACGTTATACTGATCCAGGCTTTATAACTGCTTTGATGATGGTTCTTTTGAGATTCATAACTCAAGTGAGTTTTTCATTCATTTCTTAACTGGATAATTTAATTAAAATTTCTTTTCAGGAAACGACTTTCCCCGAAGGAAGCGATCCAACAAAACTTCCAGAAAAGCAACAAGTTGAAGCCGAGAAGAAATTGTTGGTATCGTTCAGTCGAATTTTGAACGCATTTCTTACCGGACATTTGGACTTGCAATTGATTGCGATTTATTCGTTGCAAGTTTTCTGTTTCAATCGTCAATTTCCTAAAGGTAAATGAAATTAAACGAGGGAATGAGAAGATTTTGATTGTAATTTATGTTTCAGGAATGCTTTTGAGATGGTTCACTGCATTATATGAGTTGGAGATTGCTGAGGAAGAAGCTTTTCTAAGATGGAAAGAAGACATCACTGACGCATATCCCGGGAAAGGAAAAGCTTTGTTTCAAGTCAACTCATGGCTTACATGGCTTCAAGAAGCTGAATCAGAAGAGGAAGATGACGAATAAAATAAATAAATAAAAAAATTAAACAAATTTAACTAATCACAATCTTTTAAACACAACATGAAGAAGTAAACAAGTGGCACAACCAGCGTATAAGTAAATTAAATTAAATTAAATGATTAACAAACAAGTGACTGATATGAAGTGTTGTTTCTGTTACACAAAAAAAAGAACTGCATAAATATATAAATTATATGACAAGTAACAAGAAGTGAGAAACGATACATAAAAGAAGAGAATCTTCTAGTAGTTAAACAACCAACAAATCAATCAACCAACTGCAAAAGACTCATTCATGAATCATGATTGTGTGCTGCGAAAAGATGCAAGAAGTTTAAAAAGATGTTTAAAAGAAAAATTCTATTTCATAATTATTGATTAAAGAAGAATAGTAAAAAAAAAATATTTCAAATCCGAGTATCTAATAACATAAAACTAAACATTAACATAAAAGCATTCAAGGAGGAAAAAATTAAGAAATGTTCATGCAACTTAGAAGTGTTTTTAACTCTTTTTTTAATTTTTGTTTTAAATTATCTTCACTAGATAAATTTTTAAATGAAGATTATGACAATTAAGAATGAAAGCTTCCCAAATAGTTCATTCATTGACTACGAGTCGTGATGGCTTGTTTGTAGTTTTTAAATATATTTCGCCTTCTGCTCTGCCGAACATTTTGTGATCGGACATCAATTTTTTCTGTTCTGTATCTTTCTGATTGTAAATCGTGTCTAATAAAACTTAAATATATATTTTCTTTTATGTTTATCATAAAAAAGCACGTGTCGTTATGTGTTGATCAAGTTGTAGTTCTGTAAGGTATGTGGATTCATGTTCTAGTGAATTAAACTTCAACCTCCTTCCAATAATAAAATAACTTCTAATAAATAACAAACTTTGTGCACATCTCTCGGTTTTATGAATGAATTGCACTTTAATGATAAGAAAAGAATCTTTTCCTCCCACATACACCCACAAATCTTCATAATGGTGCAGTATAATAATAAATAATTAATTATCGTCTTTAATCACAATGACAGAAGAAAAAAATTAACAAAAAACAAGAAAATTTCAAAAAAAAACTTTTGAAATAATCTTATAAAAAAAATTAATTAGAATAAATTTTAAAGATCGTCGTGAAGCAACTTAAGAAAATATTTTATTCTTTATAATCAAATCGAGATATCTTACTTTTCATAGAATAATTTTCATATTTTATAATTTAACTCGCCATTTTATGTCACTGCGCCTCTGACACTCGTGTTGTATTTACGTTAACTAACTTGATTTTGATTGATTGATAATAGATTGAAATGAATAGATGGCAATATTAATAATTATTAAATCTTCATCTTTCCTTCTCCTCTTTTTATTTACTTTTGTGCATAAAATAATAATCTAAGTTACGATTGTCGTTCGACTTTGTCGTCGATAAATAGAAGTAAAAAAAAAAGTGTTTCAATGTAATCAAAGGTGATGAAAGGTAAAATAAATTTAAAGTTTTTAAAATTATCTACGAAAGATTATAATGAAAACATGTGGAAATTAAAGTGTTCAACATTCATTCAATAAATGAAATGAGAAAAGAAAAAACAAACGCGCAATTCTGAGATTGCATTCATCAGAGCTCGCAAAAATATTGAATTAAGTTAATGATTTAGAGTAAGAAATATTTAACTTGATGGCGGTATTGTTTCATCATTGTTGAATTAAAGAATTAATCATCAGTTTTATTACTCAAAGTTCTTATTCAATCTCGTGATTCTGTAATGAAATTCATATTTTGTACGAAGTAAGGTGACAAAACGAGAATAAATTTATTTTTTCCTTAAATAACATAATGAAAATAGATAAAAGTCATCAAGATATAAAATAAATATTAACATTAAACAATAACAATGAGTTGCAGAACTCCCCCTCACGACAAAACTCTCTTCAATGTAACATTAAACACCCACACATAACATCAACCAAACATTTTTTTAAATAAATAAAATAGAAATCAATTCACGCGAAATGTTGCGAAACGGAGTAATTAAACTAGTTAATAATAATGAGCTTTCATAAATTAACATTTTCCTCCTTCCTTTGTACGAATGAATTATCATAAATAATTAAACATGTAAACGTAAGAAGAAGAATTCTGTTTTTGTCCTTTTCTACCCCTTGAGATATTTGTCGCCTTCTTTTTCCATCTCCCTCACACTACATAAAAACTCAAATAAAATTTTTCTTTAATTAAAATCGTAACAAAAACATTTAAATAGATAATATTTAAAAGTGAGTCTTTTGATCGATAGGTAATTAATTTATGAGATATGTAACTGAAAGTAATGAATGTTGTGTAACATGAATTACATAAAAATAAACAAAGCATGAAATTAGGATTTTAAAAATATCGGATGAAAAAGAAAATGAAAATAAAGATGAAAATCTTAAACTTAGAAAGAGGAGAAAACTAGAAATGTCAATTGTATTCATTAAATTATTTACTTCTTCTTTTCCAGTGATGATGATTAAGCAATTTACTTAATAAAATAATCTTCGTCATGATGATTCATCTGAAATAATCTTAAAAATAAAATTCTTTGACTTTCAGATTGAGTTTTTTTTTATTTCATTTCCTTTCTTCAAATTCGTGAATTTATCATACCAGCCCAAAAAAAAAAACATTTCATTGCTAGTATTTTCCTTAAAAATAACATTTAAAGTTTAATTTTGGGAAAAAAGTTAACTTATTTGTAATTGATGAAAACTTCCAGTTTTTGTAAATTGTAAGAAGCAAAAAAAAGCAAATTCTTTGTAAGGCGCATAAATAAGAGTGGAAGATTAAGCAGAAAAATCAACTTAAGTCCAATGCGCTTAAACTTAATCTAAATGGAACAAAAAGATTAATTCGGTGTTTGGAAAGAGAAAGTTTAATGACTTGTAAGTTAATTCAACATTTTAATCGACTTCTTCCATGTGTGAAGCATCTTCGGAATCTTCAAGTGGTGGCATGTCAGATGCAGCAGCAGCAGCTGGTTCTTCTGTTGCCATCGGTTCATCTTCATCAATTCCAAGACCCAACTTGATCATGCGATAAATACGAACAGCATGAACTTGTGGTTCGTCTAATGAGAATCCTGAACTCAACAGAGATGTCTCGTAGAGTAAAATGCACAAGTCTTTAACTGCTTTGTCGTTCTTATCAGCTTCAGCCTTTTGTCGGAGTGTCTCAATGATTGGATGGTCTGGATTACCCTCAAGATGTTTCTTTCCAGCCATGTAGCCCATGGTTGTTGTGTCACGAAGTGCTTGAGCTTTCATAATACGTTCCATGTTAGCTGACCAACCATATTGCGATGTGACAATACAACATGGTGAATCAACCAGACGATTTGAAACAATTACTTTCTCAACTTTGTTATCCAAAACTGATTTCATGACTTTGCAGAGATTCTCGAACTTGGCTTTGTCTTCTTCACGCTTCTTCTTCTCTTCTTCATCTTCTGGCAATTCCAAGCCTTCTTTGGTAACGCACACAAGTTGTTTACCTTGATATTCTTTAAGTTGTTGAATGACATATTCATCAATTGGTTCTGTCATGTAAATAACTTCAAATCCTCGCTTCTTGACACGTTCAACGAAAGCTGAGTTGCTAACTTGTTCTTTGCTTTCACCAGTGATGAAGTAAATTGATTTTTGACTTTCCTTCATACGTCCAACATATTCACCCAATGAGCACATCTCATCACCAGATGCTGATGTTTGGAAGCGAAGCAAATCAGCTAATTTTGCGCGATTTGTTGAATCTTCATGAACTCCAAGTTTCAAATTCTTGCTGAATTGCGAGTAGAATTTCTTGTAACTTTCTTTGTCTTCAGTCAATTCTTCGAACAATTCCATGCATTTCTTGACGAGATTCTTACGAATAACTTTAAGAATCTTATTTTGCTGTAACATTTCACGTGAGATGTTCAATGGCAAATCTTCAGAGTCGACGACACCTTTCATGAAGTTCAAATAGTCAGGAATCAACTCTTCGCAATTATCCATGATGAAGACACGACGAACATACAATTTAATGTTATTCTTGCGTTTCTTTGCTTCAAACAAATCAAATGGAACGCGACGTGGAACGAAAAGTAAAGCACGGAATTCCAATTGTCCTTCAACCGAGAAATGCTTAACAGCCAAATGATCTTCCCAGTCGTTTGTCAAGCTCTTGTAGAACTCGCCATATTCGTCTTGAGAAATGTCTTCTGAATTACGTGTCCAAATCGGCTTTGTCTTGTTTAATTCTTCATCTTCCGTGTACTTAACTTTCACAGTCTTCTTCTTCTTCTTATCATCCTTCTTGTCTTCATCCTCATCGTCACCAACATCTTCAATCTTTGGTTCGTCACCTTCCTCCTTCTTCTCCTCTTCTTCTTCTTTCTTCTCTTCTGGTTCAGCTTCATCGTCGCTTACTTCCTTCTCACGCTCTTTCTCGACGAGAAGTTTGATTGGATAGCCGATAAATTGTGAATGTTTGGTGACGATTGATTTGATCTTTGCCTCTTCCAAGAATTCAGTTTGATCTTCTTTGATGTGTAAGATAATCTTTGTTCCACGTCCCATTGGTTCTCCCTCGTCAGGTGTGATTGTAAAGCTTCCACCAGCTGATGATTCCCAAACGTATTGTTCGTCATCGTTGTTCTTGGAGTGGACGACAACTTTGTCAGCGACAAGATAAGCTGAATAGAAACCAACACCGAATTGACCAATCATGCTGATGTCAGCACCAGCTTGGAGAGCTTCCATGAATGCTTTGGTGCCGGAACGTGCGATTGTTCCGAGGTTGTTAACGAGATCAGATTTGGTCATACCGATACCAGTATCGATGATTGTAAGAGTTCTGGCTTCTTTGTTAGGAATAAGTTTGATGAAGAGTTCCTTGCCTGACTCCATTTTCGATGGATCGGTGAGTGACTCATAGCGGATCTTATCCAAAGCATCGGAAGAGTTTGAAATCAATTCTCGTAAGAAAATTTCCTTATTCGAGTAGAAGGTGTTGATGATGAGGGACATAAGCTGAGCAATCTCAGCTTGGAATTGAAAGACTTCAGCATCTGGCATCTAAAAAGATATTCATAAGAAAATTTAATTTCAACGTTTTCTTTGTCCTCATTTTGTTTTTTTCGTGTGAAAAATCTTTCCGGAAATGAAGAAAAATCGATTTTTTCCTTTCTTTGTAATATTTTCACTATTTGAACACAAGAAAAATAAGCTTTGAAAACTATTTCATGATATGATGATTAATTTCATGGGAACTATTAATATTCTAGAAGTTTCTAAAACCACGCGGTTAATGAAAATTGAAAATTTATAAAATGCCGACTTTTTTCACATGTTCACTAATTTTTTGATGATTTTATATCAAATTCTTACCTTTGCAAATGTTAAATATTATTTAATGTGATCAAAAATATAAATTCTTCACAAATTTTCACCAAATTTGAATACTAATCTGCTTTGAGTTTAAGATTTCTTTGCGCTTTATCTTCGCTTTTCACTTCGAAATCAAGTTTTCAACTGAAACGCGAGCGATTAAAATTCTCATATTTATAGAACAAGAGAAATTTCTAGAGAAGACGAAAAAAAAGTGAAAGAGATGCAAGATGTGAATAACTTTTCGTTAAAACGAAATTTGATGCTAAAGGGGTGCAAATAAGAAAGTTAATTAAAGTAGTTTCATTATTTAGACCACAATTAATGTTTTTATCTGCGAACAAAAGTAATTTCAATCTTATTTTAACAAAACTCAATAATTCAAAATTTCCCCGCTTTTTTATTTAACGAAATAATTTTTCTTACTCTCGCGCATCAAATTTTACTCTCACGAAATAAATTTAATTCTCATTTTTTCACCGGATATTCCAAGCGAATTTGGATTCTTCTAGAAGGTTCTAGAACATTCCATTTGGAAATACGTTATTATTAAATAGAAAGGTTTGCTAAACTTGTTTATTATGATTCAAGTATTGATATTTTCTAGAAAACATTTCATCTAATTACACTTTTCATTCATGATTTTCAATTTGAATGTCACTGAAAATTTGTTCAGTTTCCGGAAGAGTTTCGCTCTCAAATATTTTTAAAAATCATTCCTCTCCCGAAATAAGATGCACGATCGTTTTGATATCAAAGCTGCTATAAAACATAAGAATAAATTAATACCAACTAAAGATCTGATTTGGGGTGGGGTTCATATTAATCAGGTAGATACCTGCAAATTATCAAATGTAATAAAATTCAAATTTCAAATGTGCATTGATATTCGTCTAGTTTTTATTATGAATGCTTACAGACATTAATTAAAAAGGCATGAGGTAATCAACATATCTACCTAGTTAATAAGAACTAAACATTAACCTATTGGAGTTCATGAACTCCTTTTATTTTAAAATCAATTCTATTCAATTTATAGTTTTTAAAATGTCTCAAAATAAAATCCATGAAAATATAAATTAATTTTTGAAACATGAATCAAAGAGTTAAAACATCTCGAAAATTAATGCTTTCAAAACAAACATTGTTTTTATATCTTGACACTGACTGCCATAAACTTTCCATGTTAGCTGAAAATGAAAAATGTTCTCAACTGTGGAAAACTTTTTGGTTTGTTTTTCTATCATGCTTATGTTTTGCTTCTAATTGATGTTATTATACTTTAGTGAGATATCATAAATTAAAAACATATTAAAGTCTTTAATCATTGCTTTTAAATGGATTTGAATGTTGCAATGTGTATAAAATATTTAACAAAGTATTGTCAAATCACTTGAGTTGTTTGAAACTTTCATTGTTAAGGTTTTCAAATATTAAAGAATCAATTCATTAACATTTCTTAAATGATGAATTATTGACAATTATTTAAATATTTTTCCAATCGATACCCGAATTTTTGCGCCTGTTGGTTATGCAAAAGATTTACAAATTATTTCTAACAAAACAAAATTAAACTAAAAATGAATATTTCTGTGAAATATGAAGTAAAAATTCATTGAAATGAATAAAGCTCACAGTATGTTCTAATATTGTTTATTAATAGCTATGACAGAGATTTCACATGTTTCAATTAATAATTTCTGCGTCAGTGTTAACAAGCCGTAGAACACTCAAGTGCAGGTGATTTATAAAGCTGAAGATCATGAGCCAAGCCTAACATTGATTAACTTCATATGTGATATTCATTTGACACGAAAATCATGATCATGTGGTAAAATCATTTTTCATCGCTTTAAGTTTTCTTTTTTCTGATATTTTTCTTCGATCTTTCAAGAGAAATATTTAAGTGGTCGTTTTCTCTCACAACGCTGTCAAATTTTCTGTCATCATGATTGATGATTGTCAACATTTTCATTGTTTTGAGTAATTCTCTTTAATTATCATGTCGAAATGAAATGTTTCAAGAATAATGTTTGAGTGAATGATTCTTTAGTAGATACTTAAAAATGTCAGTGAAAGTAATGAGTAATAATTAATACTTTAATTTTATTTAAAACGTTCTTATTTACATAGATAGAAAGAAGAAATTAAATGTTTTTCAACTGACAAAAAAACCGAAAGTGAATTGCGCCAGCCAACAACAGATTTATGAGCGGTGTCGACTTATAAGAATTCGCCCACCGGCTTGATGATCAATTCGTGAATCTAAAATTAAGAAAATTAAATTGTGTTATGCTATATTTAGTTGCCATCAGGCTGCATGCAAACATGTGTGCTTGCATGTAACTTACTAGGACATTTTCAGGAGTTGAAATTGCATAAATTACAGCATCAGATACATCTTGTGGTGTTAGTTTCGGCATAACTTTGATCATTTCGTGCGATGTATTAAGTGTTCCCACGTCACCTAATTAATTACACGATGATGAGAACAAGAAAAATGACAAGATTTTCATTATTACGCAATGTTTATGACGAAATATCAACGACACGTAACAATAACAAGTCAAAGTATTTTCAGTGCGTGAAATACTTGAGAAAAATTTCACTTTTATTAACGAGCCCAAAGTTGAATGTAACGGGAGTGTCCGAGTTTTTTCTAATAATAGCAATGTCAGCCGTAAAACTGTCAAGTTCAATATTAAATTTCTTCTCAATCCTTATAAAATATTAGCCATCGAACTCATAAATATTTCGTGAAGAATTATGAAAGCTAATAAAAAGTTTTCTGTTGGCATTTTTGTGACTATGACTAATTTTGAACATTAACTGATATGATTTTACGACGAGAAGTAAATCGTTGCTGTTCGCTATAAAATTAAGTGATGAAATATTGTAAAAGATTGCTTACCTTCGACCAATCCCGGAGAAATACTTGTACACTTTATTTTTGTTCCTAAATACAACAATTCTTGACGTACACACTCGGTGATGGCTGTGACGGCGAATCTAGAGAATATTAATTGATTAAAAGATGATTTTGTAGATGATTTAAGAACATTTTACTTTGAAGCTGGGTACATTCCATTGAGTGGTTTAGTTCCAGGCACACAAGCATGAATTTTGTGTCCGAAAATGGAGTTAATATTGACGATGTGTCCGATGGTTCCTTCTTCCTGATCGCGTTTCTTCATAAGTCGTGCTGCTTCACGTGTAACCAAGCACAATCCAATAATATTTGTTTCCATAGTTCGATATAGTTCAATTGTGTTTTTGGGATCCAAAAGAAGGCCTTTGGTGATGACACCAGCGTTATTTATCAGAAGATCAACGCCACCACAAACATCTTCAATCCATTTGAATGCGGCAGCTACTTGACGCTCATCACGAATGTCACATTCTATGCATTTGAAATTTACTTCAACATACTTGTCAACGAGATTTTTACGGACAGCCTAAGATCGAACAAGAATTGAATGAACCTTCTAACTTAAATTTTCTACGACTTTCCCTACAAACCTCCATTTTATCTTTACGCTTTGACATTCCACATACAATCATTCCCGCTTCAACCAAAGCTCGACATAATTCAGCACCAATGCCAACTGTAACAATAATTTATTAATTCTTTCTCTCAAAACTAATTCAAAAATTCATTTTAAAGTTATTTCTAAGAAAATCTTTACACGATTTAAAATGCAGACAATTTGATCACAACATAAATCTTAAATTTCACTGTCTAGTTTGTATGCGGTTTTCCTTGTAAAATTGCATTATTTTTATAAGTTTTTTTTAGGTCGAGTTTAGCAACTGCATTGTTTTTCTTTTCGAAAAAGTTTTGTCAAATATTTTTCACTCACCAGAAGCACCAGTCACGACGGCAACTTTTCCTTGCCACTTTTCCATTTTTTCTTCAAAAATATTTTACTCGACGAAAACTTTTGCTTGGTTCTAAATGGTAATGTTGATCACTTAGCGTCTCACTGGCGAATGACTATCAGAGAAGAGATCGCCGATTTTACTTTTATATCGCGATTGATGTAATGGTGAAAAATTTTTTTGCTAATTTTTAATGAGAATCTCTTGTTTGTTTGCGAAGAGAAGAGCGCAGCGAGCAGGAAGATCTTCTAACATTATTGTATGAAATTTATTATTGAAACCCTGAGAATCTTAATCCTACGCTCGGATACCAAGACAATTCAGGCATCAGCATCATGCCGATGGAGTCGTGTCTAAGAGAAGACGACGAGCAGAATATCAAATATTTCTATGAAATATTAACTGTGATAAATCTCAACACATGTCCAAGGCTTTTCCTTGGATGTCAACATGCTGAAATAGATTCTTCCTCTCATGTCCATCTATGTTCATTTTCCATGGACAATCATATTTCAAAAGTTTTCATTAAACAAAAACTTCTCTTGACAACTTCTCGGTGTACATTCTTGAACTCTTTTCTCATCTGACCGTCAAACTCGCTTCTTCTTTACTCTTCTTGAGAGTGAACACTGAAAAGTGAAATCACTTTAAAAACACGCGAAAAACAAATGAAAAAGAAAATAATTTTCTTTTTTATGAAATATTTGTGGGGCAGTTAAGGAGACGACATTCCTTTGATATTTCATATCTTTAGACTTTAAACATGATGATTACGTTTTGTATCTCGACGCTGATGTATTATCTTCAATATTTTGTTCCTTCCAACAATGAAAATCTCGTAAAATATCAAATAGTTTTAGACATGAGTTATTTTTATATCATCCGCAATTATTTTCGGATGTCTCTTGAACTTTATGGTAGTCTGTAGTCAAATCAACCTAGATTCGAAGTAATAAAATATTAAAAGTTGTCAAAACCTCAAATCTTCATGACATTGTGAAGTTTAAATAGAATTGTTATTGCAAATTTCTTTTATACAACTCAACTGTCCACAAGTTTACATGTTTTTGAATCTAAATCGTGGAATGATTCAAAATTGAAACATCGAACGAATTCATCATAGAATTTGCGACATTAAAACTCTTTATGACAGTTCATGTTAGATTAAACATGTTTTTTAAAGATACAAGTGAAAAATAAATGTTTTTCGTTTCATGTCAAAACATTGAGACTGTTGAACCTCAATTTCGAGTAACCATTTAATGATGCTGGTTGGAGAGTTCTTTAAACTCTGTAAACAATTTCGATGAAACTTCTTATAAACATTGTTTGTTTAGACTTTAAATGAGTTATGCAATGAATCAAGTAGTAAAATTATAAAGAAATTTCTGTTTTACTAATCAAAGATTAAGTACATTCTCTGACATATCCTTCAAACTTGCTCCCAATATTAATGACACTGAAAAATTAGAAATTTCACGGCCTGTCGGAAAAAATTGCAGAATAAACAATCACGGTGTACAAAAATATTTAGTAGGGAATATAAAATTTACGACTTCGCTTTCTGAATCAACATTTTAATTCCACTTTAATTTCTAAATAATTCCCTAGATCATTCGGAAAAACATGAATCGTTTCATTTAAAGAATTCTATTAAAATTGCTGCGCTAAACTTGATCGACAAATTGCGCTTGACAACAAACATTCCCCAGTCTTTGTGCTGTTTAGAATCCTTGCGAATGACGCAAAAGATCAAAAGCAAAATGAAAATTCTTCGCTCAATTTCTGGGACAAGAATATAAAACAGAATTGAGGCGCTAAGATGTCAGAAATAAATAAAGTTGCTAATGAATGTTGTGTTGTTTATTGGACTAAGAATCGAAAGATTTGCGAAGAGTTTACAAGTCATCAACAGAACATTTTACTATAAAGTTTTCATCTTTAACATTCCACGCTTGTTATTTTGACTCATTACATTTCAAAGACATTAAAAAAGGCATAAAGTGATACAAAATTGGTTCAAAATTATTTTCTAGATAGTAAATGGACGTGTTGAGTGGTCTCATGAGCATCAACAATTTTCCCTCACGTCTAGCATTGTGTAGGAACACAAAAAGTCATTTGCTTCTTGTTGTCATGTCGTGTGTTTGATTTGAATCAAACAAGAACTGATGTGATGACGAATGTCGTTGTTTTCACTGACTGTCAACTAAGTAAAGCATTTGAAGAATTTGGTCAGAAGTGACAGGCGCACTTAATATAAACAGAAGTCAACAATCTCTTTGACTTGATCGTCTCGGTCAAGCTTCAATTGTTCGATGGATTTTTATTATTGCGGAAAAACGATTGAATGAGAACGACAGAAACATTAATTAAATAAGCTGTCAATGATGCTTGACTATGAACCTTTTTACATCTGAAAATAATATAAATTAACCGCATGCCTAAATCATGTCTTTTGCAGTTAAATTTATAGATTCGTTGTTGACAGACATAAATCAATTCAGTAACCTCCACTGGGACTACGATCTAATTTATTTGATCCTTCCCATCAATTAATTAAGAAGATAAAGTCTCCAAAATATTATTACGTGTGACTTGAAAGCCAAACAATTTTTTTAAGCAGCTACAGAAGTATCCATGCGACATCGAAGACAAAGAGTCGTTCGAGATTAAGGTTGTCACGTTCATTATTCACGACAATATTTTCTCGCCACGACTGGTTTCTTCAACTTAGTGATAAAATCTTTTTTTTCGTGTCTCATTCTTATAGGAATGATGAAAAAGAAAGAAGGAAAACTTTTTATTTAATTGATTTCTGAAAGAATGAAATTCGGCGACATTTTTAAAAACTTTTTTCCTTCAGAAATATTTTTCAATTTTTTTAATAAATAAAGAAGAGATGCTTGATGATTCGCACGCATAGACAAATAACTGCCTGAATATTTCTTTGGCACGATCATTGCATCATTTGTTGTGATCGTAGGTGGTCTAAAAAATTTATAAGCAAAAATGTAAGGTTGAGATGAAAACTGAAGTAAATTTCCACCTGTTTGAAAGTGCAACAAACTTTTGATTGTCTCGAATCTTTCATAATTTTACTCAACTTTCATTCTCTTTGAAATCAATTCATTTAAACTTGAAATACTTGAGAAAATAATTAAAATATTTTCGTCCTATTAACGGATTTGAAAAGCAAATATAAATTCGCATAAACAGCTACTGAAAAACGATTTTCGCTTGAGAGAATTTCAACATTTTATTTGAAAGACATCAAAATGTTTAAAAGAAAATTGATTGTGATGTGATACGAGTGGGAAATATTTTACTTATATTTTGTTTTGTGACCCATAAATAAATCGGAAACTAAGCATGAAGACGTTTCTTGATCTTGGCGATGTTTTGATGTTCTCCAGTTCAACTTGCATGAGATAATTAATGTTATTGCCACTTTCTTAATTACCTTCACTCAGTCTGATCTTTATGTTGATCTCATGTAGATCGAAAATGAAAATGTAAACAAATTTTTCTCATCATCTTAAATTTTCTGATATAAAATTCCTCTTGAGTTATTCGATGTTTTTTCTCACATCACATTGAGTTATAATAAAGGTAAGATGTGATAAAAATGGAAGAAAATGATTTAATGAAAAGTGTGAAAGATATAAATCGGAAGAAGTTTAGTTGAGTTGAGTGGGAAGTTGAAGCGCGGAAGATTTTCAAGGTGTTCAGGGCGGACGTCATCTTATTTTCGGTGTCAGATAACTTCGGGTGACTTAATAATGTCTTCGTTGAATATTTTTAGAAAAAAGAAAACAAATGTTTGAATCAGGAAACTCAAGAGCGGAAAACAGGAAGGAAAATTAAGTTGAATGATGATGAACTTGAGACGTGATGTGTTGAGGGTCAGCAAAATGATTGATATCGATTTGACTTTCCTAGATTTTCTCTAGCTGAAGGAAATTTCTGATTTATCGGAACATTCAATTTGTTGGCTTTCTCAAAGCAGTTGATTTGACACAAATTAAACATTAAACAATTTCCTTTTGACATTTAAGAGACATTTAATCCCACTTCTGATTTTTTTTTATGGAAAATTCACGCGTTTTCATATTCCACGCTTCATTAAACGTCGCCATCTCTTAGATCATAATTTCGAAGCTTCTAAAACATTTAAAACAAAGTCAAGACAGAATAGAAAAATTATAAATATATCACGAAATATTTGTGCCGCCGATTAATTTCTGTATCTTCATCCGCTGGTATCGAAAATGCGCGAAAAGCGAAATAGTTTGAAGAAAACACAACGTTGTCTCGTTGGCCTTCATTTTGTGTATGAACATCTTAGCTACATATTTCGATTAATCAAGGAATGCTTTCCTGTCTTCTCAATTTTACCCACCAATACTTAAAAATTTTAATTTTCTTTCTTCTGCGAGATTTGAGAGCATCTCAAACCGTGATTTGTCTCGTAAGAATTTTCAAAAATCTTTTCTCAACTCATGAGAATCACAAAAAAATTATTTTGCGAACATTTTCATTCGTGATTGAAACGCAACAGTGTCGAGCTTTGATTTTTAAAATTTCTTCTCGTCGATTTGAAGCACTTCATTTGCATAAAAATAATCGCTTGTAATTACAGTTAATTTTCTAGCAAAGTGATTTCTAGGTACCTAGCTCAGTCGTAAATTAATCTTGTAAACAGAAAATAAATTAATTATCTTCATAGTTTCTTAAATTAGACTTGTAATAATTTGAATTGTGAGATATCAGAAGTCATTAATTTTTTAATGTGAATTTTCAACTTTAATTTTGTTTAAAAGGCGTTGCTGTAATTTTTAAACTTCAGAAAATTTCTCGCATGCAATTGAGCAAGCTGAACTGAACAGTTAATTTTATTCTTTGGCGCAAGAAACTATTTAGAAAATTTCGTAAATTTAACGTTGAAGGATGTATAAGTGGCACGGACGAGTTGGTCTTGTTACGGGAGCGTCATCGCCAGTTGGGATGGCAATTTGTAAGGATTTGGTCGAACATGGAATGACAATATGTGCGCTTGCCAGAAGAAAAGGAGTCACAAAGTTGGAAGTAAATATTTGATAACTAAAATTAGAAAGAAATTAAATTTATTAATAGATTCAATGGATGATTTCGTAAGTTATGTCACAATTTTTCCCTCTCTTCAATTCGCTGAGTGACATGACGTAATGAACGAACAATCCCAATAAAATAATTTATTTTCTCTTTCTCAGGGATTAAAAAGAATAATGTTCGGTGTTAAAGGAAAACTTCTCCCACTTGAATGTGACATTAAAGATGAATCACAAATCCAAGCAGTCTTCAGATGGATTGGCGAGAAATATGACGGAATTGATTTGCTGATTAACAATGCCAATGTCATGACAAAGGGTTTGATTCTTGATGACAACAACACTGATGAACTTCAACATATTATGGAAACAAATATTTTGGGTCTTTGCATAATAACACGAGAAGCGGTGAAGTTGATGAAGCAGCGATCGGTTGAGAGGAAAGACGTCGGTCACATAGTCAACATCAACTCGATTTTTGGTCATAAAGTTACAGCAACCGTACCAGGAACAAAACCAATGAACGGAATGTATCCAGCTTCAAAGTAAGAATTTTCTTCAAACATTTCATTCGAAATTATTTACGTTTGTTGTTTATTCAGATATGCAGCAACAGCAATCACTGAATGTGTACGTCAAGAACTTTTATTCCTTAACGAAACTGTTAAAATTACGGTGAATAATTTTTATATGAATCATTTCAATATTATTAAATAAATTCTTCATCAAAGGCAATTTGTCCCGGTCTCGTCGAATCTGATATCGTTCAAAGTAATGCAAATGATGAAATTGTTTCAATTATGCCAGCACTTGCACCAAAGGACGTTGCTGCGGCGATTATTTATGCGATCTCTGTTAAGGAAAATGTTCAAGTAGGTGGAAAATAAATTATCAGCGACGTTTATAACTTTTAACTTATATTTTTAGATTCATGAAATTGTCATAAAACCAGTTGGAGAATTCTTGTGAATCTTAAACATCATCAACTAATAAAAGTTTTATTTATCTTTTGCACTTTCAACCACTTGTAGTTTGTTAACACAAACATTTAATGTATTAAATCTTTATAGAATAAATAAATAAATCATAAATGATTAATGTGACAACAAAAGTTTGTGTTTAATTATTTAAGACATCAAACAATTTAATGTTCGTTCAACCTTTTCTTCTTGATCCATTTCTGTCAAAAATGTGACTGCTTTAGTTCAATTATTCATAGCAAGAATAAAATGGGAAATCCACACAATAACAGGAAATTACCACAAATTTCAAGTATCTTTACAACTATTTAATGATGATAAGGAATGACGTAACAATCTGCGGATGTTTTTAATTTATTTCTTTCCATATATCTTGCGAATTCAGAGGAAATGTCAGTTGAATTGAATCTGCAAATTAATAAATAAATTTAAGGAAAAGAGAGCTGAGTCACATATGAAAATATTTACTGAGATAAATGTTATTAAAACAAGATCATAATCGTTCCAATTTTCATCACCAAATGTTCTCACTTTCTTATCTTTATAAGGTTTTATCGTCATCATTCGCAAATATTTAATAAAAAGTGTTTGTTAACTTATCTGCCTAAATTATTCACTTCTTACTATAAAACAGATTTGCCTTGGAAGGCAGACATTAGTCGCGAAACAAAGAAAGATGAAAATGGTAGGAAAAGTTAGAAGACTTAAAACTTCTGAAATTTTTTTTAATATTTTACTTTTTCAGAAGTTTTTAATCACTTTGGTTGGCTTGTCAATTTTTCAATGCGTCTTGGGAAACGCAATTCCAAATTCTGAAGGAGCTGAATACGGGGATAAGGTTCAAGGTGACTTAGTTGTGACTAACGAACAGTTCAATGAAATGTACAATCCTTCAATGAGGTCTGGCAGAACTGGTCTGCTTTCAACGAATTATCGTTGGCCGAAAAATTCTGCTGGCCAAGTTGAAGTTCCTTACACATTTCGGTCTTCATCTGGATTCAGTAAGTTCAACTCGTTTCTCATTCATTTCTGATTAATCTTATGATTAAAATATTCACAGCAACATCTCAACAAAATGTAATTATCAGTGGAATGCAAGAAATTGAAAAATATACTTGTGTGAGATTCATTAAAAGGACAAATCAGGTTGATTATGTTGAGATTATTAGCGATAGTGGTTGCTGGTCATATCTTGGGAGACGAGGAGGCCAACAAACCTTGTCACTGCAACGAAATGTGAATGGATATGGATGTGTTTGGAAAGGAACTGCAATACACGAATTTATTCATGCTCTTGGATATACTCACATGCAAAATCATATTGATCGAGATAAATACGTGAAAGTTTACTTGGAAAATGTTTCTTCAAGTCAACGACATAATTTTGAAAAAGTTACTTCGTCATCTCACGGAAACTTCAACACTGAATATGACATCGAATCCATCATGCATTATGGAAGTACAGCATTTTCATCTAATGGTAAATACGTCATGCTTCCTTATGACAGCAGTAAGCTCAGTGTTATGGGACAAAGGGAAAGACTTTCATCAGGGGATATAGCAAGAATTAAAAACATGTATCAATGTTAAGAATATTTCAGAAATCATTCGAATGAATAAAAAATTTGGCAATCTAAAACCTTGAACTCTTCACTTATACAACATCCGATTAACGCAAGTTATCATTCGCTAAAGACAATTTCCCAACATTCACTTTTAATCAGAAAAGGTTATTGCTTTCAATAAAACAATAACACGTTGGGGAATCACACAACTCATAAAAAATAAAAAGATTGCGAAAATTCTCAACACATAACTTCCGATTAAAATGAAAACAAACGCAACTTGTTGATTAAATAAAACGTCTTATCAAATATAGAACTGATTTGAGGTTGTCACTTGATTAACTCATTACAGATTGCAACATTTCATAAGAAACTTATCTATTATCGTATCGCGATTTTAACTCTAATAAAGAAGAAAACCTTGAACTGAATTCAATGAATATAAAAGCGCAACAAGTTTCTGTACATTCATCAGTTGAAAAGAAATCGTGAAAATGGTAAAAAGGAAAATTAAATTCGAACTTAACACAATTAAAAATTCTTTTCTTATTGCTTTTAGAATTTTTCAGTCATTTTATTTTTTGTCGTCATTCAAACCATCTTGGCAACGCCATTCGTTGAAGATAAATTTCTAGGAGATTCTGAATTGTCCAAAGATGGATCTGGTTATGTCACAGTTCCATACACTTTCGATGACTCAGCAGGCTACAGTGAAGTTGAGAAAATGACAATAGTCGAAGGTCTGGAACAACTCGCGGCTAAAACTTGCATTAAATTCGTTTTAAGAACAGATGAAAGCGATTATATTGAAATAATGAATGGCAATGGTTGTTCATCTTATCTCGAGTGTGTGAAGAAGGGAAATGCCATGCATGACTTCTTTGATGGTTTAGGATGTTCGCACATGCACAGTCTTGACAGAGATCAATATTTAACTGTGAATTTCGATGAAGTTCCTGCAGAAAAAAGCTTCAATTATGCGATGATCAATGATGATGAAATACCGGCTGATGAAGACGAAACAATTGATCGAGATGAAACCGACTATTACAGCATTATTGGTCAAAAATTGAGAATTAGAATTAAAATAAAAATTAATAAAATTTGTATATTAAGCAAATGCTAAGAAAAAAACAGGAAATGAAATGTTGTCATCAAATAATTTTAATTCAATTCCAATAAAGTTTGAATAAAATTTCAATAAAATATTTCCAAATGATTCCATTGATCATGCAGATAAATTTGTTCCTTACAAAAGTTCTTGAAAATGCATTTGAATTATTGTAATTGTAATGACTTAATTTTTTTCATAAATTCTTGCAACAATTAATAAAAGGCAGAATTGACAAGATATCCAAACATTGACTCGAGAATCTCGAGTCGAGATTATTTATAAATTTCTATTTGAAGTGTTTGTTGATTTTATTATTCACTTCTTACTTTAAAAAGATCTGCAATGGAAGGCAGCAATTAGTCGCGAATTAAACAAAGATGAAAATAATACAAAAAGTTGGAAGACTTGAAACTTCTTTTTATTTTTGTGATATTTTTATATTTCCAGCTAAGTTTGTTATCACTTTGGTTGCTTTGTCAATTAAGGTTTGGGAAATGCAGTTCCAATTTCTGAAGGAATTAAAAATGGTTACAAGATGTAAGGTGACATGATTCTGACTGCCGAACAATACGAACTCAGGTATCTTCTCAACTAAACATTGGAAAACTGTTAAAGTATCTTTGAGAACTGGCATCAATTTATCGCAATATTAATGGACGAAAAAAACAAGTGGATATGTTGAAGTTGAAGCAATAAAGATTGTGAATCATTTACTGAAAGAATTGGTGGACTTCAAGTCATGTTTCTTACAAGCTGTGATTAGTGAAAGGAATTGCAATGCTAAACATGTTCATACAGAACCATTTTGATGATGATGATTGTATGCAAATATTCCCTAAGAATATTAAACCATTCCAAAATTCCCCAAAGCATATTTTAGAAAAGTTGATTCATCGTATCATGGAAAAAATAACACGAGTTACAATCTTGAGTCTATCATGCATTACGACAGAAAAGCAATTTCATTGAATAGATCTGACGTTATGACATCACTAAATTGCATATTATGGGACAAAGAGAAGAAATTTCACCAGGTGACATCACAAAAATCAGAAACATGTCTCGAAGTTAAAAATATTTCATAATGTTCAACTTCATTAAAACATTTTATTCGATTAAATTCATTCCTTAATTCATGGAAGTACGATAAAGCGATTTCCGATCTAGATAAAAATGAATTAAAATATCTTATCAAATACAAAGTCGACCTCAAACTTATGACCTAATAAGCGAATAGAATGACATATATTGTAAAATTAATACGAAACTTATCTATGTATCATATTATATCGATATTAATTGATATTAACTTTAAGAAACAAAGAATCGCATTTAGTTGTTGGATATAAAAGCGCTGTTAATTCGATTTGAAGCTATCAGTTGAAGCGAAAACAAGGAAATGGTAAAAAGGAAATTTTATTTGCACATCAAATTAAATTCTCAAAGAACTTTTTCTAGAATTCTTCCGTCATTCTGTTCTTCTTTATACTTCATACAATCTTAGGAAATCCAATTGCTATTGAAGATGAATCATATGAGTACGGTGACAACTTTCAAGGTGACATAATTCTAAGTGAGGAACTAGAAAATGATTTGAAAGGTTTAAATAGCAGGCGACAGAGAACGGGGTTGATAGACACAAGATACAGATGGCCAAAAGATGCATCTGGTAATGTCATAGTTCCTTACACATTTGATTCTTCAGCTGGTTACTGTGAGTAAATTATTTTCTTTATTTCTACAATTCAATAAAATTTTCATTTTGATTTGTGAAGCTGATCCTGAGAAAAATATTGTCGTCGAAGGTCTTCGTGAACTTGAAGCACAAACTTGCATTAAATTTATTCCAAGAACAAATGAAAAAGATTATGTTGAGATTATGAACGGCAGTGGTTGTTCGTCTTATCTTGGGAGACGAGGAGGCAAACAAACTATGTCATTAAAACGTTTTGGATGCGTGCATAAAGGAGTTGTGATTCACGAATTTATTCACGCTTTGGGTTATACTCACATTCATAATCATGTTGATAGAGACAAATACGTAACTGTGAACTTTGAAAATATTCCTCAAGACAAACGTCATAATTTTGTGATCGTTAATGATGCCAGATACGGAAACTACAATACTGAATATGATTTCGACTCAATCATGCACTACTCGCGGAGAGCTTTCTCATCTAATGGACTTGATACAATTGTGCCACATGACACTAGTTATTATTACAAAATAGGCCAAAGATCAAAATTATCCTTAGGTGATGTCACTCGAATAAGAAATATGTATCAGTGCCACGTTTAGAATGCTCAAAAACTATTTTTAATTCGAAAAACGCGTTTTTAATAAATGTTTTTAATCAAGGTTTGTTGTTTTAGAAAGTTGTACAGTTAATTGCAATCAAAATTTGTTGTATCATATGATTCTACAAGTTTATTTAATACAACCTAATATTAAAGAGTTTGGAATCAACAAGCATTCCATACAACTGATAGCCACACTATACTTGTATACAAATACCGCATGCAACCATTCTACGAAAACTTGTTACATAAATGCAAGAAAAATTTACTTGCATGCAACTCATGACCACGCTCAACTTGTATGTTAAACTTGTGTACTAATATCGCATGCAATCATTTTCGAAAACTTTATTTTTATTATTTCCCCTCAACTTACTAACCCATTCAAACATTTTAAATTTACAATTTCCGTTAAATTACATAAATATACATTCAGTTTATTTTAATTTCATTGACTAAAAAGCAAAAGATTCCTTATGTTTTCTTCAATTCAAGTTCTATTTAAGTAAACATGAGTTTTATCAACTTTTTTCTAGCGCACTGTGCATTCAATCTATTATTTAGTTATGTTTTCAAAGTTGGAAAATAAAATGTTTTGTTAAAAGGATTTATAAGGGATTTTCATTCTATCAATGTGAATAATATTGTGATATAAAAAATAATCGGCTTCAAAGAAGCTCAATATTGCATAAATATTAACGTGACAAGAAGCAATATACATGAGAGAAAATTATGATTATTATGTAAATCGCTTAAAATGGACTCTTAAAAATCATTATACTCGTTCTTCTTCACCTAATACCTTCTATTAAAATTTAATTCAAGTATCAAGAATTGCCTGAAGCATCAGCTCAACACCCAGCAGATGCAAGTGTCAAGAAACTTCATCCAAGATATTTTCTCTTCTAATAATTGAAAAGTTTTAAAAACGAAGAAGTAAAACAAGTCCGATAATCTTTTCATGAACGCCAAAATGCCACTTACAGGAAAACGCTCAAAGCAATGTGCAAACATGCAATTCAAGCAAAAATAAAAGTTTCTCCTCTCAAAAACTCCCGTCTTTTTAATAATAAATTGAAATCCAATTTTCAATCCCCCGGACATGTTGAATTCTTTCATATTCGCTATTAGATTTGCACTGAAATCCATTTTTCATAAGGAAAGCTAAAGAAGATCCATTCATAAATTTCATCAGGCATGTTCAAGCCACCCCTCCTTTCAACTCCATTAAAATGCTTCACACATCTACACAAAGACGTATATAATAAAGAAAGAAAAGAAAAACCACCATAAAACATCCTAAAAACCTGCGGCACAATTAACTAGAACTCTAGAACAGGAGGCATCAGTACAGAAGAGTCTCAACAATCGAAGACAAAGAGTATTAAAAGAAGAAGAATTTTTGAATTCTACTCGCTCAACCTCATATGTTTCTTGAAGAAAAAGAAATATAAAAACGCTTTCACAAATGATATTCACCTCCTTTTGTTGTGGTTATAAAATGATGACAAATTTATTAAGGGAACATGGCACAGCAAGTTTATGTCATTGACGCGAGACTTTCAAGAGAACTCATTGTATGAGAGTGGGAGACGTTACATATTGATGGAAGCATAACTTTTCTTCTTCTTTTTTAAGAAAACTTTTTTCTTATTCACTCCTTTTATCATGACAATTCAACAATTGAAATCGTTCCATTATAAGCTCCACCAGACCTAACTAAATTTTTTATCAAACCATTTTTATTTTCCCTTCAATTCAATATTCAATAATTTGTCGTTTGAGGGAATTATGAGGAATTGAATAATATGAGAAGCATTAAAAAGTGGTTCTCATTTCATGTGACATCGTATTAAATTACAAATAAAAAAGAAAGAAAGAAGGGAACACAAAAAAATATTAAATTTTGTTATGTCATTCAATAACGCATAAAAAAAGTATTTTAAGAAGCAGAAGGAAGATGTGTAGAGTAAAATTGTGTACACATGCATAAACAGAAGAAAAAGAGAGAATAAAGGAACCACAAGGATATGAGGCAGTGACAATGACAATGACACAAAAAAAAAGAATAAAAGAATAATGAAGGAAACCTCAGACAAATATCTTTGGTTTAATCATCGTTAGATGCATTTTTTGATCGAAATAAATCGATTGCATCAACAATGTTCATCCCCCGTATTATATCTGAGATATCTTTATATTGTTTGGGACAATTATGTGGAAATTTATGCTCCCAATGCTCATTAAGGAAACAGATCCTTAAGAATAATTGAATAGAATAAAAATGTCGCTACCTAGAAAACAAGATGCAAAGACCTGAAGTGATTTTAATGATGGGAATAAGAATGATGAATCTTAAATCAACATTTGAACATCCAAGGCCACTTTAATAATCTCCCAAGCAGATTTTTCGACCCTGACCATCTTCCATGTCCATATTTACAATCTCATATCTCTACTCCAACATCGTTTCTATATTATTTTCATCTAAAAAGCTTTTGCACCATAATCTACAAAGAATCTTTATTTATTCTATCGCCACGCTTAACAATGGATCGTGAGAGGCGGAAAAGAATGGGAGGATGATAAATTTACGTGTTGGTTTTTTTTCTTTCTTTCTTTTCCTTCATTGTTGTCGAGGATGTTTCTACTTCAGGTACCACGTATCAATGAAATGAAATATCGCATCAATTCTTTCTTTATTGTGTTGTGTTTAAAGGACACGTTTTGTGTCATTCGAGCGAAATGATGTATAAGGATTGTCAACAAGAGAATGGTATGGAATTAAAGCGCCCGTTTCAACAATTGTGACGCATTGAAGTATGCAGTGGTTGATGAAATTAAAGAGATACGAATGAGCCGCGTGAGGATCAAGGAGCCGCGAATTAATTACGGGACAATGAACACATATAAGAAAGGCGGTAAATATGCCTCTGATGTTCATGTTCATGCTCGTTGAATAAGAGAGACCTTGAAAGCGATTAGATTTTGAATTACTTAAAGTAAAGAGTGCGGCATTTGTCAGGCGATATGAAAACTATGGGAAGGAAAGCACTTGAGCGCCTTAGTTGTCAACCATTACGATCATTTCTTTAGCCTAAGCCGCCATCATTAAATTCAAATTGAAATGCTGCTCAATTCAACATTTATTCACTCTATTGAATGTTTATTCGTTCAACGCGCCTTGCGACATTCTGATGGTAGTAAATACGCAAACAATTAGTCGCATTTAACTGCCTTTAGCCTCTTCCACTGTCAATGGATGAATTTCCAGCAGCGATAATGCTCATAAAGTAAATAAAAGAGAAAACGACGACGACTTAAACATTTCTACATGGACGATGGTGCGATGGGTGGAAATTGTAAGCGACATTGAACGTTAAGCAAATGAAAACATAAACAAACGGAACAATAAAAAATAAAAATTATTCATGCAAATCATTTACGAGGCCGTTTAGTATGTTGTACTTGTTCACCAAATGTTTTCATTATTCTCAAAGATCTTTCTCTTCCTTTTGCTTTTTGCACATAAAATATGAATTAAAAATAGTTTTTTCTTTGTATTTGAAAGGCGAAAGAGAAATGTTTTGCGTGGGTGTTGTTTGAGAAGAATAAAACTTTGTTTCAGTTGTGGGAAGAATTCTTTTCTCTTTTTTCATAATGAAAAAACCCTTTTGAGATAAAAAATCATTCCGCTCCCAAATCCCTACCTGGCTCAGAAAGCGGCGCTTTTATGCTTCATTCATATGTCGCATTCAGTTCAAATGTTTAATTTTCATTTAAGAATTTATAATTTCTTTCTGTTCTTTCCTCTACGGGCAGAAGATTTGAATCAGCATTAAGAATGTAAAGGTCTGCAAAAAAATTATTCTCTCACTGATATCGCATTTAATTCCATTTGATGTTGTGCCCTTTTTATGATTCTCGGCTTCATCGTCATCTATTTTCATGCGATTTTCTCTCTCATTTTTATCTTACATTACATTATATTATAATAAATATCCAGTAGTTTTATATGTTATGGATAAGAGAACATACATTGTCATGATTCATTAGACGAAATGGCACAAAAAGTGCTTCACATATGTAGCTGTGGAAATAAAGGAATGACTGTATGCATTACTTAATATCAATGTTCGTACATATATCCATATGATGGACTCTTTTCCATTTCCTGCTGCATTGCTGAACTTTTTCTGTTTCTTCGGAAACCCTTTTCGGTGTGTCGCTGCATAATAAAATTGGAAAAACCGTGAATATGTAAAAGGGAAAAAAATGATATTCGTCATTGTTGAATGGCGTAATTAAAATAGTTTATGTGCAATTTGGATGGTTGGATGTTTGTTGGCCATGAGTCGAATATTTTTAAGCAATTAAAGTAATTTAAAAGACAATTGAATATAATTGTACATCAATCTTTAACTACTTTTGCATTAAGATGATGACCATCAAGTAGTCATTATTGGACTTATGACATTTCATTTGTAAACTTTTTCTTCCACAACATAATTTATGTTCGTAGCTTTCGGTAGGAGAAAAAAAATCTAGCATGAAATTGTAACACATGAAATGTGATTTCTTTTCTTTCATATTCGCCACATTACGCCAATTTAATATTCACGGAATCTTGGTGGAATTTCGCTTTAAGCTGCTACATTCAACACTTTTCGTATGGGGACCCCGATTGTCTAGTATTGCAACATCACATAATTTCGTTGTTGTTTCTTTTAAGCGTCATAACATTATTCCACAAACGCAAAAAGAACCATTAATCATCGAGCACAGGAGAGTGGAATGAAGTTAAGCATATTTTAAGCGGTTTATATTTAATAATTTACTTTACTCTCTTAAAACTTTTTCGAAAGTGAAAGAAAAAAGAAAAAAAACGTTTTATGGATTTTTTTTTGGGACACGTGTGTGCATTTGAAATAAATGAAGCAACTGCACCAGATTGCCTGACGATGTCGAAATGCACGGAGAAGTACTTAACTGCATTCTATGAAATTATTTACAGCCAGGAGAGGATCTGATCTCATCAAAATCATTGCTTGAGAAATTAATTGAAGCGAAGCGCACAAATGCTTCGGCATGATGGAACATTTTTCGCACCCCACTCTGGAATACCAACCAAGCTGTTTAATTAACTATTTAATATGAAACGTAATTAAATTAATAACGTCTCATAATTAAAATGAGAAATTTTCAGTCGACGATTCAACGCTTGGATACTTTGGGTTTCCTGAACATCATTTATCATAGCTCCAATTGCTTCAAAAGGTTTCAGTTTACGGTCCTGAAAAATTATTCGTCGCTTGCTTCTTCATCATCATGAAATTGACGAGACAAAGTGATTTTAATATTTCATTATTCAATAAATATTTCTTGACTCTATACTCGACCACGATCTCGACGACCTAATCTTGTTAAATTTGAAACCTAAATGAATTTTTCATTTTTCGTAACTTACATTAAGAAAAATAAAATCCTAAAAAGCGAAAAAAAAGAAGAATCAAATGAGAAAAAGTGTCATTTGATAATCACATTTCACTCTGAATGACATTTGACAATTTCTCGTTGTGCTTTGCTCATACATCATTGAGCATCTTTAAGACAAGACAGACAAAAAAAAGCCACCAACGCGTAAGACGAGATTGTTCACTTCTGATTCAATGGGTCGCCTTTACTCAGATCGATTGCTGGCAGTTCGAATGAAATCTATTTTTCCTTCTTTTCGTCTCGCATTCATAAATCAAATTAATTGCTTTTTCTGCGTTTCATTGGTTTTTTTTCTTCTTCTTATATTTCTGAGATTATTTGTTGAAACAATGGAATGTTACCCAACGAGCCACTGTAATATGTTGATACACTTTGTCTCCCAACCGATTGACTATCGATTAACTTCAAATCACCTTTTCCAAACGTTAGGAATGGTCATGGATATTTTAGTTATAATTAATCATTTATCATGCTAAATCGAATCGTTAGATATCATAATTATTATTATTCTTCCCTTTTGCTATTTGATGATTTATTTTCATTCAAATGGAAGCAAAATCAGTCCAACACGAAAGGGTGAAATCTGATTTCATAAATACACTTCGTCAATTAAATTCAACAGTGAGAAATTCTTTGCTTCAATAATTCAATTAGAAAAATATGAATATGAAGTCACGACACTCTAATTGATGACACATATTGTAGAGCAAAGAGGGAAGAAGGATCGATGAATTTTTAATTAATATCTTGTGCATTTATCCAGTTGTTGTATGTTGGAAATGAAATCGTAGATAAATAAATAAACAAGCCAATGCACAATGTAAGAAAAAAGTGAATACGAGCGATCAATAATTTCCTGTTTCGTTCCAAACTGTCACATGCAGTTCAAGTTTAATGGAAATTGATGACAAAACAATTGTCAGTCGACTGACTGACCAAGCGTCTAATTCTCGGCAATCAATGCTGCTTGTAAATTGCATGAAAATAAAAAGTTTTTCTATGTTTTTCTCTTTTCCATTTAAATAAAAAATGGAATTGTAAAAGTCACGGAGTAGAATTAATTGCTTTAGCATAAATCATAATTCAATTGAATGACGATTGACGCAACACACGACAAAAAGATATTCGATACACCATGTTTGTGCTTATGTGAGACGGTTTTGAATAATTAACAAACATGCTGGCTGACGAATTCATGTTGGTTAGGGTGCGGAAGGCTGATTTGAAACGCATATTTATCATGAAAATTTATCACAAAAACCAAATCTTACCGTGAAGTTTCCGATTTTTATTTTTTGATGGGAAATTTTATTTATTTGATATTCTGAAGTGTAAATAATGTTACAGATTTATGTTGCTTCGAATATAAAAAGGAAAATGTTTGAGAGCTGAGAAAGAAAGCTGAAAAGAAAATATTTACTGAACTGTGGCTTACTGTCAGATAGAAAGAAACTTTAAAATTTACTATCGACGTTATCTTTATGACACTAATAACTTTTTTTCGTAGATTTGGTTAGAGGAATTGGTCAAATATTCTGACTCAGTTGACATTCGTCATAAAAGGGACAAAGATTTATTGTTTTATATTATGTTGTAAACTAATGGACATTTGGTTTGATTTAGATTTAGCTTTTTATTGTCTCAGACAGATTTTATTCATTTGTGAAAAGCAATGAAATTTATTTTATTGGTTCTTCTGCAAGATTGAAATATTTTGATTCAAGCACTGCTTACAATTCTAAGTTTGTTCTTATCATTTCACCTTCAATAAATCCGATAGAAAAACTTCTCCATCCTCTTCCGATTGATTATTCGATTCCATTTATAATCTGTGTACTTTTATTATTTGCTGTTTGCTTTTTGTTTGAAATTTTGTGTAAGAATTAGCCTTGAGAATGAAGAATTGATGAAACTCTTATCACTTGTGTTCGCTGTTTGCTTTTCCAAGTCCATCAAGCAAGACATACAATCGAATGTTTCTGATATCTTTCACTTTATTTTGCGCAGTCACTCGAGCAGCTTATCAAAGATCTGTTTATAACATTCTACACTCTGATAGTACAACAAAGGAAGTTCAATCAATCGATATGGTAACGAAAAACTTCTAATTTTATTCTTTTTTGATTTCAATTTGATCTTCTTGAATGATACTTGAAAAGTGTCGAAAGGTCTGCGAGAGTACCTGAAAGATTTCTTAATAACTTGAAACGTTTTTTGTTGTCACTCAAGACGAAAATTCAGCTTCAATCATTGAAACAATTTTAATTTTAATTATAAACCAGAAAAATATTTAAGGAAAAGTTTGCATCAGTTTTCATTGCAACATTTACTGAGTCTGTCAATGATGTGAAAAGATGTTTTGACCGAACATTAGCACTTCAACTGCATCGACAACATTTTTCTGAACAGGATAAAGTTTCTGCAAATACGGAAGCTTTACTAGGATGTTTTCAACTCTGCAGCTTTTTAAACCCTTTATCGATATTTTTCTTTGTATCTGAAAAAGTTCTCCACTGGAAATTTAAACAAAAATAAAATTTAAATTGAAAATGGAACTTTGTTTATTAAAAGTTGTTGAAATTCAATTGCGATACATTCAAGTAAGTTTTCAAATGGGTCAATAAACTTAAAAACAGAACAAAATGATACAAAAGCTTTCATTTTATTTTTGAAAAGTAAGAAAACATGTGAGTTAATTATGATGTAATGTTAAATGTTAATGTTTCCAGTAAAATTAAACTTTAACGTGAATAACCAAAACTCGTTTAGGTTTTGACAGCAAAATTTGCTTTCGAATAACATGATAAAATATTTTGATATGTTTGCAAAATCTTTGCATGATCACGATGAACTCGATAAATGTTACATCTCAAACAGTAGTGAAGATTATCCATATCATATTTCATCATCGAGACCGACTCAATCAATCTTTTGATAGCTTTGGGTTTACTTTCAACATAGACCTGCAAACTAATGAGATGGAGATTTAAATGTTCAACCAATCTTTGTTCAGTTAATATTTGATATGAAATATATTCAAATTATTAATTACAAGATGTGTGGGTGATGTTAAATTATATATTATTTCAATTCATGCGAAACTTTGTGTCATTTCAATAGTTCATAAAATTATTTCTTTGTTAACAAACAAATTAATTCAATTTCATCTCAGAGGTTTCCAGAAATTGTTTGATTACTTTAATATAATATTTACATAATTATTTACACATTTCACCACTTCACATGAGAGTTCAATTAACATTGACATTGACAAGGTAACGAAAAATGTTATTCGGAAGGGTAATTAAAAGGCTTTTTGGAATAATTGAACATTATTCTATTTAGTTTTGAAGTAGTTGTTGCTTTGTTCGCTTCATCATTATTCGAAATGAGTTTTTCCGCAAAGAAAATTATTTTCATTTTATTTCATTTGTCCGTTGTTCCATCAGCGTTTTGTGGATTTGAAGAAGTGACGAGAATTTCGCCTCACAAACTAATCGAAAGTGTCATGGAATTATTGGAAAATGTTTATTATAGAGAATCATCAACGGTCAACATAATTTCTACTTCTGAACATTCAAAAGACTTAGTTGAGAGTCTCTTAAGAGAAATAAGCAGAAATATGTCAGTGAATGTCGTCTTAGAATCTCCCTCGAGTATTCAACGAAACAACAGAAGATTGTGCAACATTTTCCTATTTCAATCTCATGAAGAATTCATGAAAATCTATGAAAAGCTAACAACAGACTCGTTTGTGTTTCAAGGCTTCTACGCAATATTATTGACTAACGAAAGAAAAGTGGAAGTTGATGAAATATTCAAAAGCTTTTGGATGAAACAAATTCATAACGTTTTGATATTTTATTTCAAGGATTTTCAAGTCAAAGTTCAAAAGTTTCAACCATTTAACGAGAAGAAATGCAACGATACAAAAGCTGTTGACGTTGACATGACAGAGATCAAAGCGTCGTTTAGTTCAGGTCTGAGAGACTTGAAAAAATGTTTGATTAAAGTGTCAGCGCCTCATATTCCGCCATTTATCATGACGAACGAGAAAAATGAAATTGTTGGTCGTGACATTGACTTGATCAATGTAATCGCTGAAGTTTTAAACTTCAAGATTGAACTTCAATATCTGAACTATTCGTTGGCTTTTGGGATTCTCTATAACAATGGAACAGCCACAGGTGCATTTAAAGATTTATTGGAGTCGAAAAGTGATTTAATCATTGGAGATTACTACTTGACACAAAGTCGATTAAATTTTCTAGATGCAAGTTCGGCATATTTCAGTTCAGAAATTGGGTTTGTGATTCCACCACCGATGAATTTGAAACCGATAGAAAAACTTTTGCAACCTTTTCAATTAAACTTTTGGATTCCATTGATGATTTGTTTCTGCGTTATTTTTTTCATTGCATTTGTTATGAGATTTGTGACGTCAAGATACGATGAAAATGTTATGAAAAACATATCATTGGAAATGAATTTAGTTGCACTGATTTTCGGTGTTTCTTATCCAAGTGAATCAAGGAAAATTTATTTGAGAATCTTTCTGATATCGCTTGTAATATTTTTCCTGGTAGTTCAAGCAGCTTATCAAGGCTCGTTATTCAAATTTCTACAAACAAACAGCAAACATAAACAAGTGCAATCAGTTGATGACATGGTTGAACGTGATTATAAAATTTATTCCATTGGAACCACAGATTACGTCGCAACACATCCGAAAATTAAAGAAAGGTTTGAGATTGAATTGAAACTTTAATTAAACATTCTTTCAATAAAATTTTTAAATTTCAGAATTGTTAAAGTAACATATCCTGAATCGAGAAACATTCTGAGAAAATTAAGGAATCCAACATTTCAAAATGCTTACATTAACTCACTCAATCAGTTGCTTATTGTGAATCAAAGAAATGATTTCAATTTCACGTTCAGTTGGTGCAAAGAAATCATCGTAACGATTCCAATCGTTATTTACTTTCGTAAGAATTCTTTTCTAGTGAATTCTGTTGATAGCGTGGTAAATAAACTTGAAACTGCGGGTTTGATTGATTACTGGCACTTTAATTACCTTGATAAAAGATTTTTGAAAATAAAACTTTCTCAAGGCGAAGCTAGAAGGTTGAATGTTGAGCACTTGTCAGGATGTTTCCAACTGTGGGGATTTTTGATTCTAACATCGTCGCTATGTTTCGTGTTTGAAGTGCTTTACGATATTTATATCAAAAGAAAAACGAGAATCGGTAACTTGAATTCGTTTTTATAATTTAATTATTCGAATTATTTCCTTTTGCATGAATTTTCGTGAATAAAAATAACAGAAAATTTTTTTGGCTTTCCTCGAAATTTCTTCTTGAAAAGAAATATGAAAAAGTTAATTATTTATTTATGATAAGCATACTGATGATTGAGTTTATTTTGTATCATTTAACAACTTGTTTTCCCAACTGAATAAATATTAACAATCGTTTCTGTCACATCTAACGACTTGTTTTTGTCATGTCATCTGAAATATCTTTTCGATAGAATCATAATTCAGTTTTGTTCTTACATTTCCACAGATAGAATGTTTATTGATCATAATTTGATAAAAATGTTTTCGTTTTTGTTTTTCTTCAAAATCAGAAGTGAGAATTTTTCGGGCAATTTCTGTCGCCTTTCAGTAAATTTCATTTCACTGCCAACGGAAAAGATTCATCATGTCTGTGCTGCTGCTGGCGTTGTCGCCGTCGCTACCGCAAAACTTATCTCAGTCGTCGTCGAAGGTTGGGAAGAAAAGAAAAAGAGGAAAATGCCTGAGACGTTTGATCATAATTTATTCGCCTTCCTACGTGGTTCTTCTTGTGCACCTTCCTTAATTTTCGTGAGGATACGAAATGACGTCTGGTGTGAAAGAAACAGGAGGTAAAAGTTGCAAGGTGCGAAAAGTTCTAACGATGATGAAAGGCTTTTTACACGAACCGTCTTGTAAGAGGAAGTGAAAAAGTTCTCTTGCATTTTACATCCTAAGATGGGAGAACAAACATTAAAAAGCTCTTCCCCTTCCTTATTATTTCAAGCAATGTTTTGTTTACGAGACCATTTCCATTCTTTTCCCTTCACTTTTAACGCTTTTTTCATACCAACGAATTGATTTCTTATTGTTTTCCATCCTTTTACGGCCAACAAAAAGTTCTTTGACTCGGAAAAAATCCTCGAAAACACAACAAAACATTAGGAAGACGAGAAAAAAAAGGTTTCCATTGAAAGTTAACGCGATAGGAAGGAGGATGGCGGCCGGCCTCAGAAAAATGTTTTGTATTTTTCTTTTCCACTTGATTTTATATTTTGTCGGTAAAAAACAGAAGAAGCAAAAAAAAGATTGAAACGGAAACGAAGGAAAATCTTCAATAAAATAACTGAATCATCAAAAGGAAAGCTGATCCTTATTTAATGTTGAAGAGAAGTTAAAAGTTTCGTGTTTTATTCAAAACAATTTTTTATATTTGAGTGGTTGTTATTTAACAAAAGGGTTATAGTTGACGATGATGCATCGTTTAAGTAAAAGAATAAGTTGTGAATCTTTTTATGTTTATAATTAAATTTAAGCTGGTGACTGTGATTCGCTTGTTGGTGTTTTCAAGCATCAGAAAAAAAATTATTCATAAAAACGTTGAAAAATAATGTCCTTGGATTAAATTACCAAAGCCTCATTGTATTCTAATATTTTTTCTTAGAAATTTTATGTCGTTAAATGCGGCAATAACCATAAACATCCCAACTCGAGCTTCACCGCTAGTAAACATGATATTTTCCTTTTCTTTGTTATACGAATCGAGGGCACAAAAGGAAAAGCTGCCATTTCCTTCCACAAGAAGCTTCCACCAATACGAAAATAACGATGTCATTATTTTTATATCATCTTCTCGTGTATCGCAATAGTAAAAAAGAATGAAGTAAAAAACGCATTCGACTAATTTTCGTTTAACTTTTTGTGAGCACATAACGAGATGTTCTTCATCATTGGGTTACGATAATGAATGGCTTTGGAGAGGGCGAGTTTTGATTTTTCGCAAACGTAAGCACGAATCAAGGGAACATTCTCTTCCATTCATCATCAATCCTTCAAATTTTATTAATATTGAACGTCCTAGGGTTGTTTCCCAAAGGGGAGTTTAGAAATCAGTTTTACCTTGTTATACGCGTTTGAAGCAACACTCAAGTTCAACGACAACACAACGATATGGAAAGAAACAGAACATTCTAATTTAATATAACTTCCCCGTATTGCTTGCTGCTTTGACTCTCTGATCTCTTCACATGCAAGCGAAGTAAGAAGTCAAACAGTTGGAAAAAATCACATGAAGGAAAATCCCTCGAAGCTGAATTTTCGTTTTTTAGTGTAACAAGCATTACGACGATGTGAAAAAGGAATTTCAAGTGCAGAATGAGATAACGAAAAATCAATATTTGCGTAAGAGAAGCGCATATATCTGTTTATATACAAGTTGTGTGTGTATGTTCGCTTCTTTGTGGATTTAAACGTCAAGAAATCGTCATTCTTTAAAGCCTTGAAGGAAAACCATTGAATTTAGGTCAACGAGGGAATGTTGCAGTGACACGCAATATTTTTTCTGTTTTCTGGAAAAGCAAACTTTAATTTTATGGAATGTATTCAATAGATAAATCAAAACAGATGTACTTAATCATGACGATGCTTCTCTTGATGGTAACTGATACTTTTCATCTTTCTATGACACTACGAATGAGTTTCCACACATGTAAGTAAATAAGCTTAATAGAATGGGGTTTGATCTCATCCACTTCCTATATTGAGTGCAACTATGACTGCCCAACTAATTTATGGAGTGCCGTAGAGCTAATGCATGTTTGTCAGATATTTTTCATATTTTCATTTTTACGTCATCGAAACGAATAGAAATCGGAAGAGTGAAAAATAAAGAAGGGATTTGGAAATGAAGGGAAAAATTTGTTATTCCAAACACACATAACCAGATGGTTTGCTTTATCTGTGTTGCTAGCTAATCCTCTCGTTTTCAAAAGAAGAAGACGAGAAGATTTCTTTGGTAGGGTTGAGCCGTCTTAATGTCTCTCCTTTACATCATGAAACGGATGAAGCTAAGACGGATTCTTTTCCTTCTTCATTATGATTTATGATTGTGATTGGATGGAAGCAACAGTGCCTGTTCTTTGTTTTAATGTCTCTCAGATGTCTCATTCAGTCGAAGTATTTTGTTTTTTTTTGTTGCATTCAAAATTTTTGCTTTTCGCTCATTCATGAAGAGATCTAAGACGAGGCGAATATAAAAAAAAAAGTTTTTTTTAAATGAAGGAAAGATGGAAACAGCAAACAAAGTTATGAATTAAAAATATGATGCACATGTGTGATATTTTGGCATGAAAAAGTGTCGGCATTTCGCGCATTAATCATTGTACTGTGCATGATGTGGAGAGGATTCAGGAATTGTTTTCATAAAGCGATGAAAATTTAAAGCGAAACTCGCTAAAATAATATTTGTCATACATAAATGAGTTTTAAAAAATCTTCAAACTTATTTATCTATCTTTATGAATATATTTTTATTTATATGATGTGCGATTGATGATGTTTCACATGTGTGTTTAAATTTAGTGGGCTATAAAGTAAGATAAATGAATGCGGAATTGATGTTTAACAACTACTTAATACAATGATCTTAAGATTATAAATGAATTAACATACATAATTTTGTATTTATAATAATAACAAATTTATTACTCTCTAACTTGTACTTTGTTGTAGATAATAATTCATGAAATGATTAATTTTAATGTTATGTCAGAAATGTTTTCGAAAAGTTTCTGTGCAGCGAAAATCTTTAAATTTCAAAGTCACTCAGCACAAAGTGAAGTAATTCTTCCATTTAATGAAATTTTTCTTTGCATAATCACATTAAGAATATTTGAGAGTTTCAACGAGAACATTTTATTAAATAGTAGAAGTAACTTTAACTTATTCAATGCTAATATATTAATTGAGAAAGTTTTCTTTAAACATAATTAACGAATAAGTCCTTAAGGGGAGTTTTCGTGTTTCCTTGAATTTATTTTGCATCGTAAAGGGAAACTTCATCGTAAACGTGCCTTCTCTTTCCAACTTGCTTGTCATAATTTACATATTTTTTAACTTAAAGCGAGTGCGGAATGAATTAAGTAAAGTGAAATTTATGTCTCTCCTTGAGTCGTCGCGCGAGCGTGTGTGGAAAAGAGTTTGTCATTTGGGAACGATAAAAACTTTTCCATCTTTCTTTGTCTTGTGTTGTCTTAAGTAAGACAAAAGAAATCTCTTTTCGAAAATTGACGGCACACGGCAACTTTGTGTGCTTTAAAAAAGAGATGAAAATTCCTTTTACTCAGTTTTGAAACAATTAAATTCTTTTCCATCTTTCTTCTTCGTGTAGAAAAAATTCTTTAGCGTCGTAACTCTTCTCTGAAATCCCTTGAGAGACTTCTGAAGAAAGTGATTTCGTTATTGAAGGCACGAAAGAAATCAGAAAGTGTTCTTTCGTTTGGGATTAATTGAATCTTTTTATAGAGAAGTTTCCCAATTTTCTTTTTTTTATTTCTTTCGAGCATGATAAGAAAGTTCTTGAATCATCACGCTTAATTATGGGTAAGTCGAAACACCTACCTAGGAAGAAAAGTTTCAGCCAACAAGTGACAAAAGTGTTTCAGAAACTACTTCAACCTAATCTCACTACAAAAATATTCACCACAGGATACTTAAAGAACTATAAAACTTGTAATCTCCCAGCTTAAACCAGATCCGTGTAGAATCAATTAAAAACTAAAGAATAAAACTCTGAAACGATATGTTTAATATTAACTTTCACAACACAAAAAACAAAAAAAAAGCGAACTCTAAACTAGAAGAAAGAATTAAAGAAGAGAAAACTTGTCTAATCTTTGTTTTCCCATTAAAGACATGTTTACCAAATTAATTTCTTTTAAACTACATTAGAGAGCACATGATTTTGTGCCCCAAAATGATGATTATGTTGTTCATTCAAGTCTATGTATTCATTTTAAGACGCTTCTTCTTTTCATTGAGATTAAAAATTCTTTTTTGTGTGGGGATCAAGATGCTTGTGCTTGGGAAAATTTATTGTAATCTCTTCTTCTGAGGCAATTTATGGATATGGAAATTAAAAGCGAGATGAAATGAGTAGAAGCAGCACAAGCAGCAGCAGTTTTAGTGCCTGGTAATGTGTGATTAGTAATATTTACATTAATCATGTGTTCCGGATTTTTGTGTTTTGGCTTTTTCTGGATTTTTGTTTTCGTGTGTGTTCATTTGGATTATTTAAGATGGGAAGTAAGTTCCTTCCTTTAATTTAGTTCTTTAATGTCGTGTATGATAGTAAAACTAGGCATTTCATGTTACATTCAGAGAAAAGCGAGTTTGTTTATGTTCTGCCTTAAAACTATTAGTGATATCACTTAAATCATGAGTCAGATTCTTCCCGTTCTTGTTCGAGATTGTTGTCTGTAATCACCACAAAAAAGAGAAGAATACGCGGCAGTGTTTAGCTTTTACGATACTATAATCCATTTTATTTTGTTAAATGATGAAAGGAGAAGAGTTTAATGGCCCATCGCATACGCAACGATTCCGGAAATTGGACTCTCGATTCTGAAATGCAGATAACTCATACGGTTTCTGTCGATATGATCATTGACTTCCACCATAAAAACAGAAAGAAAATAACTTCAATAACTTGCGATTGTAGTTAAAATCAAAATCATTTCATCTGATTTCTTTTTTCTTTTACGACTTTGATGATGTATTTGATGAAAAAGAAGAAAAAAAAAACAAGGAAATTCTCGTAAAACTCGAGAAATCTCAAAAATATGCTTCTTCATATGAACATAAAATGTCATTCAGCTTGTGATGCGAGAACAAACAAACATGGATGAAAGCAATCAGAAAGAATTTGTTTCTGGAATTTCTCTGGATGTCATCGTAGTTCTTTATGTCATGACATTAATTTTCATCTTTTATTATTACGAGAATTAAATTGATTTCGATTATGTGATCGACACATTTACGATTAATCTTTCTCGCTTAATTTTCTTTTATTGATTTTTTTATTTTTCGCTCAATAATTCAATTAAAATTATTTTAATTCTTTTTCGAATTTGCAAGTGTTTAATAAAAGATTTTCTGCGAATTAAATGATGATCTATTTTTTCTCTGAACACTTATGTAAGAGAATCAAATTACTTATCAGATAAATATTCATAAAAGCAATTAAAAGTCAGACTCAAAACGACAGAGAAGTTGCTTTTGAAGATTCAAAAGATATAAAGAATTGCGGACCTTCTCCCTAACTTAAATACGAGCACAATCAACTTTGTTTTGCATCGCAGTAATTTCTTTTTTATTCCTGAGAACAAGAAATATAAATTAGTTTCAATTTAAAACGAGGAAATTGCAAAAAAAAAGAACGAATGAGCTAAAGAATTAATTGGGAATTTAATCAACATGTAAAAAAAAAAAGAGAGCAGAGCTCGATGTGCACGTTAAAATGTGTTGCTTCGAAAGCATTTTGCAATATATCTGGTAATTTCAGCAAGTATGATGACAATATATCAGAATTGGGAGCTTTTATTCATAACAGATAAAACTGTTCAATAATCAATCAGTATTCAAAATGAGAAGCAGAGGGAAGCAATATTGATCCAGTAACTTGATTGCTTTTCCTGAAAGCTTTATTTCCACTCATGTAATTTGTTTTTATCTCCCTGACTTAAGATTTATTATAAGTGAATTACATGGATGGTGCGGAAATGGGCATTTTTAATACATTGCATAACGAAGAATGCTACTGACCCAATTATTTCTCTTCCATTTAAGTCTTTTAGACGTTTATGTTTCCGCAGTTGATTTATAGATGAATTCAAGGCATGAAACAATGCCACACGATCTGCTTAAGAGAATTTTACTCATGTTATTGTTATGTACATATTTGTTGGAAATCGAAATTTATTATGAAAATCGAATTATGCTACTATCGAGAAGGTTGAAGAGCGATCATTAAATAAATCATAATTAGAATAACGACTTCACCACATTCATATTGAAGTAGCTCGTTGTTATGTGAAACGTTGAAGAGTTTCAATAAAGGATGGAAAATCTTCTTTTGTCTCTTCGATGAGCATGAGCATAAATTCAGGTCAATGAGAGATTGTTCAATTTTCGTATAAATGTTTTTATGTTCTTAGTAGGAATATTCGAGTTATGTCATTATGTATTAGAAGAAGAGAATTAACTGTTGAGCTCAGAGTCTGAGAAGAATAGAACAACAGAAGATTAATTTGTACTTCAAAGCGTCCTCTGAAATTCTACGAAATTTTATTAGTCACACAAATAATCTTACCACATCTAACTCTATTCATTATGAATGCTATCTAAACTCTCAATACCCAAATCTACAACTTGACTCAAATGTTGTGAACAATTCAAAACATTCTCAACAACAAAATGTCATTGAAAACAGCTCGTCCCTTACTCTCCCCGGAGGATTATTCGATGTAAATTAATTAAAATGAAATTTCCCTGTCGTGTATTCGATATGTACGTGCGTGTATGTCAGTTCTACATCAGAAAATTTACCAATTTGGATTTTATCAAGTGCTATAATGAGAGTTCTCATTTAATTACGGCCATGAAATTCGAATATTTTTCAAAGTGTTTTTGAGAATGAGGAAACACCGTATGTACATGTTATTCTCCATCACAACTCCTAAGTGAACAAGCGCCATTAAAGTATTAATAAAATGAAAAAAAAAACTCCATCACCTGTCGACATTGTTGTTACATTTGCCTTCGATCACATCAATCGAGCCATGAAATTTAATTGCGAGTGACTTTGTTTATTCTGAACCGATGTCGCATCAAATAAAAGACTTTTTTTATTGTTTTCCTTAAAAACGTTTTAAGAATTCATCATCTGAGCTGATGCAGGAAATTCAATAAAACGGTTCAATCTAAACATGCACTTTTGAGTGCATACTTGAAGCGCCACAGTCACAAGAAAGAAGGAAGAAAATAAATAAAGGGAAGGAATCTTGAGAATTGAGGAAAACAATAAATATTTATTCTGATATAGCAAAGGCATTTTCGATGTTTAATTAGGCGTTTTATTAGTTGCTTTCTTGAGCTGCCTGCTCTTTGAGATTCTTCCGAGACGTTGTTTTAGCTGCACCGGTTCGCATCTCATATTTCATCTCGCCAAAAGCCTCTCAACAAGAGTGTTTTTCGAAAGATAAATAAACCACTTCAACAAGCCAAACCAAGCCAAGCCATTTCCTGACCCGACCCATGAAATTATTTCTTGCTTCGCATTGAAAACTGAACAAGGCAAAAACACAGAAAAAAGATCTGCAAACACCATCTGATGATCCCCTTTCTCCCTCTCTCTCTTTCATTTTTGTTTTTATGGTTTTTATTGTTCCCCAGGTTTCGTGTTCAACCGAGTGTGTGCATTTCATAGAGTTTCCCTTTTTTATTTTTATTTTTGCTGATGTTCATTTTTGGAAATGGAAAATAATAAATTTAAATTGTTAATTAAACTTATTTTAATTTCAACATAAATATTCAATAGTAATGTTTGTTAGGGTTGTGTTAAGTTGATGTGAATTTGTTTGTGGGTGTAAAATTAAAGCGTATTTAAATAGTTTCGAATGAAGTCGCTTTAATCAAAAATTGGGATATTGACTTCCATTTATATGTTTTCAATTTATTGTAATCCAATTTTTTTTGCGGGATTTAATTTCCCTTCGTTTTGTGATATTAATTTTGCATTCATATTAAAGGAAGTTTTCAAATATGACGTAAACGGAATTGAATTCACGCTTGGATTGAGTAACAAATTACAAAACTTTCCGATGGTTTTTGACACGCAATTTAAATGAAAAATTAAACTTTTTGAAAGAGACAAAAAAAGAGTCAGGGATGCCGGCAAATTTTCATATTTCTTTCGCCCATTCATGATTGTGCAATTTACTTCGTGCGATATCTCTCTAATGAACGGAAACAAGTTTCCCCAATTTCCCTCAATTACCTATAGTTTCTGAAATAACAAAACATATGAGAAAGTATTTTTAATTTCCAAATTCATTTCCATTAAACGCTATAAATACTTTTAATGTTGGTCCAGAAATTTATTGAAATAAAAGATTTTTAATTTGGATAAACGTAAATGTATCCAAAGTGGTTGTTGTGTCAGTTTCGTAAACAAAAAAGAGAATACAAAAGTTGAACTACTCGCTGAGCTGATTAAAGTTAATGTTAAAATTATTCGGATTTTTAATTAAGTTTTTTGTTAGAATAGCTTCTTTCTTTAATCTGATCATCGTTTCTTGTTATTTTCACTGGGATTGTGAACCCAAACGTAAAATCCCTTGCCATAGACGTGATTGAAGATTGAGATTCTAATCTCATAATTCACATAAAAATATGTTACGCTTGCTGTGAAAAGGTTTTCTCATTCATATCATTATTAAATTTTCTGGGAATTCTTTAGGAAGCTGTAAGCATTATGAGGATTGTTATCATAAATATCGTGAACATAAATTTCATTCACTTGGAAATTGTGACATCAACTCGTTTCTCCTTTCATTTTAAACGACTTAGAAAAATCTTATTCGAAATCCATAAGTTTTATGACACAGCTTCGAGGAGTAAATGATAAAAGATAAAAGTTGAAAGCCTTTTCAGCTGCTACCTGACGGCAATAAAACAGTAGAAAATTCAAAGATTTCAATCACAGCAACCACTTTTCATATGATGGATATTTTCTGTTTTTTCACTGTGCACGTGGAATTTTATTTATTCATTTATTGCTTCATTTCTTTTTTTTTGAAGACCATCAGAGTTCAAAGTTATGCATACGTTACGTTTAGTTGTAGAGTAGAATTGAAAAACCTTAAGTGGCGTCATAAAATTCTTTCTCATACTTCATAGATTGATTTTCATATTACAGAAATAAAAAATTGCTTTTGATTGCATAACTCTTTTGACTTATTTGGCATTAGAAGCGTCTTAAGCTGCACAACAATGGTTCGTATATTACCAAATTTATCATTTCTTAGGCAACATAGCGGAATGTGAAGAGAAACGATTTAATCTTAGAATTCACCAAACTATTTCGTAACTTCTAAGAGTTCCTTTTCGAGGGTACACAGTTCAAACACCAAAAAAGCGAAACAAAAGAATGAAAAAAAAAATAACCATCAGTTAAAGAATCTTCTCGTAGATGAAAGCGAGACATTTAAGTGCTGGATCACGAGAAACGATGAGATGAAGATGAAAGAGAAACTGGAGAAGATTTCAAAAAATTTATTTATGGAAAACATCAATAAATAAATTAAAATTAAGTTGTAAAACTATTTTTTTCTCTCCATCTTTCGTTTCAGTTCATTGTAGATGATGGAGGCTAAAGAAACGCTAAGAATAGTGTTAGGTTCAGAAATTTCAAATGATGACTCGCTTCGCATTATGTTGTTGTTTAAGTGAGTTTAGACTTAGAATGTTTATGGCCAAATCTCTTTCTTTGTAAGAAAATTGAGTAGATTTAATTTATATTTTTATTAGTCTTGGACTTCTCTTAGACAAAGTGTTATGCTAAAGTTTCCTTCTCACAAAAGACTTAAGAGAAACGAAGACGCTACTTGGAACTACTTTAAGTGAAATTTAAATTTTACAGCCCATGAAAAAAGAAACTTCTGACTTGACTAAAATCATAAATTCTCCAGACATAAATAAATGCTTTCTCTAACATTTCTTGGATATTTTGTTTTCGTTTGAATTTGGGAAAAAAAGTCAAACAACCGAATTTGTTTTTATGGCTTAAGTGGAGAATTTTACGAGAAGTCGCTGCTGGGTAGGGAGCCATAAAGACACTACTAATAATGGTCATTTAGGATGTAAATCTTTCTCTTAAAAGTAGGAACTGTAAACGAGAGTGCTGAAAGGCAAATCAAGAAAATTCCTACAAAATTCTCTCGTCATTTCGACCCCATGCTGGTTTTGTGACAAGCCTCACACGCTTTCAAAGTAAACTCAGTCACCGAAAGCAATGAAATTGAGATTTTCCGGGAAGAAAATTTTCTACACTTTATGAAAAAAGAAATTTGACACGTGACTTTCACAACATGCCAACCGTGCAAAAAGGATCTGAAGCGTGCCAGGAATTTGCGACAGTTCAATTTCGTTTCTAATCTCTCGAATTTGTATCCTTGAGTGTTTGTCTTATCGAGTGGAAATCAACGATTATTAAATTTTATCGATAATTGGACGAGGATATTCGACGAGAAGAATTGTAGAAATTCCTTCCGCTTCGTAGATCAAATCTTTCTCTTGATTGCCATTTTAGAATCCTTTTGAAACTTCCTCAAAAGAATTACTTACAATTATTTCTAAACCTCTTGTCTTATCAACTGTAAAAGTGTAAAAGTTTAACAGTTGAGTCAATGGAAATGAAAATTTGTTGCTAATTGGCTTACGTTTTATGGAGACTCTTAATCAAAATGCTTTCGAAAATTGAACGAAGAAAGAAAGATCATGTCTTACAGTCTTCAATTATTCGCCAAGTTTGTAGCACTCTCTAAATTTCTTATCAGAAGCAGTAGCGAAGAAATGGCAATCGCACGGCAAAAATCAAATCGGATTGAAATGGCGCGCACGTGATGCTTTTATCGGTAAATTGCTTCTTCGGGGGTCGTTTAAGTAGAAATGAGAAAGAAAAATTGTTTACTCGAACTCAGAGATAAGGAGGAATTTCAGAGCAGAAAGTGAAGAAATTATCGCACACACAAATCGAAGCTGATGGCAAAAGGTGAGATAAAAGATTAATTTGCGCAATCTGTCGAAGCGACGAGGAAAATTATGCACTCAAAGCTCTCACGCGATAAGCGGATAAAATTAATGCTATAGTGTTGAACGTTATCGCTTCGCAATTTGTAAGACTTTTCAATTTTCTCATGCACTTTCTGCTGTTTAGCACTTCTTGGTCATAAATATCTGTTTTGAGAACACTTTGGCATTTTCATGGTAGTTGAATCATTTCAGGGTTTCGTTAAATGAGAAATCCAACTTACATATTTCTCTCCTTGGCATCATCAACAGAATCTAAACTCTAGAGAAACCCAAAACGATCCAGAATGAAAATTAATCTTCAACCGGCTCCAAAGGCATGCGACTTTTTATCAGTTGCGCTGTCATTCGATGGAATGGAATACGAGATAGAATGGAGTCAAATAACCTTTCGTGCAATTTCTTTCGAAGTTGAGATGGCATCAGAAATAACATTGAGAACGCGAGACCATCGCGCTAATAAATCTCAGGAATTTTTTTTCTTTCTTTTCCTTACTCGTTGTTTGGCGTGGTATCAAATTAATCCCTCATTTCGCAATTTCTTCTCCTTAAAATGGGCTTTAAATGATTTTGAATTTCAAGAGAAGTGAAGAAGAAAAAGGTTTCAGGAATTTGTATTTTGATTTATTAGTGATACATTCTGAAACTTCTTTTGAAATTTCTTCTTCTTAAGACATAAGTTGAACGTCTTAAGAGAACTTTCTAAAAATTGAATTCGAGTTTATTATTGATCACAATTATTCAAAGTATATTTGCCATTATTTTGATTAAATTTTGCTGTATGAATATGAATGTCGGAAAAGTAAAGAAAGCCAGTTATGGGAATGATTTTCCATCCAGACAGACTAATATTGTCTGGAACTTTCATCGTCTCTCGTCGACCTGGTCGTTTTCACAAAGAATTTTTATGTCTCTCAGAAAAGAAACTTTAGATATCGATTTTTCATCCTCACATATTAAAGCATATTTCTTTATGACTTTTGATTTATTGGCTGGCATTCAAAGAGATTATAATAATAAGATTTTAAGCTCCAATTGGAGAGATGTGAATGTCTTTCTTCTCTCTCGCCTGCGCCTCCTTCATATCAACTTGAGACAACCTTACGTATTTTTCTACTTTACATTTGCCGATCCAACGACGATACCTCATTGAATATAAACAATTCATTTTAGTACAACAACAAAACCACTTTAAATTATCGATGATTACAAAGATTTATCGATATTTTTTCATTCCATGTTCAGCCTCGTCCACAGTGAAGATTAAATGTGATTTAAAAATCTTTATTTCTTTTCCTCTCGATACTGTTTCGTATTTTTTTTTTTTGCTTTCAAATCATTGTTAAGATCATTCATTGAAAAGATTTAAGAATGGACACAAAACGTTTGCTTTTTCTACAAAAAAAAAACGAGAGAAATAAATTATAATTTTTATTGGCATTAGTTGATCGACGCTATGTTTGTGTATGTTTGGATTAAATCAAATTGATGTAAAGGCAAATTAGAATCTTGGTAAAGACTGCGCTTCTTTTTCATATTTGCTTGATGATGTCGTTAACACGCCTTGAAATTTCTATTTAAATGTAAAAGATAAAGTTATGATCATAGAAGGAAGGCAGTGATGTCACAAAACATGTTCATCATATTGTCATCGAAGTCTTGATCATAACAACACATTTTTCATCCTTGACATCCACAGTTGGACGATACGATGCATGTGTTCGGTTTCATGTCGCTTAAGTGCTAATGCCTTTCTTGAAAACTACACTTAAAGATGAGATAAAGTCAATCAAAAGCGACTTAACCCGCGCAATGTCAACCCGAACGAAATGCTATAATGCATCATAAAAGCAAGATACTGACATTGACACTCACTTCGATTACATGCAGCGACGAAGATCCAAAGTCGTGTTGAAAAGTGAACGAAAAACATTCAGAATTAGGGGACGTCGCAAGAGTCGAGACTGAATTAAAAACATGAACGACTTAATTCGTTAATTTATTGGACAAATCTCTTTTCCATAACAACAAGAAAAAGAAGTCTTGAAATGAAAGATTTCCCAGTTAACGTTAAACTTCTCTTCTTTAAATATTTTAGGGTAATAAAAAAAGTCATCAACAGGTTCTTACCTGGGACAATCAACGACAAAATAAAAACCTGATTGAGTTGAAAGAAAAATTTTCTTCTTTTCCTATCGATTATTATTGGAGGATTTAATTCTCTTTAATCTTGAAAATATTGAGCTATGCTCGTTTCTTTATTTTAAGTAACGTTATTCATCGAAGAAGCAAGCAAGCAAGAGGCTTTCGACCGCTAATCACCATTTATGAAGCTCAAATTACATGCAAACGAATGTATGAGCTTGAATCGTTGCAGAAAATCCTCAAATTATGGTAATTTCTTTGTATCCATAAATATATTGGAGACGATTGAAGATCATTGAACTCTCGTTTGATGGCTGCTAGCCATGGTGACCCCTATGATAGATTTTCTGTATTTATCTTCAGTTTAAATGTTTGTCAATCCATTGCTTGCTTGCTATTTATCCCTTTTGAATGACTTTCGCCAGCAGGGATCAGAGTTCAAACGTCGTTTGAGGTTCAAAGCAATAATAAATAAGAATAAGAATCGAGCATCTGTAGAGCGTGTATGCATGTCTAAGAAGAGCAAGAAGTTAAAAGTGGGATGGACAGAAAGCTTAAAAGATAAAAAAATAAACATTTTTCTATTTTGTTCTTTGTTCATTGTCATTTGCTGTTCCACCGGATCGATTTGAGGACACATGACACACATTGAAGTCAACTGAAAAGAGAAACAATAAAAAACACCTGACTCATGGAATTCTTGCTTGTTCTTCCCTTTGGACTTTTATCTCTTGCCTTTTTCAAGATTAAAATATGAAATATGTCGAAGGGACGACAAGAAAATGAAAGGAAAAAATGGAAACAGCGGACAGAAATGTGGATAAAAATTAATATTGTCAGTAAGGGAGAAGCTGCTGGAAGCGATGTTAGGGTGCGATGAAGGAAGAGTGTACGAGTATTGTGCGATTCTGATAAGAAAAATTGCTTTAATAAATGAGAAACATCGGCTTGTCGAAACATTTAAGCAACTGTCAATGTATGGTAAGAAAAAGTCCATCGAGAATGTTATTGCCAGATGCAAGACAAAGGTTAATTAAGTTTAGAAACTTCCAGCTCCGTAAACTATAAATGAAGTGACAATATCTTTAATGTTTAATTCATTGAAGAGCGATGAGAAAGGCAAACATAATTTTTTGATGATGCCAGCAACAGTTCAAAGCTCAACAAGAGAGCTAAAAACAATACTTTATTAATATGAAAGTTAAACCTTACACTCACGCAAACCAGATGTTGTCAGTTTTTATGTTGCTGTTGCTGGTGTTGCTATTACAGCTCCCGATATGATACTTCAAGGAAAAGACAAAAAAACACATGAAAAGCTGGCAGAACATGGCATACATTACTTTTTGCTACTTTTCTATAAAACGAAAGCTAACAAAAATTTGTTCAAGCGAAATGGAAGGGTCAGCATTCTGGTTCTGAAAGCCCCACCAAGGGACTCATGAAAAATATCCTAGGATCGAAAAAAATATTTTCTGTTTATCCTGCAAATACTTCAAGCATTCCAAAAAGCTTCGAATTTTCTAGACTTTTCTTGTAGATTAAACAGACTTTTGTATAATTTTTTTTCCTTTATTTATCATTCATAAAAGCTTCACAATTCATCATAACTTTTCCATAAATTCCTATCAAGATTCTTTAATAGCAAAAATTCAATCACATTTCAAGTTATTATCGGAATCTTTAGAAATAATCTTCGAGTTTGTGTTCGAATTGCAATAAGATTCAATAAAAAACTTCATGAAGAAATAAATCAAAATACTAAGATTAGCGATTTGAATGTAGAAAAGTTTTGAAACGCCACAAATACATCCTGGCATGATGGCGACAACGCAATGTCCGAGCATCAATACAAGTTGTAAAAGTTGAATTATTGTTAAGAAAGGCTTTAAGCCATTAATAATCACAGCTATTCGTTTGAATGAGCTTAAGAAATAGTAAAGATACATCACGACATGAACTGAAGAGTTCATCACTACAATGGCAAGCTCCATCATTCCTAGAAACAAGATCAGATAATAAAAACTTTTTATCTGAAATAATCATAAATTATTTCTCACCTGAGCTATACTTAAAGTATAACCAGAGTAAAGCAAGTGTGCTAATATGGTGATAGAGATGGAGCGTCGAGACTTGATTCTGTTTCTTACGCAGAACGAAGAAGACGGTTTCAATTAACTCAAAAGCTCTCAGCATAAGAAACCACCACATGCAGTTCATAGTTTTAATTTCAGATCCCTTCTTGAGACTGTCAACACATCTCCAAATATTTCGAAAAGTAAATCCATGTGAATGAAACTTGAAAACAAACCATGCACATGCTAAAACTTGGAAGATGTTGTAAACTCTGATAACTTTTAACAAGCTGAAAGGTTTTCGATTATTCATGAACGCTGGTCCTATCTTCAACACACAGTACAAATACAAAGTTATAAATAGAATCAAAGGTGTAGGTGTTGTCATGAAGTAGAAAGAATCTACAACATCGTCTACAAAGAAAATATTTTTAAAACATTGTTGGTGTTTAGTTTATTTTTCAAATTTAATTAGCTTACATTTTCCTTCAAACATCTTGACTTCTACACAAATTGATTTGATGAGTTGAAAGTTTCACTGAAATTGAGAACATTGAATTACAAATCAATTTATAGTTGTAATCAATAAATTATCTTTAAAATTGTTAATTCACATCATTTTGTTTGTTTTCGTAATTGCAAAATCATGCACTTAATAACATTAATTTGAATCATTTTCTTATTAAGCATAATTTGAGTCTTAATTTGAGCACCCTATGTTGCCTTTCGATTACATACCTAAATAGATAATTTTAAATTAAAGAAATTCACTTGTTACGTCCGATTCATTGAACTTCCAATATCCAACTCAAGTTGTCAGACAAATTTGTCTTTTTTCCATTAACATAATGTCGAATAAATTTGAATTTTTTCTTTTTTTTTGAAAATTACTTTGTATGAGTTTGTTTTAATTGCTGATTTTTTTTTTCTCAAAAATTTGAACTTCAATGACAGGAAGAATGTGACAAAGTTTTTTACTTTGTTTCTCAATGGAAATTTGTGATTTAAAATCTTCTTTTGATCACTGAAGTGAGTGAAATTAGAGTGAAATGGAAAACATGAATAATAAATGCTTACGGGTAGCTGAAGCTGAAAAACAAGAATTTTGTTGACAACAAAATTGTGACATTAACAAATCAAATTGAAATAAGCCCTGTTTTATTAAATTTATTTCATATCAAATTTGTTGAAGCGAATATAAGAAATATTCAAGTTCCGTTCGAGGATACTTCCGTCAATTTCCCTTCCAACAAATCATATTAAAAGTTTCCTAAAAGATAGAGACGGATGAGGCTTCACATTAACGCAAATCTGCTGCTGTTTTTCCCTCAGTATCAAACAAGTCCAATCCGATTAATCCCATCACGTAAATAAGGGCAACAAGAAGGATAAATACATCACAGCAAGAAAGCTGACGTTAATTAGACCGCTAATGTACATTGATTATGTCTTTGCAAATTGCCTCTCCGACAACGTCGACTGTTGAAGTCTTCAACGATATACAATTGAAGAAAGCTCTATTGGGAATGGTTTGCTACTGTTCAACTGTGAGGATGAGAATGAAAAGAATTCAGTGAAGGAATGGAATATAAAAAAATCTTTCAGACAACAGAATAAACTCATAAATTAGCGAATTATTTAGTCGATTCTTGTATACAGCAATGTGAGATAGAACGAATAAAACAAGAAAAAATATCATTAATTACATAAGCATTTATCTCTTAATTGCTGAGTTTAGTTTTTTTTTTTGCCACTTCTCTCCGCCACCTGTTTCAGTCTGCTTCACTGATGGCGAAAAATATTTCCATGCGGTTGGGTGAATGGATGATAAAAAAAAAAGTTGCCATGTACATAAATACATGAATTAAATTAAAAGCATGATGACGTTGTGAATAGCTTGGGATGGCACAGCAACACCAGTTAAAAATATATATCAAAATCAGCCAACCAAGAACCAATGGCTTGTTTGTTCCCTGGTTGTGTTCAAAAATTCACGTCTGATAATTGCAAGCGCATCAATGATTGCCTTTTCATCTTTCTCATCAGCTTTGCACCATATGAAATTCAATTTAAAATTAAAGTTGTTCAATTTAATTATTTGTCATTCTCTAAAATGTTCATGGCGAAAGAGAAATGAAGACTGAATTGCAAATTAAACCGCCATTTCTCGTGTAACTTAGTATCGCCCTTTTGTTCTGTTCCCAGTTTATTTTAAAATTGTGAATATAGAAACGGTGATGGTTTCCAACTGAGAATTCAATTCAGTTTTTTCACTATCCAATCCTGTGAGAATAATGAAGATTCATTATGTGGAAAAAATTGTCCAATAATTTCATCAAGAGACGAAAGGAAAAAAAAAACATCACAGCGAGCGCAGTCTTTTGAAAAAATGTGAAAATAAAAGCGAGTTTTAGGATGAATAACAAAGGAAGAGAAAAATCGTATTTAATTTCCAATTATGGTGCAAGTTGAATGGCAGAAAGGAGGGAGATGAGGCATGGAAGGCAATAAACCACTGCTAAATAGCTGTCAACGAGCCATCACAGGCTTCCATACTTTTTGAATTTTAATAAAAAAAAAAGAATCGTCAATTGTTTTCGTGCCGCGTTTCGTCCCTTCATGGATTCTTCATTTAAGATGATTTTGTTTAATTTTTTTTTCGCAATATTGAGAAGCTCAACATTTACTCCCACAACCTTAATGTGAATTCAATGACATCCACATCATGTTTTGAAAGTCATTAGTACTTATTGAATGGTTTTTCATTCCCATTCAGCTTTTCTTTCTATTTCCCAAATTCTTTTGATTCAGAAAACATTCAAAGGTCTTCTATTTTTATTAGAAATTTCCTATATTAAAAAACATCGTCAATGGAAACTATCGAAATAAAAAATAATATAAAATTGAAAAGACAAACAGGAAATTAAATTTTCATTTCGTGTCGCATTCACTTTTGAGGTAGACATAGAATATTGCAGTTTAAATGGTGAAAGAAAGGAAATATTCAAACTGAAATTTATGCTTCCTGTGACGGTTCATGATGATTCGATTCATGTAATCGAAAAAAAGAAAAAGTTTATGATTTTATGTTGTGATTTTTAACACTGAACAATTTAAATTTCATTAATTTTACGGTTGCTGCATTTTATATTAGATCAATATATCTGCGACTGTTTGGTCTATAATTCCATTTCGAATGTTTTTGCCAGAAGTTTTCTTCAATTTACTTATCGTTTTAAAATTTTATGAAGGTTCATTTACGAGAAGAAAAGTGGAAGAAATTATTTCCATTGGGAAATGTTTACCAATCAATGGTTGTGACAGCGTCTTAACTTCGATAGAAACAGACTGTTATAGTCAGAGAGTTTTCGTGTAATTAAAGTGAATGACTTTCGAGAGCTAAAAGCTTCTTTGAAAATTTAATTTTCTTCGAAATTTGCCAAATTAAATTATCAAGGTTAAGAATCAAACAGAGAATTCTGGAAATTCTTTTGCTTGCATCATCAAATGTTTATGCTTAAACCCTCCATATATCATCACAAAGTTTATTAAAATTTCATTCGTCTTAAAGAATCTGAAAAATGAGACTCGAAACAAATTCTAACGCGAGCACAAAACTCTCGCATATTTTTATTTCATCAACACTCTTACACATGATTTTAAAGTTGAAACGTTAAGCAAAAGAAGAAACAAGACATTGAGATGAGTTAAAGAAGATCACGAGCAATAAATTATAATTAGAATGAGAATATAAATATATATAAAAGCAGTTTCGGAACAGGGAAGAAAAATTAATCATCAAAAATGTGCTTAAGAAATGATTCCCGCTCATCTTTGCTTTGTGAAAAGTTATGAAATTTCTTTTTCTCTTTTCTGATTTTTATGTTTTCCAAAAAGGCATGAAATATTTAAATAAGACAAGAATTTCAATCTTTTTGATTTTCAAACAAGTCAGAATATTTAAGAATGATTTTCTGATAGTTAATGATGAGAAAATTAAACGACTTTGCTTTTCTGATTCAAACTTGTATTTAATTTAATTTCTCTTCGAAATATTAAAAACGCGAATGAATGATAATAAAAAAAGAGTTTAAAATTTGTTCTTAATTAGCATAAAGATGCTCTTTAAGTGGCATTATGAAAGTCAGAATGATCAAAAGGAGAATCTCAAAGAACATCAACTTTTCTGCTTTAATTAATTAAATATGAATATGATTTCTTAAGCCAAAGTAGATGTGGATGGATCCCTTTTTATTAAAGCTATAAGCACGCAGAGTCAGTTCCAAGTGGTTATTTTATTGCCAGTTCTCATCTCTTATTTGCTTTTCACATCAAACAATTTTTACGACTTTTTATTTCTTCTAATGTAACAATTTCGTTCCCCTTTCTAACAAGATATCGTTTAAAAGAGACGAAGAAGTATCAAGCATCATAAAATAATTAATTAAGTAGGAAATCCCACTTTAAAGTGTCTGGTGCAATTATGGTTAGTCGTAGCTTCATTTCCATTCACTCTGCTCTGCGCTGTTCATGTCTCTCGCTTTATTTTTCACTGCACACCGCAATATTTCCTGTTCAAGTTCAACTTCGGTGGTAGCGCGCTTTCAATATTCCCAGTAGATATTTACATATTACCGTACTTAAATATTACATTGTTTGACAACATATAACTTCCATTAAAGTTCATCAAGTAAGTTTAAAAGAAATATTTTCGATTTATACACAAACGAACTAAAAACAGAGAAAAGTCTGGAAGTCGTCAACTTCTTTTAACCTTCGTAATTGCGAAAAATAAAAGGCAAAAAGAAGAATTTGAAACTTATGATTATTGCTAATCATTGGTACAGTCAGCCAATTCACCACGGCCTGGTGTGCTCATGCCGGTTGTTTGCTTGCTTCCAATCAGCCAATTCACTCTCGCAATTCCGGAACGAATTAATTTTCGACATATTCGGATTGGGCTTCATTGTGAAAATATTTTTCAATTTGTTTTAATACTTTTTTTCAACATTCTTTTCACTTCGAGGTAGTAAAACAAGAATTTCACAAACTGTTTTTTTTTTCTCTCATTCTTCATCAGAATCCGAGGAAAAAAAAACGTTTCACATGAGAAACAAGAGTCGAGCAACAGAAGAGAATCGAAGCGTCACGAATTGCATTTGTTATGACGTTTGAATTTCTGTAAAATTGGTTGCTGAGAAAGGATGGTGAGAAGAGATGGAAACAGAAATGACATGGGTCGATCTCGAGAGTTTGTGTCGAGGTGTGAAATTGCCGGTGTGCTCTACCGTACTTGCTGTTCATTTTTCATTAGGATCACTGAGTCGTTCATCAGATGCATTGAGCTGAAAAGTCAGCAGATAAATTTAATTGCTTGTTTCTTCTGCAATTCTCCATCGGGATAAAACAGGGTGGCATTCGTTTCATCCTTCTAAACATTCATTAGCAGCTGCTAATTCATACTGATACACTCCCTGGGGATTCCAGAAGCATCATGTGGGAACAAAGAATATGTAACAGCGCAAGAATCGAAGAATATTCTGTGTGTGAAGTCCGGATGCTAATGAAATGGAGATTTCGAGAGATCTCATGCTGATATTAATTAAAACACAAATAACACAAGAATGGAAGATATATCGATTTTTATTATAATTTTCATTCTTTTTTCCTCTACAATTTTTGACTTTGAAACGTTTGGATGTTCTTCACGCTCTCCATTGATCTATTTATTTATTTTTATCACAGAGGTGTTACTTGACTTGATGTTGATCTATTTATGAAATAATTCATCAAATCTTTTCTATGAATCTTTTAAATTTTAGAGACATCATTCATGAATAGCTTTAATTTATCCTTGATTTGATTAAATCCAATTTTTTTCGCTGTAGTTACAACCTTGAAATCTCCATTCTCAACGAACAATTCGTTGTTGTTTCTAAATAATGAAATAAGATTACGTTCAGGAATCATTTTCAAGAACGTTTTCGTTTTATTTATTTATACATTGGCTCGTTACCTCACACATATGGTTTGAAATAACAACTTCAACCAAATAGAACAATTTGTGACGTATAAGGTAAAGTTTTGAAGGGGAAATTAAAGTTCAATGTTTGTTGTTGCTTCAATTCTCTTTCATTCTTTTCCATTTAATATTCTTTGCTTATTTGCTTGTTGCTTCTTTTTTAAAAGAGTTTAAAAATGTAAATAATTAAGATAAGCAGCACGAGACTTTTCCGAACCTCCACACTCATTTGGCATGAATCGACAGCAATACAAACGAAAACATTCCCACATTGTTTTTTGAAAAGAGTGTAAGCCAATGCCTGGAAATAATTGGACATGATGGAGGGCAATTATTAGTAAATTAAAACGAATCAAAATATGTCAGTTGTATTGTGTAACATGTTCACATTCCATTAGACTTTCGTTTAAATGTTTTTTTCTTCCATTTTTAGCTTTTTATTTTTAAGTGAATAAAATCGGAACAAGTTGAATAGAAACGATGGTAATAGAAATGAAAATTAATTAGATTCTTGCGTTTCCAATTGTTAATTAACTTCTTAGAATGAATTATTTGTTGATTAAAATATCCATCATATACTATCTTGTCGAGCTGTCACATCATTCATATTCTGGCCGCCAGCGAAATATATCAATTTGTCCGCTTCTCAGATCAAGTTTTTCGGTTTAAACGTTCCTCGTAAAAGACATAAAAATTGAAATTTGAATCAGCTACGGAATGATTCAGTTTAGTTCTTTCTTGGAACTTAATAGAAATTAAGCGAAGCACCCGTACTGCTCTAATCCTATTGAAATGTGTGAGTTGAGTAGTCACGAAGAGGTCCCATGAGAATCAGAATTTCTGTTTAAATTACAAATCCATCACAAATGATTCTCGACGAGCATAGCGAAAGGCATTTAAAAAGGGTTGACTTTGCTTCTTTCTTTCTACATATCGCACATGAAAGCTGGGAAACCTTTTCGATTAAATAAATGCTAAGCAAATCAATACTTATATAGAAACATATTGTTTGGGGCGATGGCAGGTAAATCGGTCGATATTCATTTGGTAAATGTGCTTTTGTTATTTTCTCTCGCTAATCTGCCTTCCATGTTTTACAAATTGCATTCAAATTGTTTTTCCGCAGAGGGTCGAATACGATAAATTATTTAAAGTTGGGGTCTTAATCCTGCCAAAGTATGGTAATCGACAAATTTGATAAAGTTTTCTTCTCTCCTTTTTACATTTTTCTAATAAGAAGAACGGGTTGGGAATTGAAAATGTAAACCTTAATTGTGTAGTTCAATAAATTAAAAAGCAATGTCGAGATATCAATAGAATAAAATACGATGAAACTTTACAACAACATAAATTATTTAGATTGATGCAAACAACCATGTTCATCGCTAGTTTTATTGCAAAGTGGCTTAGATAAACTCACACCACGGGATATGAGAAAACAACTAACAATAAACAGTTGCAATTTCACTCTTAATTACATTAAAATGTTTCATAAGCTCCAATTATATTTACACATTTGATAGCTTCAGGCAAACAGTACCAGGTATTATGAACGCAAAATTGATTTAATTTCTTGATGTGAAAAACAAGCATGCATAAAGCTGTAATGAAATAAAACAATATAAATCTCTTGGAATGTATTTATTATGGTTTCTGTTGATATTTATTATGCATTTGTTTCATGAACTCTCGAGTGGGAATGAGAGATAACAAAAGCAAAACACTTAATAGTTCCGAGTTTGATGAATGGTTGATCTACTTTGCCTTACTTTTGTAATCCGAAACGCTTCATTTCATGATTACTACGAATTATTATAACGTAACATATCCAAACATGAACACATGCTGGGAACAAACACAAATCGAGTGACAAGGTGATCAAAATCAAAAGGTTAAAAGTTGAAACAGTGAAAGGATGAAAGATTTTTATTTGTTGCCATTTTTGGTCTCAGTTTCAAGTTGTGAAATTTTGGAGGTTTTTAAAAAACATTATGAGATATCGTAAACAATATTAAACCAGCTGTCAAACAGAGTAATCAGTGGAGCTAACTACCACTCTACTAACTTCATTACTCATTCCGAACTTTCGTTTCCCCTTCTCGACTATCGTCGGCAAGCTCGCTTTATAGCAACGGATAATTATCGATGAAAGGCATCGTGAAACTAATCATAAATCATCAGCAAAAATACTCATTTTCCACTTTAATGTGATACCTTCATTCTCATCAAGCGCATGAAATTCTTTTTGTTACCTGCGGAATATTTTTTCATTCTCTTCTTTTAGGATTAAAATGAAACCTCCTCAAAAGGATGACTGGCTCCTTTCGACTTGTTATGGAAGATGCTTGTGCCACTTTATAGCTATTAATTAGAGAACTTGATCATCTAGACACTTTTAAGTCAATGCGGAAGAGGTTTTAGTTGTGTCGAGAGAGAGAGAGAGAGAGAGAGGCACAATAAAGGATAATTAGTGGTTGTGCGATGGTTTTTGTTCCTTTTTCTATTGAAACTCCTTGAAACTCGACTACAACGTTCTGTAATTACACTGCCGTTAGATTTATGAATGAGGGTTTTACGATTAATGAATGTTTTTGGTGATGTAAAGTGTCTGGGAGAAAATTATTTTAATTTATTGAGTTCTGGGAAGTGTGAATGAAATTGAAGATGAGACGATTTAAGATGAGATCGCACATGAAAGGGAATTAAATAAATTCTCTAGCCGACAAATCATTGTAACAAACTATCTCTGCATTTTTGAAATATTTCCTTCGTATCCTTGATGAGAAATCGTATTCTTTAAGTTTCAAACATTTCTGAACTATATTTCATTCAGATCACAATTTTTGTCCCAAGAGTACTTTTTATTACTCTCAAATCGTGATTTGTTGCCATTGTTGACGGTGAAAACACTTTTTTTGTGGCATTCGAAAATATAGAAAAAGAATTCCCAGTAGTGGCAGTGAATCAATTCATTTTCACATTCACCAGCTTAGATTGAATTTTTGCTTTTGGTTTAGCTTTGAGACGAAGGGATTGTGAGTTTCAGAATCGATAAGTGATTTACGTGGCAGTTTCTGTTGAATGTTGAAGTGAATTTTAAAAACTGGAACTAACTGAAATGACCCGAATTCATTTTGCAGTTTATTTTCCGCAATTTATTTGATCAAATGAACATCCTGACGTGATATCTAACATAGCTTTATGGGAAAATCTGTTTAGATATTCCATTCCATTCGTTTTGTTGTATCTACAATCATTCCAATAGATCACGTTGAATTGTTATGCAACTTTTTCGAGGAAAAATATTTAAAGTAATTTTCAAGCCATTCAAATTCAATTTCATGCGAATTAGCAAAAAAAGAAAATCTTTACTTTCTAAAGTCATCAACATCGCGAAGCTTGAAATGACGACAAGAACGATGATTTCTTTCTGTTTAGACGGGAAAAGTCTGTTTGCTGAAGCGTTCAAATAAAGATTTTTACTTCAAAATGCTGCTCATCTCTCTTCTGTTTAAGTATGGAATAAAACTCAAATATTATGAAGTTTATTTCCGCAGAAGAGTAAAAAAAGGAAAATATAAAAGTTACAAACAACATCGCGGAAAATTTTCATTTCCAACATATTATCCGTCTCCCTTGAAAGAGTAAAAAAAACATATCACTCGTGATGACAGGCGTATGTAAGTCGGAAATGTGTAGCATCATCAGGATTTTGATGGGTTTTAAGTTGCGTAGATTTTCGAATGAATTCTTTGCCATTGCCACAAGAACTCAACTCACATATCGTATGTTGTTATACTGAAAGCTCCCCAATGGAAACAAATATTATTCGATAAGAAAACTTCACAGAGACAAATGTGAAGACGTCAAGATAAGAATGATTTTCATTATATTTTAAGCTTTGAATTTTCAACATGCGTGTGATGTTGAATTTATTTCCCTCGACTTCCGACTGAATGAAGAGACAATGAACAATGCTGAGAGTAGCAATTTGCAATCCTAGATTTTCTTGTTTCTTCCATGAGTGCTCTGTTCAGGCGATAAACCGACAATTTCAAATGGTCATTCCTTCTTCATGTTTTTATCATTCTCTTCATTGGATTATCAGGAATTATTGCACTTGCAGAAATTCAAGTATGTCTACATTTTCCATTCCTTCTTCTTCTTCAACAACATCATCCCCGCCTGATTTCAATCAAGTGAGTTATGGTGATTTTATGCGACTTTTATCTGTCTGCCGTCTCCCCCCGATATTCAATTTCCAGATTACCTTTGAGAGAATCTTCTTGTTTATTGAAAAACTATTTGATTATTTATTTTGTTCTGCTGTTGTGGTCGTGAATGAACAAACAACATCTTAATATTTATGTGGCAGCCGAAACTGAAATAGAAACTGCAATGGCAATAAAATGTCATCGATAAAGTTGACTCCCGTGCTGTTTTTTTTTCTTTTCAAATGGTGGCAATAAATGTGTGTAATATTTGGAATCGACAAAACAAGTCATTAAATTGAATGGGGAAATAAGTAGCTCCAGAATGGTTAAATTACCTCCCAATGATGTTTATGGCCTTGTAGAAATATTCAGGGGTGGATCTTGTCAACAAACGTAAATAATCGAATGTTAACTTCCTATCAGTCATCGCTTAAGGTCAATATCGACTCTGCTGTAAACTCAACACAGTTTCGATTCCGATTTAGATCTGAATTTTCCCGATTTCAATAGAATTTTATTGAAAAGAAAGATTTTTTTTATTGACTACCGAATACAATAAAATTTGAGATAAAAAGAATCCTCCGTTGTGCAATTGAAATAATTTGCAAAAATAGCAGAATAAAATGTATTCTTGAATAACGAGTTTACGGTTTGAAATTTAATGGCAAATGGTGTGTAGCTATCTATGTATAAATATCCCATTTTAAAAGATCGAGAAATTTTTTGTGCTATCATCAGCGAAATTCGATCAATGCTTTAGACACTCCGGACACAGTGGCGAGCTGTGACTATTCAAATGCAGAAACTCTTTTGTCATTTTCACACCCAAAGACTGTTGTAGAACGTCGCGACACCCTTCGAAATGCGACGTCTATGAGTTCTCACCGGAAGTATTTGAATGAAAAGACATAAACTGCTAAGTTTTAATGGTACCATCGACAGACATTAAGTATCGCTTCTTTCAATCTATTTTACGACTTGATGAAAGATTTCAAAGGTCTCTAAACTTCTACTCGGCTTAGCAATACACAGCAACAGAAGGAGCGATGACTAATAGTCATTAAAAGTTGGTTAATTTGGGGTTGGAATTTTATTTAATAGCGCAATGTGCTAGACGACATTAATAAATTTGTGATGGTGAAAAGAAAGCGAAAATGAATCATACATTGATGAATTGATGTCGACAATTTTTATAAACTTTACCGTTTTGTTCATTAAACTTTTCGATTAATGTTCATCACAATTTCCTGTACAAATTATGTAGCTCTTTACAAAACTTTCCCATTCGCAACGTTGACAATTTTTGTTTGCCTGTTTCTTCATTGAAAGAATAAATCTCATGAAATATTCTGACGGGAAATGGGATGAAATAGAAAACAGCGAACGTTGCTGAAGTTCCTCCCAGGCTTTTTGTGGATGTATGTTGAACTTCTGCTCATACATAATATATAGCTTTTTAATGAGTTTATTTAAGCAACACAAAACGCTGCTTTTTACTTGTTTGAAGAATTCAAAGATTTTTTTGTGCCGCTTGAAGATATTTCACTGCTGCCAATGAAACTGAACTGAACCCTTTCATGCGACATAAACGACATAAACATTAACATTAACAAAAAAAACAGAGAAAATTGAGGCAAGCCTCAAAAGAAAACCAATTTTATAATAGTTGTCACATGTTTATAAACTGTTTTTTGTTGCCCTGCCGCTTCTCCCGATTTACGTAAGAATAAATTATCAGATATGATCTCAAAAATATAAATTTCAATTTAAAATTTTTTTTTGTTGCTTTTAGTTGAAAGGCGAAAAGGCGAGAGCGAGGACAGCAGAAGAGAAATAAATATGCGCATGAAAACATAAGGAATACGACAAAAGAGTTCTTTATGATTTTAAAAACATATTTTAAAGTAAGACTGGGAAGGAATAGGATCGATGCACATGTTGTATGACATGATTTTCAATTTATGTAATAAAAATGATTAATTTTTATCAGTTATTTAATCAAAACTAAATGTTTGCTACCGACATAAATCATTCATCATTTCAACAACTCAAAACAATGAATCAAACCCTGTTTCATTTTACTCTGATTTCATTTAATTCTATTCTCGTTATCGGTCGAGTGAATCGATCGAAAATCAATAATAAATTATAAAACTTTGTGTGTTTATCTTTCAATGTTCTTTTATTCCCGAAAAGTTCTATTCTTTTGTTCTTGTTTATGTTGTCGAATTGCTTTCTTTTTCCATAACTTTGAAATCAATTTAAACTTTTGAATGGCTTTCGGGAATGTTTATTCACGTCTTTGTTGTTGTTGAAAAGATTAATTAAGCATAAAGCTTTTTCTTCACTTAAATAACAGAGCAAAACGACAATGTTCGTATCTTTGGCTTGGCCTAAATCTCACAATTATCATCACAAACAGTTAGTTGGGATATCTGATCCATTATTGTATTAAGTATAAATTATCTTGAACACTCTCCTTACAAAATGAGTGTTGAAACGAATGAAATATCACTCAGCACTTCCTATCGATCGAGACCATCTCAATTTTCAATGAAAGCTCTCTTCGTCGATTAAAAGGCATCAACGCGGACAAGCAAGACAAATAAGTTAAATAAATATTATCTGAGATAATTGATTCATAACACAAGCAGATATAATAATGGAAGTTGATGATTTAAGTAAACAAAGATGAAAAGTTCTTCTTGTTATTCCCCCTTTTTGCTTAATTATCATAATCGAGTGTTGAAGATAAAATAAACTGAATGAAGTCTCATGCTCGATTGATATCTCAATTTTTAGTCATCTTAAATAGACGCGATCCACTTGAGCGCCTCAAACATTCAACTTAACATTTTTTGCCATAAGTTTAAGCTTGAAGAACGATTAAATTACGAAGCTCATGACTTTGTTTGCAAAACAGCAAAAAAAAATTCCTTCTTTGTATTTTATATGAGATCATGAATCAAGTGTTTCAATACTTTTCTGAGTCGTACGATGATCAAAAAAAGAGAGAGAAAGAAAAACAAAAAATTAAATTAACACTCGAATCGCCTTAACTTGATACAAGGCAAGCTGATGAAAAACCCAAGATATTCGTTAAAATATTGGGTTTCATTATGATTATAAATGGTTAAAGATGTCACTCACTTCAATCTGCTGGAATTCACTTGAATCAATGCGTTGTATATTATTGGCGCTCAAGCTTAAATAAAAAACCGAACAATCGTAAAGTTTTTTCACAAAGTATAATCACCCACGCCATTTAGTGCCAATAGCTGCCTGTCACTTCATTCACCTCAGCTCAGCCGTCAATAACATCAATCGATTAATCGGCAGTTGGTGTTACATTCGTGCGGTGTGAAAGGCAGTTTTCCAAACACTTAATTAATCATTCTCAAAAGCAATAATAACTAAAGAGTCTCCAATTTTGGGTTGAGTCGTTTTAACAGTCGATTTCATTTGTATCAAGAAATCACTTTGACATATTTACTAAAAAGAAGACGTATTAAGTTTCCCCCCGACCTTTCGAAGCCGCTTTGCGGTTTTTCTTTCCCCCGAAAAATACTTTTCACACATAAACCGAATCTCAATTTTCGTTATAGAAATAAAGTTGTCTTGAGATTTTCACTCCATTTTTATTTTCACCTTTCATTTCCGTTTTTCTTTTTCGTTTTTGGAAGTCAACAATTTTTGAAAGTGATTTCGTTTTTTTTCTCTGTCGTGCCCTAATAGGATTACGGTATCGTTGGTATCAAAGATAAGTCAAAGCTGGTTGATGCTTTGAGGTTTCAGTTTACAAACTTTTTATTTTAACATTAGGTTTTGATGGATGAAAGGTGTTCACTATCTGACAACTGGGAAAGAGGAAACTTCCTACCTAGGATGAACTTTTTACCAGCACAAAAATTCGTCTTGAAACCATAAAGGTTACATCCAATTGACCTCTTTCATCAATATGATACTTTTTCATTTCACTGCTCTCTTCTACCTTTTATTAATCTTCCATTACATGATATCACCAAGATTCGTTATCCTCCAAGATAAAATATCTGATATCAAACGACATAAATTGAGACGACAAACAATACTCCGACGACTTCTCATTCTTTTTCTTTACAAAGAATTCACATTGATGCGCATTAATGCGTGGGTGAAAATTTTTCTCATTTTGACTTCTTCTTATTTAGAAATTTTCGCTCCCGTTATTTTTCTTGAGAATAATAAATTCTGACGGCTGTTTGATTTTTCTAGCAATTCAACAGGATAAATGGAAAGGAATGGAAGAAGCTGAAACTCTGTTGAAACAGTCACCAAGGGAGTGAGAAAAAGCAATGAAATGTTACGCTTGGACCCTCTTTGAATTCACTCGTCTGTAATGAAAATTAATAAAATGTCAACCAAAATCACTTGTTTGATTCATCATCCCTTCAATAAGTTTCTGTGTAGCTCGCTTCTGTACTTTTATACCTCCTACTGATGACATTAATCAAATTAGAGGAAACAACACAGAAGGAAAGAAAGGAAAAGAATACAAGTAACAAAGAATACACAAAATTGTAATTTATAAATTGAGGAAACATCTCGTCCCAACAGTGGATGTCGAGAATTGAATGAAAGCAAATGGATGTGGAACAAAACTGAATCTTGATATGAAAATTCATTGAGCAGATTTCTAATGAAATTCTTTCTATTTTTTGATTTAGATTGGGAGAAAGATACAAGAAAACATTGGAAGGAAAGTCATACGCAGAAGACAACACGCAGTTGGAAAAGTTGTGAGTTGGGTCGGAATTAATTTGAAACAAGTAAATATTATGAAGGTTGTAAAGTCTCAAAATGATTCAAGCTTAGTTCAACCTTTTAATTTTGATAGCAAAAAAGTATTAACTCATAAGGTTTCGAAATGTTCATCATTACTTTTTTTCTCGCTTCATAATATCATGAAATGTCATGAAAAGTTGTTACAATTTCAAACTAACCTAACCATTCGAATGCATTCGATTGACTGTCGTCTCGTCGTCAATTTCTGTTAAACATATCACGTCATCTGACTTCAGTTCAACGGAGATGAATAGGAAACAACTGAATATGACATATTCCGTTGAAGAATGCAAAAAGCGTTGAATTTTTTTCATTCTCATGATTTCACATTCGATTTTCCATCACAACGATGTTGCCGATAGCACAACCATCAAACAAATATTCGTTGAATACGATTTTAGGTGACAGAAACTTCTGTAAATATTCACTCAAATTCCATCTCTCTTAAATCCTGACTTTTATCTCGCTTTCATGAGTGCTTCCCTCAGCAATGGAATATTGTCGTCATTTGATTAATAGTGTCCGTTTGATCTCTGATGGTATGTCTCGTGCTTTCGTCCGCTTTCAAAAACTTTTACTGTAAAATGAAATCTCTTTGTGTAGGCGAGCGAAAAATAAAAGATTGGGGACTGGCAGAATAATGGTGTAAAGAACCGTTTCCGCTCCGTTAAATTAATTTTTCTTTTTGGGATACTCAACAGTGGAAAGTGGGTGAAATGTCTGTCCTTTCCCTTTCTAAGCTGTGTCAAGAAACAATTTTTGTTCCTTTTCACCACCTTTTGTTTGTTTATTTTCTTCACTTTTTCCTTCTCTATCATGAATGACTGACGCGCTACACTCATTTTTTATATGATTGCAAACTGAAAAATTAATGAATGACAAATCTCTAACAGGAATAAGTAAGTAAGAAAAAAATAAGAAAAGGTTTGGAGGCGTGAGACGGCATTAAAATGTAATTGAATTTCGCGCTTGAAAAGATTTTTGGGCTCAGGATTCCAAACGAATTCATGTTGGTCTTTGTTTTTGATGTTCTTTAAGTAAAGCTTTGATTTGATTCCGGTCCTTCTGACATGCTTCTACACCTACAGTTTGCTTTTCAAACTTAATATTTTATTACATTAAATTTTTAATTACGATTCCACGAATACTTCACTAATGTGGCAGGCTAAGATTCATCGACGTTCTCAACGTCAGTCATTTCAACTCATAATTTTTGCGTTTCATCGTGACTCATCGTTCTTCACGCGTAGCCCATGTGTGCAACTTGACACATGAAAAGAAAAGAGTTAAAGGAGTCGTCTCCACCTGAGTCATTATTGTATGATGGTTTTTATGAAGTTCGATGAAAATAATAAGACAATGGATGATTTTTGAGTAGGGTGCACGTGAGCGGAGGCTCAAGAGAAGAATCGCTTACATAAAAGATGAGAAAGTCAATGATGTGTTAAATTCCTTTTCAATTCAAAACAAAAACGGCCTCCTTTAAGGCTTTAGTATGCTTTGTCGTTTGTTGTTGTTGAAAATAATTTATTTATTATTATTACCGTCAGAAGAGTCAGAAGGAAGTCTTTCATATCATTGCCTTTCCTCCCATAACTGACTCTTAGCGCGGGCATCTTTTTACATTTAAACAACAGTCAAAGAGCGAAGAATTGGAATGAAGGAAGCGAGAATAAAAGAGAAGAAAGATTGCAGAAAACCCTTAAGAGATTAAGTAATTATACATCTAACATTATACCGCTGTTGGTGCCTTCTAACTTTGATTCGACGGAATACAAAAGGTTCAGAGTATTTATCGCTAATTTGGACTCACAAAAGATTTTAATGTTTCGAACATGAAAGATGATACAAAAGGCAACAAAATTAACACCAAATGTGAATGGAATGAAAATATTTCTTTAAAAAGCATGAAATGAAGCTGCATAAAGTGATCAGTAGCTTCAATAAAAAATAACAAAAAACAGCCAATTATAAGATTTATGTTCGTCTATAGTATGGCAGACTTTTGATAAACTTAATTAATTATTCAATGTTTCTTTTAAAGAAAAGTTACGCAACTTTCTTTTTGAAACAAAATCTCAAAAGCGTCTCAAAAGTTTTACTGAATTTCATTTTTTAATTGTAAGTAAAGGCAGTTTCTTTGAAGTTACTTACTCTCAGTGAAGACTTTTTAATAAGCTTTGGCAGAGTGTAAAGTGTTTTGCAGAAGAAGACATGAAAGAATTCTCAACTTGGTAGAGAAGTTAGCGAACCTCAAAGCTTTTTCTAAAACGCGAAAAAAGTGATTTCATTTCGCGTTGCGCCTCGAGATGAAAACTATCAAAAAAGTTTCAAGTGAAAAATATAATAAACGTGTCGAAGAAGAAGACGAAATAACGAATGAAGCAAGGAGTTCGAAAGCCTCATCAGCGCATGAAACGATTCCATCTTTAGAGCGAACGAAGAGTTCAAAGGCTAAAAGCATTTTTCTCATTATGCTTCATAGCCGTTTAATATGATCGGTTAATATAAACCATAATTTCAACACCTGAGAGAAAAGTGTGTGGAGCGCAAGGGAATAATATATAAAAAATAAGCGCGGGGTAAAAAGAATCATCACCGGAAGATCTCAGGCAGAAAGTTAAATTGGCAGGCGGAAAACGAGCTGAACGCTTGGATGAAGCGAGATTAACTTTTTTTTTATTTATTATTTGTAAGGAGAATTTTTAATGAACATAATTAAGATAGCAGATAGCACAGGTTATTTGAGCATGAGAGCAACGACAAGGAGTGTTCCCATGACTCCCAAAAAGTATCTTTCCTTTCACCAACTTTGACTCTTTGATCTTCTTTTTTGTTTGCTTGTAATTTCGTCGTCTTAGAACGCAAAACTTTTCACTTTGAAGTGTTTTAATTTCATTGAAAAATAAGTTTGAAACAAATTGAAAAATTCTCGAAAGAAGTCTAATGGTGCAGTGTTCATCTCATCATGGAAACGGATTTGTTTTAGCTTTGAAATTAAATCCCTTTTTTTCTCGATGATGTTTCCCTCATTTGATGTCATGACAATCGTTTAATTACCTCGTTAACGCATGGTAAAGGATTTTTGAGCGATGGCAACAGCAATTGTTGTTTATTTTTTATTTAAAATTCATTGGGAAAAAAAGAAATTTTAATCCTTCTACGTTAAGATTTTAAATTTAACATGAAGTTTTTACAACATAAATAATCTCAGATTAATGTTTTTCAAAATTTTATTTAAATAGAACAAAAACTTAAAACAAACCATCGAGAATACTTCTGTGGATCATTAATTAATATCTAATCCACCGCTTCCTTCCATATTGTCAGTCTCAATGAGTTGCTGTTTAAAAAAGTCGATGCCGTTTCCATGGGAAAATTGTTTAAATTGTTTCTTGCTTCTGCTTGTGGATAAATAATGTTGCTAACAATGCGAACGTGAGCACTTTCAATAAACAGCTAATATGTGTTAAAATATATCTCCATTTGAATACGGTAATGGATTGCTTTTAAATCCCCAGTATTTTTACGCCTAAACGCCTTTGAAGATATTCTCGCTTTCATGAAACTTCTTGGATTTGAAAATAAATTTGGAAGGATTTAAAAGTGGAATAAAATTTATAAAATGTCACATAAACTCGGACTAAATATTTATCGATGAATGAGAAGCCTTTGTTGGAACGATTTGAGATTAAGAATGTGTCAGGGAATGATGAAGTGCCAAAATTGTTATTAAATATTCGAGGAGAGTTTTATTTGTCATGGAAATCATGAAATTACGATTATAAATCTCTTAAGTAATGAAGAAAACCTCTGAAATTATTAATAACTTTTCACTTCCACATTAAAATATTTTAAGATGCCTATCAGTGAATATCAATAAGAATTTTCATTTCGTTTCCATAACGAAGGATTTTCACTAATTCCCAATCATTTTTAACAATAATTTATAACTCTCAAAAGACAAATGATTTGAATCAAGTCAATGATGGAAATATTCATGTCATCCATTTTAATTAATTAAATTCTTAATCTCTGACTGCGTTGTCATGCGAGATTGTCGAAAAACTTTTCCATGAACGAGAAAAAAATATGAAAAATTTCACATTTAATGAATGCTCAGAAAAAAAATCAGATTGTGAATCACACAAGCGAATTATTTGCAAAAATTATTAGGTGGATTACTGACAGGCAAAGCATGAGTTAAAGCGACCAACTTTGGTCCTTTTTCTGGCTTCGTCATTGTTGAAATATAATCTTCATGACGATGATTTGGGGCTGGAACACCGGAACATCGGACATTGTCAAAAAAGCATATTTTCCAAGTAATGCTCCCTCGTTTCTAGTTCCAGCCGACCGACAAAAACAAGTAAAATAAATTAAAAACGAGGTGGGAGAGGTTAAATGAGTCAGTTGGGGACGAGGCCAGAGCATAACAACATAACAGAGAGTGGCTGAAAATTAATATGTGAAATCATGAGGATTGTCATTGGGACTGGGATTGAGTCTCTCAAATGGGGAATGGTGAAAAAAAAAATACTGTGAAGGTTACTCAAGCATTTAAACAGGAATGAAAATGGAAAAATTGTGAAAATGAAGAAAACTTAAAGAGATCTTAAGCTTCATGCCTGAAAGGAGATAATCTCCTTGTCCTGCTTTTAGTGCAATTTCATTTTAGCGGAAAGGCACAGAAACGAAGAGATTGGAATTAAAATCATTTTTACGATTTCTTGAAAGATTTTCTCCAAGGGGAGTTTTTGGATTACTTGAAGTCAACTTTTGTTATCGTTTGGAATTCTCCTCCACCACTGCACAGGAAAAGCATGTGAGAAAGTGAAATTTATGAGAAATTTTCCGCTTTCGTTTAAAAAAAGCTTTTTTTTCTTCATTGAAAGCAGAATAAACACCAGTAACGACAAAAATTCCATTTAACGAAAGCACAGAAATTAAGATGTCACATTTTATTGCGAGCATTTGAGATCGAGAGACATTTAAGCAGTGAAATTATTTTTGACGTTAATATTTTTCTGCATTACGAGAAAATCCGCTTGGAAATGTGCGAGAAAATTTTCTTCCTCTTCATTTGAAAGTTTGAAACGAATGACAAAGTTCCTTCTTCCTTCATTGGAATGAAATCATGTCGCTTTCTTAGAGGGATATTAAATGCAGAAAGAAATGAGATTAAGGGAGAGAAAGGAGGAAAAAAACTTAAATGAGTTACGAGACGACACTTTTCGAAGCTGTGGAGGTTTTCCAAGAGTTTTGTTTTGATGACGAGTTTTTCCTTTTTCCTTTTCATCGCATTTTGTCGTGTCCCGCACAAGATTTTATTATTCAAAAGGAATATTTCTTAATTACAAAACTTTTTCCAATTTCTTCTCGTACTTCTTCTTTGACATCGCAACTCCTCTGGTCGGAACATAATTTTCTCCTCTGCCAATTCTTTATGATCTGGTCGTGATACTCATTAAACTTAAATAAATGCGAGTGGCAGTGTGAAGAAAAGGAAATGAAAAGCTTTCGCTTGGGATTAAGAATCGCGTACATAAAGTTTTGTTTTCTCTTTTTTCATTCTTTTTTCCTCCATCCTTTTATTTCTATCTCAAAAAACTTGGAAATCTGTCACTTTATATAAGTTTATGTCATAAGATATTCATGTCCGTAAAAGAAAGATGAAATTTCATTTAAAGTAATTTAGTTTAAGCTTTTCGATTCATTTTAAAGTAAATAAATAAGAAGGAATTTGTTTTCTTCTCAAGTTCTCAACTTTGTAGATCTATAAATGTTTGAAGCCATCGACATTAACCGTCAATTGTTGCATTTTATTAAAAAGTTAAATAATTTAAGCATTTTAATTTAATATCTTTTTAATTCCTCGCAATTCTCTTTCATGTATTTACGGACAAAATAAATAAAAAGCATCGATTGACATTCCCAAATCCCCGAGCTGTCGTAAACACAGAAATATATGGTTGGATATTTTTTAATTGAATAATCCCAGAGTTTATATTTCCTTCTGAGTTCATTGCCAACGTTGCTTTCTTTTCGCCATTCTCGTGTTTTAATGCGATTATAATTCTTATAAAAGAACGATAGAGAGAGGCAGTGAAAGAATTCTAGTAGACATTCATCTTCCATTTGTTAAGTCTTGCAAAATTTTTATTTAAATTTTTTAACATTAAATGGGAGTAAATTTGAAAAATCTACATTCATATGATCTCATTCACATTCACCAACTGTTACAACTTTTCCTAACAACAATGGGAATATGACCTTTTCCATTAAGACATAAGAGTGATTTCAACGCTTGAAGGCAAATTCAGAGACCAACAAATCTCACTTTAAGAAAAAAAAAAAGTGAAACTTTTATGCTTAATTAGCTGACAGAGTCGAGAGAATTAGAAGAAAATGACCACGAAAGAGAATGGCGTAAGATGTTTTAAATGTCTTTTGGGCTTCATGAGACGACGAGTCACGCAAACTTGAAATCTTTTATTTTTTTCCTTCTTTTGCGATTAACAATAAGAAAATAAAAACATAACGAAAATGAATTACTCATATTGATGATGAAACAAACTTCAAATATAGTTTCAAACTAATTATCTTTAAAGCATGGTTGGATGGACGAAGTTGAGATTTGAATAAGTCCACGAAAGTATTTCTTCAAATGTTTCAATCGGAATTATACAATTTCAACTTTAGACCATCAAACTAATTCATCAAAAGAAAGATTGCCGTGTAAAGAAATAGAAAAACAGTCAAAAAGTCAACCAACAGAAAATCTACGATTTTTCGGGTATTTTATTTTCATAACATAATTGAACTCTTCCTGTAATTACTTCCCATCAAAGAGTTGTTATTGTTTCTATTTCTGCACGCTGTGTGTAATATGACTGTTGATGGCTTCAAACAGAATAAAAAACATGCAGCTTCAGTGTCATGGGAAATGTTAATGAATAATAAAATATAACAAAATCTGTTTAAAATCAAATCTGTAATAATGGGAAATTCTGTTTTACATTTGAATGTCGAGCAAATTTCGTGATCTTGAAACGAAGATTTTTTTGTGAACAAATTATTCCCCACAAGTATCAAATTTCCACCCTCTAAAATTAGATTAGTTAGTTGAAGTCTGTTTTAATGACGAGAAGAAAGGAGAAGAAATTAAAATTCAAAGATGATGAAAATCATTTTCATTAAAGTCTCGCGTGAAAGCAATTCGTGTCCTTAAAAACAATTCTCGTTTGCCTCAATTGAGATTTTTGACATTGCCAAGCAATGAGTTTCTTTTTTAATTCTTTCCTTCTTTCTTGTTAATTTAATTATTTTTTCTTCTTCATCTTTTTTTGCCTTTAAGTAGAGGTTGGGGAAAGAATAAGAATTCTGTTGAATTGGAAATGAAACTTTATCTCGGTCGGTTCTTTTTCCGTTGCGTTGTTATGCGGCCAATCTTTGGTGAAATTAAAATTATCATGAAATTCGGGAAAATTGAGTCTTGCTGTTGTTGCGTTAGCGTTTTTTTCCTCATAATCTGGGATTAGAGAAACTGTTGACGAGCTATTCGAAAGCAACCAAATGAAATCACAAATCTGATTACAATCTATTATCAATAATTCTAATCAAAAGGAAATATCTTTGGAGAAAAGAGATTAAGTCGAAAATATATTCACAGAGGAGTAGAAATGAGAAGTCGTATCAATATCTAATTAAGAAAAAGAGACAAAAAAAAAGGAATTCATCTCGGAGAATGCTGAAAAACTAATACTGAAGATAAAGACATGAACGCAAAAAGGCAAAGTCGCAGGTGTAAATTAAAATTAATTTCATTTTGTGACCAATTTTGATGCTTGAAATGGCCACAGATGTCGATTTGACTCGAGTGTCAAGTGATGGTTGCTGAGAGCTTATATTCAAATTATGGAAATTTTCTGCGGTGAATCGTAAAAATTAATTTTTTATGTTTTAATTTAGAAAATTTATTGCGAGCTCTTAGTGGTCGATTGGGAATTTGGAACACGATAATGATTATGTGGCTACTTTCAAACATCGAAGCAATCAAACTGATGACCACCTTGACAATGACAATGCAGAAGGTAAAAGCGAAGACCGAGACAAGTAATGGAATAGATGGATCAGTAGGACAAGTGAACGGCGAGTCGTTGGTCGAAGCAAGGTCGCTTTATTACTTTAAAGCCTTCATTTCCCGTTTTCTTCTTTTATGCTTTACTCAGTGTAGAATTTTAATATCTACCGCAAGCTTTTAAAATCAACTGTGGCACTGGCATTAACAATTTTATCGACATAAAATGATATTTGAAAATAGCACAAACTCTAAGTAGTTTCTACTTAAAATCATTCCCATTGAAACATGTTTTGCTGCGTCTTATCTTTCACTATAAGCTATCATCAAGTTGCATTCGAAATTATTATGTTTGCATGAGTTATCTTTAACATTTGTTTGAGTAATTTCTACTTTAGTCTTGCTTGATTATGAGTCAGTTGATTTAAGAATATCTGATAATATTTAATATGTTATTTCAAATGCTTTAAGGCATTCAATGTTATGCTAACTTTAATGGATTGTCTTGGATTCTTGTGGTGACTTTACTTTGTACAAAACGAGATGAGTCTTCTCACTTCTCAGTTGGTTGAACTTCTCACTCGACTGATATTGATACGACGATGATGATGATGATGATGATGATACCTGTCATAGACA